AACTCATGTTCATTAGTTAAATTTATCCTTTATTCGTTGTAAACCGTAATGAATGAATGTGTATACAAAGCTCACCTTTTGATGTTGAATTATATAAAGCTACAATATCAATTAGCTAATAGTTCATACTGAAAGTTAGTTCACAAATAGAATAATATTATTGGTGATAATATTTATAAATATGTATATATAAGTTCCTGACTAAATTAATTGTAAGTTTTCAACAGTAAAGCCTTAAAAGAAGACCTTTGTTTTCATACAAATTTAGATTCAAAGTATAGGGTGCGCCAGAGAAACTTACTTATTTAAAAAAATTACCGCGCGGTGAGTTGGGCGGGTAGAGGGACCAGAGAGGGTGCATCTGGAGGGGGAAGTTCCCAAGTTTGTTTCTCCCTTCAGTCAGCTGCCATCATACTCTGGTCCAGAGAGCAGCGGGCCTTCGCAGTTGAGAGCTTCTTTTCTAACGGTCGCTCGCTCTCGCGCTCGCTTTGAAATTCCTCCTCACAGACTCGTTCCTGGCCGTAATTCGATTCTGTCGTGGGTTAACTCATTTCGGGAGTGTGGAAGTGTCGCTAAACCCAGAAATGGACTTCAACGGACCATCAGAACTCCGGAAAATATCGAAAGAGTGAGGCAGTCAGTTGTGCGTTCTCCTCGGCGTTCGGCTCGCAAACACGCAGCTGCTATGGGAATTTCTGATACCACTGTTCGACGAATTCTCCATGAAGACCTTCAATTTCATCCATATAAATTGGCTGTTGTGCAAGAATTAACTGAACTCGATTTTGTTGCCCGTCAAAATGCATGTGAAATGTTGATTGACAACCTGCCTGAAGACGCGGTCGTTTTTTTCAGTGACGAGGCTCACTTCCACATTTCCCTGGTTTATGTCGATCGACCACGGACCATAGCACACCTCAAGAACAACATTCGCTACGCCAATGGCAACATACCGATTGATATGCTGCGAAGAGTGGATACGAATTTCAAAAATCGACTTCATCAGTGTATGCGCCATGGGGGTCACCATTTATCCGATGTCATTTTTAAGACTGCATGAAAAAAAAATTGGGATATTGTATTCTCAAATAAAAAAAAATTAAAACAATAACTGAAGTACTTTTTTTTTAATTGACCTTTCAAATAAGTAAGTTTCTCTGGCGCACCCTGTATTTAATTGTCAAAATTACAGTATGTAGCTCGTAATTTTTATTTTAAGAGAGCTCTTCAATAAATGTCAGTCCAGTGATTTCTGATGAATAAAAGAATTTATATTTTCAAAGCAAACACAAACAGTTACTTTAGTAATTGAAGTTCTTGTGGACGTTGCAAAAAAAATACGTCTTGAGAGCTCTTTTGTAACAATAAATCGAAAACTAGAGTTGTGGTCTGTAAACTATAGAATTTTTCTGAGACTATATATTATCGATACCGTAGGGACGTTCTTGACTCATAAGTAAAATAAAAGTGTATCAACAAACCTACTTAAATAATTCTAACTTCGCAAATTTAATACCGTAGCTTTAAATGCTTACGGGACAAACTGTGTTCCGTGAAACAAAATATTAAGTGGGATATTATTATTTTTTGAATTTTGGAATTTAAGGATTAAATTAATTAATAACATACAAAAAGCCAAAGTTAGACGGTGAAATTAACATGGTAACATAAATCATATACCTTTTTTCTAACTAAATAAAAGTTAGTAGGTAAGCATAAAAAAATACATTATACTTTCACATAAATAATGGATAATTAAATTATGCTACTTTCGATACTCGATACTTTCTAGTAGCAATTCGGTTACAGTATAATAAATGATTGCAACAAAGTTCTTATTATAATGTATAAAAAATACAAAATGAAGCCGGTAATAAAACAAAGGAAAAAGGTTCCGTGCACATGTAGGTTTTTTAAAGATGTTAGCAAATAGAGAGATCGAAATACAAGTAAGTACTGGCATCATAATTAAAAATAATATATTTTGATAAACACAACCGCAGCACAATGTTAAATAAAATCATTTCTATCCGCCAAGAACATGCATTTTCCCCGATGTTTTATGCAAAAATACTTAAAACCTGCTAGGTTGTCGTCTCCACGAGAGCACTTCAATGCGACCTCTTCAAGCAGCTCGTTTACACCGCTTTCAGCTGCTAAATATGCTTTTTATACCATATAATTATACCTCCGATGCAATCTAAATGACTTTCAGGACATTTTTTAAGTCGAGTGAAGTTTTTAAGATAAAATGATTTAAGCCATTTGGAATTGAATTAAGAGCGGCCCCTTGAGATTTTAGGTTGAATTTTATATTGTCTTAACATTAGATATTACTTTCAAAATTGATACACTTAATTTTACAATTAAACCTTTGACTATTTACTCAGTCGAAAAGGAATATAAAATTGTCAGTTGGCTTTAAGCAATCCATAGATAGAGTTGCGATAATTGAGGGGTGTTCAGAGCGGAACGGTACAAAGGGGGATTTGTCTATCTGTTAGACTTAATCTTGAAAATGTCATCTAATGTAGCTCAGAATTTCGAATGTTTTGTTATAAAATGTCAAAAATGAAAAGGAATGGTTAGACTTTCTACCAAGCTCCATAGTAGGAAATTTCACGGTGCGGTGACTTCTTCTTGTAGGTACATAGCTATAACGTATACGTTAGCGTAATCTGCTCGTAGAACACCCGTGCGTTCTGCTTCCGTAGTCTTGATAAAGCGAATATTAAAAATATATAGGAGAAGACGTTTTTATCGAATATTAGCGTGTAATTAAAGCTCTTAAAATAATAAGGTAATGTTTAGTAAATGATCCCATTTCATTACTTAAAAAAAATATAACATCATTTAAAGCCAGGCCTATCCTGGACTATTCAAGTGTAAAACGAAAATTAGCTATTCTGTATAATGGATAAATAATAGTTTAAATTTTAAACTGTTAATTTGTGATTATGTAAACTCATGCACATAGAAATATAGATCCGCCATCTCAAGCCGTCGGCCATATTGCTTTTTGATGGAAATCATTTATTTTTCGTATTCTTCCCGGCGACCCTTTAATTTTATACCCAACTTGAGTGCACAAAAAATAACAAGGCAGCCATATTGGATGTAACATTATTGGACGGATGTAATAGTTAGATAATTATTAGATTTAGTAACACTTGACAATTTTATCTAAACCTATTGAGAAAAAAAATATTAAAAAAATTGTTTTAAAAATAATAATATAATCTTCAATATAATTCTACTGATTATATTAAAAGTCGATCTCATTTTAGCTGTACCTCTTTGGCATGGATAATTCCAAAATATTGTAGTACATATTTATGAACATCGTAATACATGTAACATTTTTTAATACTCTGTAGGAAAATTAATATTTAATAGTTTCATGACTTGTTCTTAAGTGATGGGTTTACAGTTTATTTGAAAGTATTTTTAATTCGGAATAGTTTTGTCAAATTAAGTAGATAGCATTAATTGGTATTACCTAATCTTTACTTTTAGTTTCTCATTTTCCAACTTTTATCGTATACACAACCAAAAGGTTACAATCTATAGAGATTAAACTCATTAAATATTAAAAATAAATCATTGTCTTTCCGTTATTCAACTTTGTAAAGTCAGCAAGACAGCGAGAAGATTGCACAACTTAATCACGTTTAATGTAAAAAAAATCTGAAATGATATCCCGAGATGAATGTAGCCTGACCCATTTTTAAAAATCCAGCTTTAAAATAGTCTTTTATAATGAAGAAACTGTTTTGAAATGAGCATAGTTTGCCATCCATGCGTTCATCACTCAACATCAGGACTACAATACCTCTAGTAATCAGCTAAAAGCCTTCTGGGATTACGGAATTTTAGTTTATGAGAGGTTTCTAGTTTTTAATGTTTCGTGTTTTAAATGCGATATTATTTCACGTTTATATATTTATTTGTGCACACATGAAAAATATAAATTTGAAAAAATATAATGCTGAATTTGTTTAACGTTCTAGCTAGTGTGATCCTTGGACTCTTTTATATTTGATAACAGAATTACATGGAACGGTTTAGGTTTAATTTTAAGAATAAATTTATTGTAATTATTTTTCATTATACATTAGATTAATTAGACAACTTAAATGAAAAAGGTTGTAAATAGTCATAATTTTAATATATCAGCCACAAAGTCAGTAATAAAAAATTAAGTATATTTAACTAAAAGTGTAAACCGCATTGAAGAAAGCTTAGTAATTATAATAGGTCAGTAACTGAACTCTGTCTAACATCAAAAGCGTCAGTTTCCGGAGGTGAATGTTATTTATAACTAAGTAATTGCTTACAACCGACCACCGCTATAGTTATTTTCTGTTGTGACTCATTAAAAATAAAAGTATGCTTTCAGAAAACTTACCTATTCGGATTCATATACATCAATAGTATTATTCATTTGATATCATCAATAAATATAAGCTTACTATAATTTAATATACCAAAAAACAGTACTTTCTCAGATACACATATTTTACGCTTTCATTGTAATGTTTATGTGAATCTTCATATCTTGTTGAGGTAAAAGTATTATGGAATGCAATTCTCAATATAGCACCTATATACCCCATAACGCGATACACAAACACAGACGCGTCGTTGAACCGTGTTAAGAGGGGCACACATTAATATGCAGAATTGATTTACGAGATATGTCTGTTTGTCTCGACGGTTTTGATCATAGTGTCTGTGCGGTAATGTCACTCACGTTTAGTTTCTGCGATTTAATTCTATTAAGAACATGCTCATCGTTTTTAACAATAATTATTGTGAGACCTCTTAAATCCAATAATAATGAAGCTGACTGTATTAATTGTGTTCTAGAATTCGAACAAAAATTTATAGTCATTATGTTTCGTCATTAGAACAACTATAATAAAAAATTGAAACACAGTAATTTAAAATAATATAAAATATCGCTAGAGTGTTAAGAGTAATAAAAAATTTACTTTCAGCGTCGTCTCACTCAAAAGTACAGTATTGCTGTAGGGGTGCCGACCCTCGTTATCCGCGGTCGAGCCGTTAGGGACGCTTTGCTATCAGACCCAAATGGTGAAAGGTTTCCATGGCCAGCGCCACCCCTGGATGAAGTACTCAAAGGAGTGATGCTTGAAGGAGCAGAGAAGAAACTGTATGAGGATCTACCCATCGATGCCGTGAGGGTTTTCTATTTTGCAGCTCATTGGGTGAGTTCGTATTGCTTATTTATTTTAAGCAATTATAATGCTCTTTAGATTTATTCGCTATAAATGTATTATGAAATGAAAAATGTTAACCACGTCGACTCTTTGAGTGGAATATTATATATGTTTTAGATCCAAAGAAATCTATATTTGATATTTTTTTTGTAATCAGTAAATGTGTATTAGGAGATGGAGGTCGCCTTCGAAAATAAGGACAATTTAAATCTGATTTTCGCCTGATGCTGCTTCAAAGTTATTTACAAAGATGTTTCTTTTTCCAGTGTCCGCCCTGTAGATCTTTCGCTCCCGGTCTGTGCACAGCTTTGTCCGCGGTGCGCAAGCGACGCTCCAAGTACGCGAACACACAACTAATACTCGTCTCCAGTGATCGGTGAGAGAATTATAATATTTTTCCTAATAAAAAACCATTAATGAATGTTAAAGCTGGTATTTAGATTGACTTGATCGATGTAGCAGAAATCCTCATACAAGATCGGCTTGATGCACTGTACTTTTCGTTTCGTTCGACAATTAAAAATTCCGAAAGGCCTATAGTCAGTGGTGTTGTCGAGCTGGAACGCTCTGGAACGTCGTTCCGGTACTTCCTTTTGGACAGGAACGGGTTCCGGAAGTAAAGATGATTTCTGAAAACGAGAATTGGCTGGAGTATTGAAAAAAAAAAAAAAGAGAAGCAGATTTCTGTACACACATAATGGGTTTCCTAATCCTCCCCACCCCGTCGTCAAATAAATATATATATATACGCGTTCCGGTAAAAGAAAAATTAGTACAACAACACTGCCTATAGCTCCCCCTCTTTTTCAAAATCCCAATACGTTGATGACACATAGCGACTACAATTAGGTCCATGATGTAAATCAACAATTTCTTTGTTCTTCTATAGCCTTACTGATAATTATTTAACGGCTACCTAAACAGTAACATCGTAAAGAGCAAGCTTCTAAGAAAGGTGCACTAATTTAATCCAGAAAATTCTCGTCTGACCGGGCTTCGCTTGACTCAATACGCTAACAAACTAAACTAATTACCGCTGTCACAGCACTAAGTGTTTTCATCGAGAGACTCATTTTGAAGTATCAACATCTAACTTCTATTGTACCGTTGACAGTGAAAACCATTAACATTTAGGAAGACCGTCTCGTTTTCTGAAACTTCTAAATTATTTTAGTACGCATATAATTGAGTTTATATACCTACCTACTAAATTGTTTGCTTTTGTATGTGTGGGATAAGGCACAGACAATACTTTAGACTCATTTAATGGTTTTGATAATTTTAAGTCTTGCCATTCAGATAGTGCCCTTATTAAATTTAAAATATGATTTTAAATACATAGTTTATCAGAATACAATATCCCTACTAATGTTATAAATGTGAAAGTAACTCTGTCTGTCTGTCTGTTACGCTTTCATGCCTAAACCACTGAACTGATTTTAATGAAATTTGGTACAGAGATGGAATAGACCTTGAGAAAGAACATAGGATAGTTTTTATCCAGACTTTTGAAAGCTTCTCTTGGAAACGCGATATAACCGAACTCCACGCGGGCGAAGCTGCGGCCGGAAAGCTAATTTATTATAAATTGTCAAAGATACATTAAAAATAACGAAATGCCTGTATAAAATAGTTTAGTTTAGGTCATTTTTGTTGTTGTTTGTTCATGTTCTCCTAGAGAGGTTAACTATTTTGATAGCTATCGACTATCGATTATAGTTTGTTGTTTAGTTTCATAAACACTCTGTAGTTTCAGTTATACTGCTAAATATAGCTATATTTTTACCAAAAACATTCAAGAGCTTGTAAAATTGTGTTTTGTTTTTTTAATTAAATATTCTTTCTACTTTCTACACAGCTATGTCTGACATCGACCAATTCAACAATAATTACAGCTGTTCCAATAATACGTAACATAGAATAAACATGTATCTACTTGTTAGAGAGTTTCGTAGCAAAAAAAGTAACAATACTCAATCAGTATACATTAAAACTTTTCCAATTCTCAAAATAAGGCCGGATTGTCTAAACAAAAGTTTTTCAAGCAACATTTAACAAGCGTAAATTCAATTCGTTTCCTATCCAATTCAGCGAATGAAAGAGAAATTTGGTATGATTCATCGGAATGTGAGCCGAATATAAAAAATGTAATGTCGGGCAAGGAATAACTTGTACGAATTAATATGAAAGAAAAATTATATATAGGAAAGTTTTAAACATTAACTGCTGAGTTAATCCTAACTCTTTTGTGATTTCAGTAGTTATAACAATTAAACAGCCACTGAAGACACGGGACTAGGGAACTATAGTTACAAATCTCCTTTCATTGTTACTATACGAAATAAAGAGAACCTCAACCTTGTACTGGGAATTGTTTGAAACTAACGCCATTGTCTCAAGGACCGCATTGTTCTGATAATTCAACATTTTAACTCAAAATAATGTAACAAAAAGTAGGTATTCCTTGACTTACGTGCCTACAACATTCCAAAATTTTTGTTAACAGTTATCCTAAATTAATACTATGTATTCCTCATACTGAACGTACCCTAGTAAAAATTTAATTAAAAGATTCTTCGAATGAGATAATTTGATATTTCTGTGACATTTACTAATGTATAGGGTATAGAAAAACTTTCTGTATTCCAGAACAAAGATAAACTGAACGTTTTATCAAAAAAACAAAATATTTTATCAAGTTTACGCAACCCCGCCCTCAAAAATAATTACAAACTACCCTACAATAGCGGGGTCTGAAGGCAATCTAAATGAATGGGGGAAACTAGTCAGTCGGAAATCAACCTTATAAACATACAAGTAGGCTACATATTTGAAAATAAATTATGTGATGTATTTCACCGGTGTCAAGTGTTGATACGCGTGTCGTCAAGAGGATCGGAGAAAGGCGAGGATGCTCGGCCTTTCTGCTTGATATTAATATTTATATCGATAGAAGCGGTTTGTTACGTCTGTTTGTAACGTACAGTAATACGTACGTTATATAGATTATAATGTCTTAAACCAAATTGAATACCAACAAACCTTCCACAACCGCTTATTAAAAATAACCTTTAAACAAATTAAACACACGAGTTACAAGTTGCATACAACGTTTGACCGCTCGACTCTTTAATTATCCAGTTGCAAGTAATTAACAAATTAATAAGAGTTTATTATGATTTCCGTTTCACTGACAATAAAAGGCGCGCGAAATGCCGTGAAACATGGCCGCTGTTTAAGCTTGCTCTATTTAATTAATAGACTAAGCTCATTAACGGCAAATTACAACCTCAATTTGCAAAACTTGCTAGCCTATAATTTTTTTATATCTAAGCTAAGTTAAATATATTTATTTATAGCCACAATATGCACATGGCGGTCACAGTGGCTTAGATCTATCCCCACGTCGTTACACCTATAATTTAATTGCACCCTCCTTCAAAGCATACAGAAATTCCTTTGTTTATTTTCTTTAAACCAAGCTTTCACACCGTTTCGTGTGTTTATACGATTTAACTATAGTATTGGTTGACATGTGTATTACAAAAAAAAAAAAGAATTGAAAATATTCTTGGACTGTTTGATGTAAAATAAACACTTTTTGGTATATTAAAAAAACACTACTCCTTTACTTTTTGTATATATTTGAAATATTCCGTATAAATAATTCATTAACAATTAGATATAAATCGCCCCCCAAATGAACTGATGTTTTAAATATTCATTGTTATGAAGGACGTCATTATATTGTCACAGTTGTTATGCGAGAGACGTCTTCATCCACGATGCTTAGTGTATCTCGATCGATACCCACAGTCTACTATTAAGATACCAACGTGAGATGGCGACTTTGATTAAAGATTTTAAATATTCACATAATATTTGATGATAACCAAAAACCTGGGACCATATAAGAAACCAAAAATTAAACAAAACCTAGCACTCTCGTATTGATACTTCATCCGAAAAACTCAAACTTTACTCCATTTACTAACCTTTATAAAATTAAGCTATAATTTAGTTTATTTGAAATAATTATAGGAAATTAGAATATAAAATATATACACAGCATTATAAATTCTGAAGAAATTATATCAAATCATATGTTATTAAGACTACTGCTTCTCCTAACAGTAGTAATACAATTTAAATTAAAACAAGAAAAATATGTTGTCTGTAGTCTTACTAAATATCTAACAGCTATATTTGTTATGAAAAAATGTTCAAATGAATTAAGCTACCAGAATTCGCTTAATTATTTTTAATGAACTGCCAGGTCAAAGGTCTTTTAACGTCTAAAAACAAAATCAAAAGTGAACTGTGGTCGAAAATCGACCGCCCTGTGAGCATTGTCCATAATAAAGTCTACTGCAATTACATTAAAATACCTCAGCAACAAACGATATCGTTAGACTTAAATCTGAATTTGAATTGAATATGAGTCTGAGGTGAATTCAAACCATTTTTCTCTCACAGATATAATTGCTGAAAACTTCGCTTCGTTCACAATATACTCTTTGATAAAAAAATTCAAATCGCCCATTGTTTGACTTCGAATTATAAATTGATTTGCTCTGAATAAATATACCAAAAAATCAATTTATTTAAATTTATCTTCCACGCTTTTTTATCATAACAAAATTTTAATCAAGTACACCAACAAATGTTAAATCCGCAAATATTTTGAAAAACGTTTTAGTAATATACACACGTAGTAGACTTGCGTCATTCTGTAATTCAAACATTACTGTATGAAAATGAATTAATTTTGGCTCACAGATAGATTGTAACTTTGATTAGGAAATATATTTGTGTTCTGAAATTCCGTGTGGTTCCCGAGGGAAAAGCGATATACCATTTTTGACACGTGACAAACGGTATACGGCTCTATCGTTTGTTTTGCTGTATTTTTTTTTGCACAATTTAGAAGTCCACTCAGATGAAGTCGCTAATAAAAGTAAGTCATAAAATTATGAATAAAAATATATTATACACGAAACTCAATGGTGCTCTCCGAGCATTCATGAAATACCATGGACCTCAAATAAAAACTGGCTTAATTTTTTATATGTATAAATTTTAAATTAAGTATATAAAAAAAGCTAGCCAATTCATATTTCAGTTTCAAATATAAATAAAAAACAGGTGCATTTCTTTGAAAGTAAGTGCTCTACACGGTAGACATTGAGGGTAGACGGTACAAAACTTGCATGTGATATTAAAATTGAAGTGGTAGTGCCAATTAGTTGCAACAATGTTGAAAACGACATTTCACCAGAAACCAGAGTGCTGTTCAGTCTTAGTGCTATATAAAGTCTTTCAACATCTGGATTAAATAAAATCGACTGAATAAAACACTCAAATTTTTCGCTTGAATTAAATTTCGATAGATGCCAATAAATGTCAGCCGTCGCTATTCACATTTGTGAAGCTGTCATGTTTATCCCTTTCATTTATAAAAAATCTGATAAAATGTTTTGTAAGTCTATTCAAAATGTTTTAACGTAATATCGAATATGACTTCGGGATGAAAAGGAAATTGGTTATTTTTTTATCAATACCATTGGAGTCTATTAGAAACTACTGTGAAACTTAAAAATGGCAGGTAGATTGAAATATTCCATTTATGTATGTAAATTTCTACTATTTAATAAATTTATTATTTGAATAATATAACGGGTTTTATACATAAGTCTACAGTCAAATTTCAACTTTAAAACCGTTTTAAGCTTGAAAACTGAAAATAAAGACTAAGCAACTCGATAGAATACACCACAAACCAGCTTCTTTAGTCAATATTTGTTTCAATTGCTGTTTCTATTATTATGTTTTCAAGATAACAATGTACCAGTTATAAAATAAGAACAGTAAATATATATTTTGTGGTACTACCCGTAGCTCAAGATAAACCCTTTAAAGCAGTCAAGACAAAACATTCCCCACATGCATTAAAGAACCCCTCGCAATTAATAGAGTTCGACTTGAAAGCCTGTAATAATGCCCCTTGATTACAACCCCTGATATCCTACGCTGAACATTCTTTTATTTGAAGCATTTTTTTCGCTGATAAAAGATAAAATCAAATTTGGAAGTTGCTAGAACTTTCTTCGCTTTTACTCTATACCTATTTGTGCTTGATTTGAATATGTAACTTATAATGAAATATGAATAAATTGGATGTATGTTATGGGTGACATATTTATGTCAGTGTAGAGTTAGAAAATAAGTATTTATTGTACTTATTAGTTTTTAGAAAAATATTTAACATACTTGTGATATCAATCAAGTATACTTAATTTTTATTTTTCATTTGATTAATAATTAATTAATGTCTCATTATCTGAACATCTTTATAACATATATAGATATATTAGTAAGTAAAATTTTAACCAAAGCGTATCCACAGCATGTGTATAGCAATGTGATATTATTTTTTTTGCTATTCCACAGGGATAGTTTGTTTGTTTGGACAGTTTGTTTAAATTATTAAAATAAAAACTAAGTCCAAGTCAGTCATCTTACCCTTTAGAATTTAAATTCAAATAGAATGCAGAGATTTATGGTTTCAATAACCCGTAACGCTCCGCTTATCCAACGTTACCCGGATTATTCCGCTACCCTCCCAGGTTTACGACCTTATTTACCCTCTGCGAGGGTATTCGAATAAATTGCCGTAGATAAAGGCAGTAACTTGTAGAATTAGGGTATGGCTCGTATGATAAGGAAATACAATGAAATTAAATTAAATAATTAAAACTATTCTAGCAACTTGGCCCAACATTATCAAAGTTATTAAGAACAACTGCAATATTATAAAACTTTATTACTCACAATCAGACTAAGTATTTCATTAAATTTACAGCGTAATATGTATATAAGCTCAGTCATAACTTGGTTCTAACAATATATGTACAAGATTCAGGGACGTTTTCCTTTTATTGCGTACGTGTTATAACACGCCAGAAAACGTTACTAGGACCGCGGGAATATTGACGAGTCTCGTTTTGGAAATTGTACCGTGAATTGACGATTTGACGTGAAATACGAATATATATAGTTGTATAATATGAACTCATTACGTTTATAATGAAATCCTATAATTGTTTTTTTTTTAATTGGAAGGAATTAAAGGAATTCGTCGTCGTCTTTAAGGGTATTGTAATTAGTTCTAGCGCGGACGAAACAATACCTTGTAGAACTTATTTGCGAGAGTTATCTAAAGAAACAATGATTCACATTTCTTTAACATTCACCTAATTGGATTGTGATGTGAAATTAAAATGATCTACAACTTTAAATACACATTGTACTCTATATAAAAACTTCAGTTTACAAAGAATTTTATTGTCTGCATACAAATTGAACAAATAAAATGTTCTACCGTCACAATCGAATATTCCTTTTGAAGTTGACGTAAAAGGTGACGTGAAAAACAATAGAGTAGTTTCAACCCCTAACCGAAACGTAGCACAGATGGAAAAATATAAAATGGAAGCAATTTTAAATTGCCTAAAACTCCCCTTCAGAGACATTTTATTGATATTACCATTGTTTGGGATAACGCTGTGGATGCCTGTTCAGTGTTATTGTGCAGGAATAAAATAAAGTGATCCAAAAATAAGATTTGTCAAATAAATGATATACACAATACATATTCATATTTTGACTGGGCTTCCCGGTCGCTTGACTTTCGCTGTTAAGTGGGTACTCTGTTCTCTGTAACTACATTTATTTATGCAAAATGCTCGATGCTTTCCGACACCAAGTGAAACAAAATTGTTCTAAAATCGTTTTTAATAGTTAGTACGTATTTAATATACATTTTATGCTATGCGCGATCCACGGAGACTATCATTGACAAAAATTCTTCAAAGCCTGTTTATTGTAACGTAGTAGCTTGTATTGAATATCCTCATATCAAGGGATGCAGGCTTCAGACTATTAGTAGCACACAAGTCGGTAGCCGTTATAAAGCAATTAGTAATACAAATCGCGCTGGAAGCAAAACATACAATTTAGCCGGTATATTACCCTGAAGCATTTGCCTGAACCCCACTGCAGGTCGCTGTTAAACGTTTCACTAGCCGACGACAGACGAAACTACACTCAAAGACAAATAACTATCATCCGACTCTAAATAACCCTTTTTCTCCCTTTTCATACTGCTCATTCAAAGTGCGACAATATTTTTTTTCATAACTCTCCTCTGATTTATAGCACTGTTGGAATTTTTTGTAGGTACGCGTCTATATTATGACGAGACACCATAATTTAAATTATTTTAGTTTTTACATTGCCTTCATTATAAGTTCTATAAAATCATGAAATTGTACTAGTATATTCTAATTCCTATATCAAAACAACATTAAAATATAAAGATATAAAAAATTATCGGTTATTTACAATAAAATAATTAGTAAAGTTTTCGAAAACCACTACCAACATTGAATGCAAAGCAAATGGGAAAACAGTACTACTGTACTAGTAATATTCCAATATATTCTTTATCTAGAACTATAATTTGGATGATGTGGTCTTGCTAATATATATTAACTATTTTTATATTCAGATCGGAGCAATCCTACGCCCGCACGATAGCGTCCCTAACACCAGGGTTGGCACTATCCGTTCCGTGGTCGTCCCCGGCTCGCTTGGCGCTGCCGGCAGCCCTAGGGGTGGCGGGTATACCAGCGCTCGTCATAGCCGATGGTACAGGGAAGATACTCACCGCCAATGGAAGACAACATCTCACCGCTGATCCTACAGGACTTGTGAGTTTTTTTTTTGATAAGTCAAACTTTTTTGAAAGTAAAATTTAAATTGGTTTCTCTGGTTAGGTTTGGAACAATTTAAAAATTCTTCTCGTCCAACTATCCAACAAAATGTTAAATATATATATTTTAAAATAATGTACGAAACTTAGAACAATCAATGCTATGCTGTTAGCCACTTCAAAAACAGATATCCTGAATCAATAAGCCATACTAGCTATCATAGATACGTATATTCATGTGCTTATCTCGTTTTAATCATCCTCAGAACTTCCCATGGTCTCAGCGACCGGTGTCAGCTCTGAACGAGCAGGCGCTCCTCAAGATGGCGAGACACCCCGCTGTTGTTCTGTTCGTTGGTAAATATGTATAAACATTTCCAACATTTATTATAATAGACACGACGATTAAAGTATACATTTTTATGGTAGCAGAGCCTAGCTGTGGTCAAATTACTGTAGGTCGAACACTCGTCTGATGAGTGTTCGAGCAATTTATGTTGTGTTATGTTCCATAGAGATCCGCAAAATACTCTTAATCTTTTAGTCTGTCAAGTAGGCCGTCGGCTCTTTTGACCCCTTTGTCATATAAAAAAACAAGGCTAAATATTTAATATTCCACAGACGACGAGGACGCCGAGATAGAGTTCTCAGAATCCGTTCTGACTCCATCAGCGGAGTCCTACTACGAGGAATGCAGCATCCAGTACCCAGGGTTCTGTCCCTACCAGAACTCCTCAGACGACGAAAGTATGGACTTCGACTACTCCACAAAAACCTCCCGCAAGAAGAAACCCTTCAAGCACGTGATGTTCTACATCGGTATAGATGGGACTGATAGCGCGGATATGATCAGGGAGCATATCGGTCTCGACGACGCTGTCCCACTACTAACAGCCATAGACTTCCCCAAACAACGCATGGTCACCATGAAATACGGTGACGAGATCACAACGGACTCCGTACAGAACTTCGTCGACGCATTCCTCAGCGGCAACGCCGATTTCAAACCACTCAAACCGTATACACAGAAATGTTGAGCAATAAAAAAGCATTTATAATTTCTAGGAAATCATTTTTCTTAATATCATATTAGAGAAATAGCACTTACGTCGTTCTTCGCTGTAACTGTGTTGACATTGTAGAAATTGCTAGCTCTAGGACGTAGTCGGCTATAACAATTAAGAGATTCGGCTGATGTTTTTTCAAAAATTATTTCCATTAGAATTCTATTAAGTAATATTAGAGAACGTTAGATTTAATATAGTTTTGTAATCGATCTGTAGATTTAGATGTTTAGATTTTTCAAGTACATACATTTTAAATTAAAGTATTAAAATTTTAGACACAAAACGAAAATACTTTTTTAAAATATGGATAGCGTTTTTCGAAACCAAGCTATTTCAATGAAAATAAAATTATGTATTTTAAAGTATATACAATTGCATTTATTACTTTTTAACAAGGAGGTTTCAATTGAACTGTGTATTTTTGTGTGTTTGTGCAGTTTCCTTTTTTTATGAAGTGATTTTGATAATTCTTTCTTACAATTATCAATATTTATACACAGATTGAATCTTTAAAGTATAAGAAAGAATGAAATGTATTTAGTAACTATACAAATTTTATACTAATTTTTTGGTCACGTAAAGTATTTCTAGGTGGACAAATAGACTTTACTGCTTATCAGTTATTTACACCAACAGTTCTGCTTTTTGAAGTAACAGTTTTGGAAAAACCATTTTTTTTTATATCTAACCAATGTTGGCACTACTTTTCAAACTTATCAACTTTGAGAGAAAATATAGAATACGTAATATAAAAGTATAAATTTTTTTTATTACGATATTTTATAAAACAGTTTTCCTCATTCATCCAATGTCGAGATTAATTCCAAAATATTAATGTAACTTATTGAGAATGAAGTCTTTTAGTAGGTTAATTTTTGTATTTCAAATAGGTTTTTAATTTTTATTAAATAGAATATATATGTCGAAAATTCCAGCAATTGTATTCTAAACACAAATTGTATCTGTGACTGTCATTTGTTTCATTTCATCACGTTTCTGTTTCTGGGTATAGCGTAGTAGTAGATACTAGAAGCAAGAATACCATTTCATAAATTTAGTATAATATATTAAACAAAACTAGGAATGCACTGAAAGTTTCTAAATATAAGTTCAAATCAAATACAAAGGTTTCACTTAAAAGTTTTCTTTTTTTTTTCACAATGTATTTTAATGTTTCCATATTAGATATTTTGATATTTATTCAAATTAAGTTTTGTGATGGTTATTAAATTTTACATTACGTATAAACTTTCGCGTATATTACATTTGAAAGGATTGTTGTTAAATTACATAGAAACTTACCAGTTTTAGAACTACAGTCAAAATAAACTATCATATTTACTTTTGTTTCTACGATCAGCACGTTTTATATTATAATGTCGGACGCATTTAATGAAATATATTAATAAACTTTCAATAATATAGTGTTTACTTTTATTTAACATCCAAAAACAAGACAAAAAACTCCTTAATATATTAGTATTGAATTATAAGAAGCTTTAAATATTTAATTATTTATCTAATTTACCTACTAAAAAAAAACTATTTTAAATATGGTTTTTAATTCATTTTGTGAATTGTAAAGTAACTAAATAGTTGAAGGTGAAATTAAAAGTTTTATAAAATATCACTTGCAAAGTTTCACTAAATCATCGAGCTTTAGTCAATCTTAAAGTTCTCAAAGTGATTTAAAAATTTATAATTATTCAAATATATTCAACAAAACCTACTAACGTTCTCCCAAACTAAAGACTTATTATTCGACGCCACGTTAATGCATATTCTTCGTTTAAGCATCAATACTAAATAAAGCATCTGCTAAGAAATAAAACATGCATAAAACTATTTAATTTAAAAAAAGCCGTGCCTCTTATGAGACTTTCATTAAATGTAATTGAAATAAATGCATTAGTATCTTATTTTTTAAATAGTGTTTAATAAAACCTTGATTAATAAAAATATGTTCAAATACGCTAATTCTACATTTTATAGTTAATACGACTTTTATAGCTTCTTTAAATTATTTTTAAGATTTAAATTAAAACTACATCAGAAAAAATACTACTTTTAATTAATTTATTATTATTTTGTATCTTTTCGAAAATTCTACTCAAATATTATTAAATGTAGGAGCGCATGGCAACACTATATTCGCCCCGCAATGTTTATGTATACTCTATAGTAAGTTTGATCTAGTCTATGATTTTGCCGCTTGGTTTCGTTGATTCAACCGACGCCATTATTATACTCTTCCTTTCCAATATTTCACGTGCTATATCTATACTGTTATTTATTCGTCGTGCATTTTCCAAAAATCACTAAAGACATGGCTGATAACGACGATCTTCTCGACTACGAAGACGAAGAGCAGGCAGATCAACAGAACGTTGACGGAGCGACCGAAGCGGCGCCAAAAAAGGAGGTTAAGGGATCCTACGTATCGATTCACAGCTCTGGCTTTAGGGACTTTCTGCTTAAACCTGAAATTCTACGAGCCATTGTGGACTGTGGTTTCGAACATCCATCAGAAGTTCAACATGAATGTATTCCTCAAGCGGTACTAGGTATGGATATCTTATGCCAAGCTAAGTCCGGTATGGGCAAAACTGCGGTGTTTGTACTAGCCACGCTACAGCAACTGGAACCTTCGGATAATCATGTATATGTTCTTGTCATGTGCCACACCCGAGAATTAGCTTTTCAAATCAGCAAAGAGTATGAACGCTTTTCTAAGTACATGGCCGGCGTCCGTGTGTCAGTTTTCTTCGGCGGCATGCCGATTCAAAAAGATGAAGATGTTTTAAAAACTGCATGTCCTCATATCGTCGTTGGAACACCAGGACGTATTTTAGCCCTCATTAACAATAAGAAATTAAACTTGAAACATCTAAAACATTTCATTCTTGACGAATGCGACAAGATGTTGGAATCTCTTGACATGAGAAGAGACGTGCAAGAAATATTCCGAAACACTCCTCATGGAAAACAAGTAATGATGTTTTCTGCCACTTTGAGTAAAGACATCAGGCCAGTATGTAAGAAATTCATGCAGGACCCCATGGAAGTGTATGTTGATGATGAAGCAAAACTTACTCTGCATGGACTTCAACAACACTATGTGAAACTTAAAGAAAATGAGAAGAATAAGAAGTTATTTGAACTCTTAGATGTGTTGGAATTCAACCAAGTAGTGATATTTGTAAAATCGGTTCAGAGGTGCATAGCTCTAGCACAACTTTTGACGGACCAAAACTTCCCTGCCATTGGAATTCATAGAAACATGACACAAGACGAGCGTCTTTCCCGTTACCAACAGTTCAAGGATTTCCAAAAGAGAATATTGGTAGCTACCAATCTGTTTGGAAGAGGGATGGATATTGAAAGAGTTAATATAGTATTTAATTATGATATGCCTGAAGACTCTGATACCTACCTCCATAGAGTGGCCCGAGCAGGAAGATTCGGTACCAAAGGCCTAGCCATAACAATGGTGTCGGATGAAAACGATGCAAAGATCCTGAATGAAGTCCAAGATCGTTTTGATGTCAACATAACGGAGCTACCGGATGAGATTGAGTTATCCACTTACATAGAGGGACGATAAAATGACAAATCATTCCTTTTAAATATTTGACTAAATATCACTTTGATTGCTAACGTAACTTTGAATGTAATTTGATGTTCATCAGCTACATAAATAGTAGATTGTTTTTAGTAACTAAGTGACTTGCATGTCAAATGAATATACTACGATAGACCTAAGATTTGAATTAAACTTTTTTGTGAATTGTGTAATTTACTTTTTTATTTTGTCATAACTCCCTGCATTTAAAACATGAATATCTCGTCTTAAATAAAAGCCATAAATAAATATTTTTATTTTATCATTTATTGTTAGTAAGTTCCAGAGATTTTACAACATAAAAAAATAGTCCTTATACAGTTTATAGAATAGAGAAAACAATCACAAATTCTGTTCAAAAGAATTACTGATCTCCAAAAGGCTGTTTAGGGGCATAACTATTGTATGTTTTCTCATGAGTCAGTCGTGTAATCAAATCCAGAGCCCACTTAGGCTGGTCGCCGGGTACCATGTGGCCAGCATTTCTTACCATAATCTCCACCAATTTCCCTCCTTGTTTCACATATCCAGCCAGCTCTCCATCTACATACCACTGGTATCTTTTGGCATTCTTATACTCTTCAGATCCAGTAAAATTGAGATTTCTCAAATAATTAATTGTCAATGGATATGCTACTATTATGTCTAACTGTCCATTGTATACCACAACATGGTAATGATCAAGTAACTCAGCTATCCAAGGTGCAACTGACTTCATTACATCTTGTTTTAAATGCTGTTCAACTTCTTTCCCAACATTGAATGTCATATTTCCTACATGTATTGCCTTTCTAACAAAACTTTTTTGTAGCATTGGACCAAAGTCTTCAAACTGTTTATAGTCTTTGGTGTGAAGGAAATTGAAATAAAATTCAAAACCGGTCATGTTATAGAAAATACTCTTTCCATCAATGAGATCTCCGTTTAGTAAAGTATCAAAGGCGTCAAATGCTTTATCAAATTTCTGCTGTTTGATTAAATCTACAACTTTGTTTTCAGCATCAGCAAATATTTTGGCTTGGTTCCAATCTAAAAGTCCTATTTGATACAAGTACTTGCTGTATACCAATTGGTGTTCCGGGTCACTTAATCCATTTCCTATTGCCAATGCCTTGAGGTTGATTTTCAATTTTGCAGATGGATTTTTCTTATGTATAGTGTAGGCAAAAGCTGGAACATATTTACCAGCATATGACTCCCCGGTAATAAAAAATTTGTTGCCTTGCAATTCTGGGAACAACTGAAAGAATTGTATAATTGTGGAGTAAAGCTGTTCTCCTACTTGGGTTTCGTTTTGACAGTAGCCCCGAGAATCCTTGGTAAAACTGAAGCCAGTTCCCACTGGGTTGTCAATGTAAATAAGGTGGTGGCTTAGAGCCCAGTTATATTTTCTCCTCTCAAATTTATTATTACGAACTCTTAGAGGCCCATTTTCAGTAAAGAGACCATATAGTGAAGACGCACCTGGACCTCCTTGTAGCCATACGATCACCGGCGCATCTTTATTATTAGCCAACATGGCGGGAAAGTACCAGAAGAATTGATTCGAATCATATTCCTTATTCACAGTGAAGTATCCAGCATAGCTTTTAATTTGCAAAGTCTCAGTAAAAGCAACGCGGGCAAGACGCCTACCTTCTGTGATATTACCACTTTCAATGAACGGGGTCAAAAATAATGGCTTTCCAGGATCACCACCATCTACACCCAAATTTATTTTCGGGTATCTATGAAGAAATCCATATGCGGATATTTGTATCAGTAAAAAAACCAAAATTCTTAAACTCCACATGTTACTTGATTGTTCGCGTTTTGTGAACTGTAACAAATAAAACAGTTAATATTATAATTTATCGCAATATTTTATTACAACCCATATTTTATTGACCTTTGTGATGACCCTACGACCGGTATAATCGGCGAATGATAGGTACTGTTTTTTATTCACCTACCATATATTTATATATGCGAAAATACCGAAACGGATCAAAGATATTTTAAAATGTTAATATATTATTAGTCTACACCTTAATTAAATTATTATTTTCATGAACGTAAAATGAACATTTATTTTGTAAAAATCTTTTTTTTAATAAAATCTGTACGAAATAATTTAAAAAAATTCCTATTCAAAATTTAATAATGAATCCTTGCCACGGATTCATAACTTTTTTAACAAACGTACCTATCCATTACACATTGTACTAAAATAATAAAATAACTTAAACACATTATAATAATTATTACTATTCCTCGTCATCCTTTCCTAGCAAGTTTTAACGAATAATATTGATTGTCTTTTAATTTATTTCATTAACGATCTGAAAATAAAGTTATATGTTCTTCAAGACAATAAATTAAATTAGCACATAGTTTTTACTAACCTTATAAGTAACCAAATGACCTCAATCTTTGTCACAACACAACACCACAAATCTGAAAAGAATATGAAAATAATTTTATAAAGTCCGTTACTAAATAGTGTAATATATTAAAATTTGTTCCAATATTCTGTCATACAGATGATTGATTTATTGATGTATTTAAATCTATTAATAATATTTCATATACATTCATGAGTCACTTGATCAAACATTTATAGTTACAAGATATCTTCGTAAAACAATTAGTATTCTACTTAAAGCAAATATTTAGAAATATTATACAGTGGTCAAAACTCCGAAGAAAAAGCAGAATACATTTTTTTAAAGAAAATATGTATTGCCTTTTTAATTAAAAACATTATCAAAATAATCTTACAACAACTTAATAAATTTAGTTGGAACTTGCAAGTATCACTTTTACGCAAATATGAGAAAGAATCAATAAGCCAAGAGTTCAGGGGTCAGGTCTAACATTATCAATATAGGAGAAACGAAGACTTCTTACTCCATGTTTATACAAATCTGCACCAACTTACGTGAATCATGGAATGAAACAATGATTTAGCAAAGTAATTTCATTTTTTAAATAAATTACAAATCAGTCTTTCTGGATACAAAGGTTAGGTTAGGTTCAGTAACAAAGATCTACTTATGTTTAAAAAAATTTAGCTTACAATCAACTACTATTTAAATTGCATATAACAATAACTGCAAGATTTATGAGAAAACAGAAAGATATATTTGTGTAGTATTATTTTATTTAGTACTCTTTAAACTCGAAAAGCTGTCATATACTTTTTTGCTATTGTTTTTATTTTCATTGAATAATTAAGATTCATATATAACTATGACTTTAAAAAATAAGTAGAATATAAATAAAATAAATTGAATGCTTTTAATGAATAACGTGTATAATAGCATAACATATAATACAACACTAAAATTTATTGAGACATCATTACATGCGCTGTTTTATTAGAGCACTACTTAAACTTATCTAATAAATATCAAAATTTAAAACCTAAATATAAATAATTATACACAATTTTGAGCATACTTTGATATTGCTTGAAAGCTATAACAATAATTTCGTAATGTACTGGTATTGTCTTTTTAATGTTGCCCACGAAATCATTTAGAACTGGACACATTTGGAACAAAAATTGTTTGTACCAAACACATTCTATCTTTGAAAAAATATTAAGTTTCTTGAAATAAATATTCCGCAAATTTTTAAATAATTTCCATTTTTAAACAGATTATAAAATTGTTTTCAAAGCTAATTCTAATTGTGTAAATCAGTAAAAGTTAAATTGTTTATTCCCTCCCCTAATGTCAAGGAATTGTCTACTACGAATGTCAAAACAATCTGATTTTTTGTTATCTTCAGAGTTTGCAATTTGCTATTTGATTACAAATAATATTTCTAACAATAATGGCTATACATAGATATTTTGTAATAGTTTCGTTTATTATTCTCAATTCGTTAAATTTTACGTTTGCTACATTTTTTCCTTACGTATACCCTAGAATAAAGTTTGAGGCAAAACTTCATGGAGATGCGGGTGACCCACTTTTGCTTACACCCTTAATAGAAAACGGCGATATTGAATTAGCAAGAAATATGTCCCGTGTTTCGCTTACTGAAAAAATCGGCTTTAGAAGTCATGCAGGATTTTTAACTATAAATGCTGAATATAATTCCAACCTATACTTTTGGTACTTCCCACCTTTTAATGATAACATTGGAGCACCAGTTGTATTATGGCTTCAGGGTGGTCCAGGAGGAAGTTCATTGTTTGGCTTATTTACTGAAAATGGTCCTCTTATAGCAAGAAAAGATGGATTCTCATTAAGAAAATACCATTGGGCTCATGAAAATCATCTTATTTATATTGATAACCCAGTGGGAACAGGCTTTAGTTTTACAGATAATGAAAATGGTTACTGTTCTGATGAAACTTGTGTAGCAAAAGGGTTGTACAACTTTTTGCAGCAATTTTTCCAGCTTTTTCCACAGTTAAGGAATAACAATTTTTTCATTAGTGGTGAATCATATGCAGGAAAATACCTACCCTCCTTAGGTATGGAAATTCATCTGCAAAACCATCGAGGGTTGAATAAGATAAACTTAAAAGGGCTAGCTTTGGGAAATGCTTACTGTGATCCATTGAACCAGTTGGATTATGGAAATTATCTCTACCAACATGGCATGATAGACGATAGACAAAAATTAGTTTTTCTCAAGATGCAGAAGGAAATATCTGATAAAATCAAGAAAGAGAACTGGGCTGAAGCTAGCATTCTGATGAACACTTTAATGGATGGAGACCTCACTAACTTCTCATACTTTAAGAACTATACAGGCTTTGATAATTATTACAACATACTAGAGCCTAAAGATAATACAAATGTTAGTATTTTCGAGGCCCTTCTAAACAGTGACAAAATAAGGCGCAGTGTTCATGTTGGTGGCCTACCATTTCACTCTGGTAAAGAGGTTCAAATGTGCCTAGCATTTGACATTTTAAAATCAGTTGCAAAAGCAATATCAGAACTCCTTTCACACTATCGCCTTATGTTTTACAATGGTCAGTTGGATATTATAGTTGCATATCCATTGACAGAAAACTTCCTACGTAACTTAAACTTCTCATCAGCAGCGGAATATAAAGTGGCTAAAAGAAGAATCTGGAGGGTTGGAGATGAGATTGCTGGATATATAAAGAAGGCTGGTAATCTCACTGAGGTCTTAGTCAGAAATGCTGGTCATATGGTGCCACATGACCAGCCTAAGTGGGCATTTGATCTTATAACACGTTTTATTAAGAATGAATTATAATGCCTCTCATTACCACACACTTGATTTTTTAAATGAACAAAGTACAGCTTTATTATTTTTCACATATACAGGGTGACTGGTGAATTACTATCAATATTTAAGGAGAATACTCGGTACATGATTCTCATTCGAATTATGTAAAAAAAATAGGCACTTAATTTTTGACAAAATTTCCGTATAAATAAGTAAACTGTTGACACGTTCCAAGTGTTCAAGTGTGGACGCGTGAGGCGGCGTGCTGACACAACACCACGTCACGACACGCGTATGTGTGAGTGTCAGTGTATACCTAATCTGTAGGGTGTTCATACGATGCGTAATTAATTACATAACTTTTGGTTAACTTTACTTAGAAGTTTATTAATATTTATGTTATATTAATTTTTATTTTGTCATATATGATCGTCAAATATCACGTCCTCAAATATCGATAGTAATTCACCAGTCACCCTGTATTTAATTTTTTCCATTATATTTTTGTTTTTGTAATCATTCCTTACATGTTTTATATTGGAATTGGATCTGATAATAGTTGGAGATAAAACACGATTTGTGATATTTTTATGCCTTTATGATGTATATGATATGACATACAATGACTCTGTTGTCTTTATTTATTAAAAATAAAACATTTAAATTTTTGACATACTTTGATTTCATTATTTCGAACAATAGCTCATAAATAATAATAAAACTAAGTCAATTAAATAATTAACTTATTACTTACATTAAATACAATAAAGAAATTAATCAAAAGTAATTTAAATCTTAAACAGACAAATCATATGTTACTACTACAATGTTATTTAGGAGAGTTGAGATGACAATAAATTGGATAAACTAACAACTATTTCAGCCTAAAAATTACATATTTTTATTTATTATAAGGCGGATGAGATATATTTTGTTAAAGGAATTGGAAAAATTGACATATTTCTAGGGATTTAATTATTAAGTAATCTTAACATGATAACCTGTTACAAACCATCACTAATATATTATGATTTATTAAGCCAATAGTGCTGTTAGAGCGTCAAGAAACTGCGCTCTTTGTGCTATTGGCAGTGACACCACAGATGTGTCCACATAATCCAAAGACACAGATGCACCACTCTTAGCAGCCGCCTGTTCAAACGCAGCTCCAAACAGACTGGAAATAAATATAAGAATTTAAAACAATATCACAGGATAATTTTATGGTATATAGTTTATATTGTTTCTATTCATTAAAGCAATATTTAAGTTTTGTGTTGAATAAATTATTATATAAGGGGGCATAATGAACACACGAGTTGATCTTAAATATTAATAATCCATGTATGTAAACGTCGTGTTAATTATTCTACATATTTATAAGTCAAGAACAGATCTACGCATTTGAGTGAAAATTTATGTGTAGGTAGCTAATAACTAGAAGACGGAGATAGAATACTTTTCATCCCGTTCGATAGAAAAATTAAAAATCCGAAATTCGCTTATTTTCTATCTTTAAGGCAGAACAGAGTTTGTTCAATATATTTATAATTCTGAAACTGAAGCAGACGAAGTCGCGAGAAAAAACTAGTTTACGATAAATTTAAAATAATATTATAGGTAAGCAAAAGCTTAATATGTCATTAAAATGCCTTCATTATTTGCTGTGTGCTCAGAGTGTCGTTTAAACAACTAGTCTTAGTCCAGATTGTTACAAAAGGCATTTATTTATCACTAATCATATATCAAGTTGCAAAAAAATAATAATGTATAATATAAAGCTTATTTCTCATATAAGGATGTTAGAATAATATTAATTTTAGTATAAATATCTATGTAAGTAAATATCAAATTTTAAGGATATCTTTTCATACAATATTTGTGAATGCAGGACAAAGTGATTGGTGTAATACGACAGAGATTATAACCGATGCATAAAAGACATAGACAGATTTTTGTAATTGCTTATTAAATCAAGACAAGAAATTGAATGAATGCAACATAAATTCTACAAAATCTTAAACCATTCTGGCTATAGTAGTATGATATTTAGAATAGACAGAAGTTTCCTATTAACAAGAATGCAACTGTATCATATTATATAAACTTAGCTTATCTATTTTTTTATGCTAAGGCCTCATTCACACTGGAATCATGTAATATTTGGGCAGTGTAAACGTTTTCATTTGTTGGACGAATTATAATCTTGAGTACTGTGTGGAGGAAACGCAATCTTGGTCTATTGGGATTAGTAACATAAAAAAATATTTTAAAGTGACTTCTTTATGACAAATGGGATATTTTACACTAATTTCCATGAAAATTATAATAATATGTTCTCTTCCCATTCTCATTCTTACTCAAGTTATTTAAGTTGAGGACAATGTCAAAAAACGTAATCAACTTTAAACATAATATACTATTCATCTATACTAATATTATAAAGCTGAAGAGTTTGTTTGTTTGTTTGTTTGAAAGCGCTAATCTCCGAAACTACTGGTTCGAATTGAATAATTCTTTTTCTGTTGGATAGTCCAGTTATCGAGGAAGGCTGTGGGCTATATAACATCACGCTACGACGAATAGGAGCAAAGATATTGTGGTAAATGTGTAAAAAACGGGAGAAATTATTTCATCTTTGAAGCCTTCCGTTGCGTGCGCTGTGAAAACGGTTCAAGATACACAAAAAAATATGTATTAAAGAATAATAGCTCTTTTAATGATCTAAAAAACAGTCCGCGACAGTATATGTCTATCTTTTAAGATTAACTCACAAAAACCGTTTTATGGTACCTAATTTGGTCGAAATAATTTGTTTAAGTTGTATCAACATAATAATATTAATCTTTATTCAAATAAACAAATGTTGTTGGTTAAGAGTATTGTGAATTAAAAAAAAACATAGGTTTTATTCTGAAAATTCTACGGGAACTCAACCATTCCGAAAACCCCGCATGAACGGGAACTATGTGGGAAGAACCAAAAATCTGCCGGAAGTCACTATTCCACGCTGACGAAGTCGCGGCAAAAGCTAGTACTATATAAAACAAAGTTTTATCCGATCTAATATCAACAAATTATAAAAAAAAGCTGTTTCAATATTTTTAAATAATAATTACATAATAGAACAATTATGTATTGTTCCACAACTAAATTTATACTTTAATTATAATATTTTAATGATTTTGTCATTTATCATAATTTATAAAAAAATATTGATTCTTTGTCATGTCTATCATAAATTATTATACTGTTTTTATTGTTAGATTACTATTTCATATTACACTTTTATAATTATAGTAATCTTAACTAACTTATGGTTAATTTTTTATGTGACAGTGAAAATTCATATCATACATTGAACCAGTTGTTAAATTTTTGTTTACTAGCTTATTTTACTCTAACTGGTGTATAGAATATGTGATTTTAATGGTGTACTTGCGATTCATTAAGTGAATGTTGCCAATGAAATAAAAATTCATTTTTCAGATATCACTAAAACTGTACAATATTTATTTTATTCAATCCCATTAGTTATTAAGGACTTTAACTCAGTGTTGTAAAATGTATGAATTGTTCGGTTACTTATTGAACCCATTAAGTTTAATAATAAAATTGAACTATTTAATGGAATTCTTAAGTTAATCTCATATATGATTGTCAACTAACTTCCGTGGCTCTTGATCGAAACGCGGCGGTATCCCTAGCAAGAGGCATCTTCCGTCTGATAGCGGTGATGAGGCCAGCAGAGGCCGTCGAGAACCGCCGGCCCGCGCCGCCCACCGCGCTGCCTCGCCCAGCCATAGTGGACCTCTTAACGACAATGACTCCGTAGCACCCTGTATATAAACAAAACAAATATATATATCATCATTGTTCAGCTTGTACATTCTACATGTGTACAGTATGATGATATTAAAGAGCAAACAACATGATTACTTAGACTGATAGAGAAAAATAATGATGACTTAGAAAATAATGTTGCTTAAAATGGTCGCATAAAATAATCATTTCAATCGCTATGCAATATTATAAAATGGCCCTTAGAACGATAATTCAACATGGCGATCGCTTAGAAAAAAAAATAATGCTTAAAATAAAGATTGAAGATTATGTACATGGCTTAGATTGACAGGTAAAGCATAATATAGTCGGTTAAAATAAAGATGGAATCTCATGTAAGTCGCTTAAATTGATAGTTCAAGGCTCAAATATTACCTTAAAATAAAGTTAGAAGATTATGTACATTGCTTAAATTGAGAGTTAAAGGACAAAATAGTCGCTTAAAATAAAGATTGAATCTTATGTATTTTGTTTATATTAACAGGTAAAGCATAATATAGTCGGTGAAAATAAAAATGGAATCTCATGTAAGTCGCTTAAATTGACAGTTATAGCATAAAATAGTCTCTTAAATAGAGATTGAACATTATGTATGAAGCTTAGATTGACACGTATATAATAAATATTCGCTTAAAGTTAAGATTGATTTCTATAAATATCGCTAAATTTATAGGTAGACAAGGAAATGGTCGCTTAGAATAAAGATTCGACTATATGATGACCGCATAGATTGATAGGTAAAGAATAAAATAGTCTCTTAAAATATACATTGGACAATATGACTATCGCTCAAAATGACTGGTAGCCATTGAGAGGGTCGCTTAGAATAAAGATTGGACAATAAAACACAAGCTTAGATTGATGTAAAGAATAAAATAGTTCCTTAAAATATATGTAGATCGGACAATATGACAATATTATCTTAATGTACAGTAAAAACAAAAAAAAAACATTTTATATTGATGGATAGATAAGACGAAGATCATTGAGTAGTTTATGTAAACTGATGATGACTTAAATTAGGTTTGTGTTCAAACAACATGAAGATCGCTACTTTAATAATGTTTTAGAATTCATCGTCGTGCGCTCGAACGTATAACACGTGCCGTGCAATAAAAAGTGATCTGTGAATACCCCCCGAATGGCTAAATGTGACAAGTGCAATAAATATATCACCAAAAATAAACCTGGTTTAGAATGTAACCGATGCGAGAAGGTAGTGCATTTGAACACCATATGTTCAGAGCTTTCGAATAAACAACTGTCGGCAGTACGTGCAGTGGAAAATCTAGAATGGACATGTCGAGAGTGTCACGAAAATTCTCCAAAACGTCACTCAATTGTTATTCCTGACGATGATGAAGAGGAGGAAGACAAGCGAAATGAGGCTCCGGATCTAAAAATTGACATGCAGCAACTGTTGGCAGACATAACAAGGCAAATGGAGAAAACCATTAAACGCGAAATGAAAGAACTTAGTCAATCCTTGCAATTTCATAGTGAGAAAATGGATGAAGTCATTACAGTGTTACAAGTTTGCGAAGAAACCATAAAAGATTTAAAGAAAAAGAACATCGAACTCATAAACAAAAATAATAATCTAGAGACGAGGGTAGGTGCACTGGAACAGCGTTTACAAGAAAAAGAGCAGCGGGAGTTATCTAACTGCGTTGAAATTTGTAATGTTCCTCAAAGGGTTAATGAAAATACTTATCTGCTAGCTAAACAGGTTGCAAAAAAACTTAATCAACAATCTAAAGATATTAAAGAAGCAATTCGTCTACCAGCTAAGAAAGAAAATCCGAGCCCTATTATGATCAAACTAAAAAATGAACAACTTCAAAACTCGTGGCTAACATCTGCAAAGTCAAGTTATCATAAAATTAAAGGGGTCGATATTGTTCCCGAAACTACTGACAAAATTGAAGGTGAAAAATCCATATATCTCAGAGAAACCCTAACACCGTATAATAGACATTTACTATGGTTTGCCAAAAAAGAACTAAGTACCACCCACAAATTCATCTGGATCAAAAAAGGAATTTTAGGTGCACGCAAAGAAGGTGATAAAGAAAAAGCAATAATTATTCGATCAAAAGAAGATGTTAATAAACTAAAATAATTCTTAATTATACGTAGGTACATAGGTTATACTTATTGTTTTATAGATAAAATTTCTTCTAAAGATGGATAACATCAGAGATAATATTTTAGAATTATCAGATTGTACTAACTTAAAAATATTTATAGACAGTATACCTACTAACATAAATCTATTATGCATTCATATAAACATTAGGTCAATAATCAATAATTTCTCAATACGAGAATACTGTATTCAGCAAAGTTCAAAAATTCCGGATGATGTAATTATAATCACTGAAGCTAATATATCAGAATCGCTAAGCTATTTGTACAACCTGCAGGGATATAATATGTACACACAGTTGCGTACGGGGCGCAAAGGAGGAGGCATTATAATGTACGTACGAAAAATTAATAAATTTACCACTAAAAATTACAAACCACAACATTTCGAGCTTCTTTTTGGTTAAATTAACACTTCATGGGGATATAAGGCAACTTTGTGTGCTATATATAGACCACCTAGTAATAGAAAGCACTTATTTGTAAATGAACTAAACATATTTCTTAATAAAATATGACAGAGTCAGGATATATGTATATGTATAAGGAGATATAAACTTTGTCTTAAAATATAACTGTCCTATAAAGAATAAATATAGCACTGTTATGTATAATCACGGGCTTGCGTGTGGGATCTCGGAATATACCCGTGTAGAAGAGTGTAGTAAACAAATTAGTAAGACATGTATTGATCACATTTACGCGAGATCTTAGAATATCTTGTTCCAACATTTTTGAACAATCTTACTAATGATTATAAGTAATAATAAAGAATATTTTTTAAATATTAATAATAATACTTAATATTACTAATAAAATAAAATTAAGTAATATCTCATAAAGGGAAACGGATCACCTGTATTTGCACTATCTACAAGTTATTTCTTTCAAATGCATTATCGCAAAACCGGCTTTAATGACCGACCGGCCGAGTAGTGCATCGTAAGTACCTATTGTATTATTAATATAATTTAAAAATCTTTTAACGTTTACCCTCACATATGAGTTATAATTAAACTAACATCAGTTATTCAAACTCTTATGTAGTTTATAGTGTTATAGGTAGTATATTTATGTACTAAAAGTTTCGGGTGTACTCGATGAATGCCGGTGTACGGATAAACCCGAAAGGGATTTTGTAACACCGTAAAAGAAATTTGTAATGTATTATATAAATAAATAATAATAAATAAAAATAAAAATATATAATAACTCACCTCCTGTACTATGAAATAATTGAAAGGTCCGGCCAGCATGAGACCCCGCGAGGCAAGTGTGCTCTGTGACATACGAGCTACAGCCTCAAGAGACTTCTTAGCTGCGGCGATGCCTTGTTTGAGACTGTCGTTCTCACCGCAGACTTGGAGTGACGCCAGCGCCAATTGGAAACCTTCCTCGCGGGGTATGCTCTCCTGTACATAGTATTTATTATATATAGATAACTTTGTTCTGAGATGAGATTTTGTATCAGTATTTTTGTCTTATTTATGATCGCAACATGTATATATGACGATATTTTTTTTAACTTCTTAGTATCTGAAAGTTATTTTTTCAGAATACCTATCATGCTTTACTGTTTCTTCCTGTGTGTATATTTTTGGATATGAGAGAAGGTATAATAAAATATATTTGAAAGACAGTAATATTTAAAGGAGGTTGGTTATGACTTGTACAAAAATATTTACTGCAACTTTAGTCTATGCCATACTCTGCTATTGCTGTACTATAGTTTCCAAAAAGATGGTATTTTGATTGATATTACCAATTAATCATATACAGTTTCATACTAAAATTGTTCTTTTGTATTATTTATATAAAGATAGTTAAGTTTAGTCATATAGTACGTGTTCTATGAGCGCCATGATGGCGTACACAGCATCTAGGGCCGGCACAGGCGGAGCGTGCGCCCTCCGCAGTAATAAGGCTGTGTGAGCGGGCGGGGGCAGCTGGTGGCGAGGAGCGACACCCTCCAGCGATGATAGTAACGAACGACGGAGCTCCACATCCATAGAACGATAAGCCTGACGAGCTTGCTGAAGTGGGAACCTGAAATATTATTACAGACATATTCAGCATATTGACGTTAAGCTTGTTATTTATATATTAACTTGTGAGTGTTTGGTAAGCAAGTAAAAAATAAAAAAATTCTAATATAGACACAATCAAAACCATAGATTTAAGGAAAATATATAATATTTTATTTTATATGGCGATTATATTACACTCTCACAAGTTTGTACATAAATTTTGGACGTTTGTTTGAAACATTTATAGACATTTGTCGAAATACCTAAATATGATAGAATGGGAGAGTGTGAAGCCACATCAATGTATTTTACATGATTGTATGATCAACCAAGATCAAACAATAACATATATATATTTGAATCATATATAAAATAAATTCAATGATATTCTAACCCCATATCAGCGAGTAGTTGTCGTACTCTGGCGTTGCCTGAGGCCGTGTGAAGTTTCAGTAGAGGAGCTATTAACGGAGCATGTCTCAGAGCCGATTCTACCGACCACCAGCGGTACAGAGGCAGGTTGAGATCCTTATCAACAACAACTTGAGCATACTGAAAAAGGAAGAATTATAAATACTAGATTACATGGAACATATTTTTCTTTTCTTATCCCACTTTATGTAGGGTCGGCACAACATGTTCTTTTCTTCTACATAACATGTTGTAAATAGTTTGGGCTAATTGTTTTTACTGCCTGAAATCAACCCTCTTTGGGAATGCATTACATTGAACATATGAGATACATAAAAGAAATGTAAAAATATTCCTCCATAATTATATAAAGATTGTGTAAGATACTTGAATTATAACATTGTAGATATTTAATTATTAAACTGATGTTTTGTTTATTTAAATACATTTTAAGTACCGATATGCTTAAAACAAACATGAATACATCTATTGTAATTTTTTTTAATAACTTAAAAGATTTAAAAAAATCAGAGTTAACCCAAATAATATTATATATGTAACAGTTTGTGAGGATGTACATAAGTTTTCTCATTCATAGGAAAATTATTGATAGATTAAGGCGATACAGGCCCAAGATATAGCTTAGACATCAGAGTAACATATAGGTCAAAACATAATTAGACGCTCCATGAAGTTCCTTAACAAACACTTCATAAAATTTTATTTTGTATGAAATCACATGACACAAACAACACATATTGCTATAATTTACCATGTCTATTCCAAAAGTCCAAGTGGACAAAGTTAAGGGCATAAGCTAGTACATACTTAAAATAATAATAAATAGTTCTAAACATGTATTCCTCACCCGCTGGTCATCACCTCTAGATGCTGCGGCAACATGTCTCTGTAGAGGTTCCATATCTAATAACCTCCTTGCTGGCGGGCGCACAGCGAGCGCGGCCTGCGCCGAGCCTCCCACCGCAGCGCCCCATAGCACTCCTGCATCCACTCTCGAAACGCGCACAGCCAACTCCAAGACCACACATGAACTCTAACACACAAAATTATATATATTATATATCAAACTACTAAAATTATACTGAAAGAAAATTGACATATAATAACTTGATAATATCATGGCTAATTGACTGTATCAATAATTCATATGTTAAAAGAAAATAGACCGCAGTGATAAATGTTATATCCAGTGGCGGCTGTACCTTAAGTGCACTCGTGCGCTGAACCACCAATTCAAAAGATTTAAAAATTACAAAATATTACTTCATCTTTATTTTTAATTTAACATTTTAATATTTATTTTTAAACATACAAAAAAGTATAAAAATTTAAATTTCCTTATTATGGTCAAAAAGTTTGAGCGCTTTAGTAAGCTAATATCGTGCGCTTCGGCGAGTACACGAGGACTGCTAATACATCTTGTATGAGACACGAATTAATACGCCTGACACGTGAAACAAAAGATAGTTCATAGAAATGTACCGAGTAATGAAACGGTTCTCGAGCACCGCACGAGCGGCCGAAGATTACTGAGAGCACCCGATGTATGACGAATTGAGCCATAATTGACATCTCGTTATGTTTTGATGCATTTCCTAATTTTAATATTTTAGTAAAGTGCACCACCAGTTCGATTTCCCACCAGCCGCCACTGGTTATATCGAACATTAAGTGTAACATGGAGAATAAATAAAAAGCCATTTTTTAAGTCCCAACTTGAATCTATAAAAAAAGTTATCATGTAAAGTATTTTATACCGGTTTTCCATAGTAGCTAAACTGAGTATAATTAAACATGAGTGTGTGGCGTCTCTCCTCCCAAGCTTTACGAGTGCGACGACGCTCTATAACTGCCTCAAGAGCTTCACGACCTTCTTGCTCTTCCTCCTCCTGTAAATAGAAAACAAAAATTGGTTCAAGGTATACTGCAATTACTTATAACAAAATATGAAAACTCCAAAAACAAGTGATTTTGCTGTTGGAGGCAACATTTGTATAATGTGTTACTAAATAATTTAAATAAGTTTTAGAATCAAGTGTTTTCTAGATGATAAGGTTTTGGGTCACAAAACATTAATGAGTCCTCCAGACACAGATTCTCATTAATTGTCTTATCATAACTACTGTTGAGAGATAAGTAAGTTAGGAAAATAAAGAAATTATGAAACAATTACTTGAAAAGGCTTATATTAAGTTTTTTAAATTGTATATCAAGAGTGTAGGTTTATAAATAACATTTGATAAGCTCACCTCCTCCTCCTCATCTCTGAATATATCATCAAAGTTTGGAATGTTTTCTTCATCATCCTTATATATAAGCCTTACCTATAAACCAATGGAACTTTAATATTTGGTAGTCAAATTTATTTGTTCTCATATATGTATGTTGATAATTTATGTAAATAAGTATATAACACTTAATTAAACTTTATTTTCTGCTTTCTTATAAAGTAATTTGAATTGCATGCATTTCAAAATGTTCTTACTTGGCCATCACTATAAACATTGCAAATATCTGTTGGTTTATGAGAGTCCAGAACAAAAAACACAACATCTTCCTCTGGCTGTAGAATATCCACTAAATCTATAGTCCCACCACAATTCACTAAAACTACATATTTAATCTCTTCGTTGTTCTCATCATAGGCACTCTTTAATTCTGATATACCCCCAACTGGGACTAATGTATACGATATGTTATCACATTTAAATAGATCTTGAAGAATTTTACAGGCACAAATTGCATCCACATCGTAGTGTACAAGTAGCAACACCCTCTGCAACATTTATTTATAAGTTATTTTTTAAAATACCCATTGATACACATGTAACAAACATGCTATACTTACGTTTCCGAGAACTACATTGTAAAAATCATTTCGTATATCCTCTATAAACATTTTATTCTATCAATATTCGGATAAATCTAGGGAATCATACTCTCTCAAATAATTTGTAACACAAAAAACATTTGCTCGAATGATCCACACGAGCATACAATTCAATGTCAACTTTTGTCTATCAAAAAGTTGTTTTAATAACTGTCACCGATCACTTTAAGACTTCAAAGTTACAAATTAGAATTTTTCCCGCCATATCTTTTAGATGCGTTCAGAAAATTATAATAGAGAACTTACTTCATACAAAAATGTAATTATTTGAAACACAATCTGTAATTTTTGATTTTATTAATTTTAATTAAATACGTTATTTGATTTTTTCACATTCATAATCTTAGTAATTCAAGTGAACAATATGATTCGTTACACTAACACTAAAGAAAGTTACATCCTTTCTTAGTACTTTGACCTGAGTTTTCAATGTAAAATTAAACACGTATAAAAACTATAGCAGAAAAACTATAGTAACAACTGAAATCAATATCATCACTATTCTTATTAATCATGAGACCGATTTTACAAAAGTTTTGCCACAGTTAGAACATGTAATCTTTTACCTTATACTTCAATTATATTCATGTAGGACTATTAGGTTTATTTAAATTACATACATAATTATTACATATTTGCACAGGGTAGGAAAACAAAACAACTTAATTATTAATAATTCATTTATTCTCATATATATCACTTGTTTATTCGTTTCTTATAGCTATTAACATGATGATTAGCTATTCTATAAGCAATTGTGTTACTTCTCAATAAGTTACTAGAAAGGGCTCTGAAATACGATTTTATAAGAGATTCGTCTGTTTCCTCTGGACACAAATATTCATTGAACTCATAACATAAATAACTCTCTGGACAGTCTAAGGCCCTTAAGCAACCTGCATATTCGGACCACAATAATTTTCGCCACTTTACATTATGTCTTTGGGCCAATGGCACCAAAACACAGGCAGCAAATATTGGATCTCCATAACTCACTGATTGGAACTGCTCCAGAAACTGTGTGTAGAAATCTTGAAAATTATTTAGGCCAGTCAATTGTTTATCAAAATTAAAATCATTACCCTTTCTAAATAACAATTGTATACATTTCTTTAACAACACTTGTATAGTTTTATCTAAAAATAGTGAGTTATCACATAAGTATACACACATTATTCTACAGAATCTATCTGTTATGTCTATGTCTTTCAACAAGTCTGGAAAACACATTTCATTGAACACAATCCATTGAAGGCTGCATTTCACTAACATTTCCTTTTCAGCTGCAATCTGTTGCTTGACTCGTATTGCATGTTCACCTATTACTTCCGGGCTTGGTGTTGCCTGACTACTGCTATATAGAGACAATATTGGTAAGTAAATCCAGTCCCTCGGCAACACTGGATCCCGCCACTCCTTCAATACAATATTACCACTTATTTCAATTTTATTTGCATTGATTACTTTTGTATAACATGCTTTAATATCATCTACATTCACTAAGACTTCACCAATCCCATCATCTTCAGATAATGAGATAATGTTCAATAATCTTTCTGCTGTAAACCAATCTTTGTTATAAATTATATTATTGAACAGGTAATCTAATTCAGATTTTTTATCAACTCTGAGTATGTAACATAGTGTGCTGGATACGGAGTAAATTAAATCTTTCGATGATTCTGAAGTGATGGTCTTTGAATGTAACTTTACTATGTTAAAAACAAAATCAATTTCCATTCTTGTAAACCAGTTGCTGCATAAACTTGGCTCTTTCTTTGACAACTTTGTTAAGTATTCTGTAAGTTGTTCTAAAAATAGTTTTGATATATTTATATCATTTATAATGTTCAACAATTTAAACAATGACACCAAAACTGGGATAGGGGACAAAATATTCAATATTGGAAGGACTTTTTGAGTTGAATCAATGATAGATCCACCAAGGCTGACAAGATTTTTAAAAGAATTTAAATCATTTTCATCTATATTGGACACAAGATTGGAGCTTGGAACAAGGTTTTTGATAATGTTTTTAAAACCTTTGGAACTTACAAATGTTTTCAGGGAGTCATTGAGGAACTTCAGTGTCACTTTCTCATTTATTAAGACTGTCTTACAGCAGTCTAGAGCCGAACATAAGAGCCTCAAATGTCCACATGTATATTCATCCATCGTAGCAGTTTGCATCAGCCATTTCTGCAAGCCTTCTTTCAATAATGGATAAGCCTGTTCTTTATAGTTATCTAAATTAATCATAGGGCAATTGAACATTTTATTTAACAGTTGTAGAACAACAGCTGCATGTTGTACTGATATTATTGATGAAGAAATAAAGATATCTGTGCCTTGAACATGTTTATATATTGTGGTAATAATTATAGGAAACAATGAGAAGACCTTATCAACTCCAAGTCCATAGTTAATTAGGTTGGACAAAATGCTGAAAGCTTCTACTTGCAGTCTTAAACCATAAGTACCATCCACACCTGATCTTATGTATTCTGATAGAGGTTCTAATATATTATATTTGGTTATTAAAATTTCTCCAATGTCTTTGTTTTGCAAAGACAAAATCCTTATTAATTTTAAAGCTGACAAAATAGGTTTGCCACTATAAACAATGTTTGGTCCAAATGAAAAATTTACACTTGTAGTAGGAACAAAGTTTTGAATAATTGAATTCATTAAATGTTCCATGTTGACTATATTTTGAGATGCTTCTATTGAGTCACGTGATATCCTTGTCAGTATTTGCAATGAGTACTGCACACAATCAAAACTTGGTCTTACACATTCTAAGATATAGTAAAGTCTTTGTAATATGTCTGTTCTAAGCACAGCTGACAAAAGATCTATTTCAGCCAAGTGAAAATCTTTTAGTTCTGATTCCTCTGATTCTATCTCAGAAATTTCTGATTTATTATTTTCTAAACAAGGCTGATACGAGCCTTCTTCAAATCCCAGTAAAGCATCAAGACAGGCTTCATCAATTCTGTTATATAGTAAATTTCTCATAGCCTTTAGTGCTGCTTGTAACAGAATGGTTTTATTTTCATCCATTGCAATTCTGATCACAAAAAATAGTTTGCTCAATGGAACTTCTATAACATCTTTATAGAAACCTGAAATGTAATATTCTAAAAGCCCAGCTATAGTATTTAGAGCCATGACTCTTTGTTGTATGATAGTAGAGCGAGATAGCTCAATAAGTTCTGTTATGGAGTAGCCTGGTCGGTGTGGTTCCTCACCATGATGGAACAAAGTCTTGGTCTCCTCGGTGTACTCCATAGTATAGGGTAGAAGGTACCCTTTAAAATCAAATCTTGCTTCAAAAGGTTCATTAGGTTTAATCTTTTTACTCTCTTCAATGCCTTTCATCCATTCCATCTTTTCTTTTTCTAGATCATTGAAATGAATCCATTGATTGATATGAGGATGAGATAGCACATCACTCTCCCATAGTGTATCATTATTAACCAGATCATTTTCTTGTACAACTTTACTTGTCTGCTCTTGTTTAGGCTCAGAAATATCCATTTCTTGATTCTGTGACTGATTCCCAAGTGGTATTTGATTAGTATTGCTTGGTTTCCTCACACTTTTTATAAAATCTACCAGTTTTGGGTCCAAGCTAGACAACAGTTTATGTTGCTCTGATAATATCTCTTCTTCAGTCATTTTACTTAACATATTAACATTTTCACTGTGAATAGCATTAGCCTCATTTGATTTGAGGATATAACTTTTGTTAGGAATATTTAACTTTGATGTAGAACTTGAATGAGAACCTGAAGCTATATCAATATCCATCTTTTCTTCTTCAATGTCACCTAATTTTTTAAAAGGGAAAGAACCTTTCTTTGGGGTAGGTTTCAATTTAAAGTCATTTTTGACAACAGCCGGAAAGCCTTGGGGTGTCATCTTAAAATCCAAGCTTAAAAAGTCATCATTGCTTTTTTCAACTATATCACCAAGGACAAATGGTAGCACTTTAGGATAATAAACTTTATCATCTTCAAATTCAGCACGCTCTGGTTGTTGTTCTTCAGACACATTTTTCTCCATTATGTCTCCAAAAACAGAACCGGTACTGTTTTCAACTTTAGTCCTTTTTTCCGAATTTTGAAGCCCTTTAGATTTAGCATATTTAGATTGCTTTCTTTCTGAGGTACTAGAATTAGTTCTTTTAGTTGTTTGGTGTTCAGTTTTTCGTAAATTTACAACTTGTGCTGAAGGCGCACTTTTTTCTCTTAGAAATTCTTCTTGCATCCGCAATAAGTCTTCTTCATTTTCACCCTTCTTAGGACGTCTTATCATTTTATTAGTAATTTAAAAGAGGACAATATATATTCAACAATACAAATATAATTCAAGTTAATTTATGTTTCGTTAAAACAATAGTTTTAGGTTTCAGCTTATGACATTAGGTATAATGTCGTTTGTTGACTGATTAGTCTGACTTATGTCATGTGGACAACAGATAGTTAAAATTTGCCTATCATAATGCTGTAAACTGTGGCTATAATACGTATATTATTATATAATTATTATTCTCTTTATTTTAATGTTATGTTGGAATATTATATATTTTTTGGGTCTCTGAGACACAAAAGGTACAAAGAACAGAAAAATAAGAATGTTGAATGAGTCTGTGACATATCCAATTAATGAACAATGTAACTATATGAAAATTTTGTAGTTCTTTACATAAAAATATTTAGTTTAATATCTAGATATACAAATTTAATATCTTTTAATGATAGGTTTATATATTTTAACATTTATTTTACAACTTTACTATTTTTTGGAGCTTTGATGACAAATTAATTGAAGTACGGTCTAGGATCGAAATGAGTTTTTTATTTTTATTAATGGCAAACTGACATTGAATTTGTTTAAAAAGCAGAATTGTCGGTTGTCCTTACCCATAACTCATAAGTTAACACGTGGATTTACTAATTTAATAATTCGGACAAGAAATACTCGTTTAATTACGTAAAATGCCGAAAATAAAGAATATTGAAAAGCTGAAACATCCAAACAGCAGAAAAACTATTTCAATAGTCAAAAAAACGGTAAAAGCAGAAAAAAAGAACGACGTTAAACTTGGAACGCATATTAAAAATAATTTAATTGGTGAAAAAATACTTTGGTTCAAAGAAAGAATACCGGAAGGCTGTGAAACTCTAGATAAAGAGCAGACTTTACAGTTAATTGAACAATATTTAGGTCGCTTTGATGATGAGTTGGAGCAAATAGCATTGAAAAATTCCATTGGGCAACGAAAAAAAAGGCAACATGCGAGTAGAGAGGATATTATAAATTTAAGTAAGAAACGTGAACTTCAAGAATTCGAAACCTGTGGCCTCGAAATGCCAGACCTTATGGATCCTCAACAAATGGAAGTATTAATGAATTGGAACGGCGAACTTCGGTTTTTACAGAATTTCAAATTAAAACGATTCGCTAGAAAACATTTGATTTAAATTTGTAGTTTATGCTCTCATACGATGTTAAGCTTTTGTTAAATTGTTATGTTAAGCTTTTGTTAAATTATTATAAGAAATAAATGCATGTTTTCAAAAATACAACATTTTTTTATTCATATATTTAACTATATGATACAAAATTAAGGAATCCCAGTTGGTAAGAAAAATACTGAAAATAGTTGACACAGTCAAATGAAATATATTCAAAATCAATGACAATAATATTCTAAATTCTTATTTTCTAAAATGATCACTCTATTTTGAGATTTTTTCTTATTAATAATGTAATCAGTATAAGTTTCTAGCTTCTGTAGTCATATTTGTAAGTATTATTAAATGTTATGAGTATTCAGGTATATGAAATAAGTAAAACCAAATTGGTCATTTGTATCACATATTAAATAAAGTTAATCTTAGATAATTGTATAGAAATATACAGTTTAAAGTATTAAAATGAGATTACTTTTATGAGACATAAAATTATATTAAAAGGGGGTATACTGATATTAAAAGAGGGTTTTGAGATTTAATCATTTATAATTAAATATTAACAAATAAAATAAGGTGACATATACATTTAAAACATAAATATCCAGAAGAAAGATAATATCTACTTTTAAATGAAATTCATTCAAGTTTATTACATAAAAAAAAAATAGAAAAGCATACTCATTGCACAAATGGATACCGTTTCAAACAATATGCTAAGAGAAGAATGTTAGTTTCTTTCTATATAACAATAAAATACCATATTTATTTACATTGACAACTAAAGACTATCATTTTATTTAAAATGTACATATAATTGTATATACTACTGACTTCGGAAAAAACAAATTAGCATTCAATTTACATAAAATTTAGCATATGTACATACAATAGTGTGACATAATTCTAGTGTTGTAACAAAATATAAAAAAAAAGTACACAAAGGTAATGCATATTATGCACTTAATAAATTTAAAATTATAATATACCATATTTAGGGAAGCATCCTAATATTTGAAATGCAACTGTTAATGGCAAATAGAACACATCAAACTCGACTAGCCTAAACTTGAAAACTTAGATAATAAAACACAACACAATACTTTAATAATAAGGGTTGAGTTACAATAGTATAAATAATTAACACCACATTGTATGTTTTTTTTGTATTATTGATGGTATTATAGTATAGCATTTAGTGGTATAACTGCATTACATTTTAAATATTCCATTTATCTGTTTCAGTTACAAAAATATTTTAATGATGGTGAATCGAGACAGCTGTTTGTTGAAAGAAAACTGAATCTAGCATTAAGATTGTTCTGTCTAAACACTTACAATAATTTGTAGTTATTAATCTATTCAGAGGCACTTTAACATTTTTAAGTATTTAATTTCTAACAGTATCCTACTCCTTGCATAATATGAATCAAGCTGAATATTTTTATTTAATTTCTAGAATTTATTTTTTATTACATCAGGTAGATGAAATTTCAAATTTAGATTTCTGTTTTTATTTTACTTAGTGTCGAAAAAGTTAACATTTAATTATTGAATTTATCAAATTTGTATAATGGTAACATAATTAAAAAAACTTAAGTTGCAATTTTTTTATATGCCACATGTTATTTTATAAATAATGGCCAAATTTATGGCATGTAGAGAGCTTTCCATTTGATAAATATGCATATTTTTTTTTCTGTAGGTAGACTTGAAACTGTACACATCTTTTTATTTTGCTCTTAAACATTTCTATTTTTATTTATTGTTATTTGTTTTAGTAGGTTGTATTACATGAATATTTTTTTTTAATAAAACACAATCACCACTCCTTCCAAATTTCACTTTATTTTGTACAAAAGAGCACTCTTTAAAAATAAAATAGTAACATGGATCAATCACTCCAAATGGCATCGTTGATTCTCGTATGAAGATTTATGAAGACCGGCTAAAAAAGCTTTCCCCATCGTGTTCAGCTCCTTCAATGGATTTGAAATCACCAACAAGCGAGTTTCTTGACTTCAAAATCTTTGTATGGAAAACTCTTACACCAATGAAGTTACATGTTGAGATGCTGACTCTTGGTTTGGAATGTCATGAACCCTGCTTAAGAAGAAAGGTTGTCCTTGTTCATGGAGTAGCTGAGGAGAAAAATGAGAAGCTCAGCAAAGTTATTATGAACATATTATCCAACCAATTAGAGTTGTCCGACATTTCTCTGAGTAAAGTTCAAGTTTGTCATTGGCTGGGGGTTCATAAAGGTAAACCTAGGCCTATCTTGGTCAGGTTTAATAACCTCAGTACACGCCAGCTAGTATGGAACTCAAAAACTTTACTTAAAGGTACCGGTATCACTCTTTCCGAATTACTTACGCAATCCAAACATCATGTTTTTATGGAAGCAAGAAAAGAATTTGGTGTAAAGAGCTGCTTGCTGGACATCCAACGGCAAGATCATCATATTGCTTCCTGACAAAACACGCCGGAAAGTGGAAGTTTTGTCCGATCTTCATGCAGTAGTTTCAAAGTATTCGACTTCAACTTCGAAATCGCAACCATTGCCTGACCTGTAACCAAGAGTGCCGATAAGGAGAAAGAAAAGCCCATTGTAAAATCTCCCAGAAAAGTTAGACTTAAGTTGTAACCTCTGTAATTTTGTTCACTTTGTTGTTTCATACTTCCAAGTACCTTTTTCATTTGGCCGGGTTACTGCAACTAACTTTTTAAGTTTATAAAACTTTGTGGGGTATTACAAATTTTTTATAATGGTGCTTTAGTCTGTAAAGTAAATTTGTAATTTTTTTATTATTAATGTTCGTATGATAATTAGCACTAGTCCTTGTCGTTGCATATGACATTGACAGAACACTGTGATGTTACTTTTGACACATGACAGTGGCAGTGCATTTATAAAGCATGTCACATAATTCGATGTATGTTTGGTTACGTATTTTAATTTTATTTTTTTGTTTTGTCTTGTTTTTAATGGAGTACTTCTGACTACATTTTGTTTTCTGCAGGTTAATTGTTATTATTATTTTGAGTCTTGTGTTAAATGTTAAGATTGTTTTTTTTTTAATATTTAGTATTTTAATTTTTAAGCATTAATTATAGTAACTTTAGTTTTTCCTTTTTAATAATATTATAATATATATTTATATTATGTTTTTTGCTATGGATTATGCCAATCTAATTAATAGTAGCCCAATTTCTTACTCTTCTTCTAGTGACGAATTTTTTAGTGCCGAAAGCTATGATACACCTGATCTATTAAATGATCAATTACAAACCATATTTTCTCCTTTTCATAATAATCTGAATATTGTTCATATAAACGCTCAGAGTATCCCTGCACATTTTTCAGATCTTTCAGAGTGCTTCAGTAATAGTCAAGTAGACGCCATTCTAATTTCTGAAACTTTCTTAAAGATTTCGCTTCCTTCCATTCAATTTACCCTACCTGGATACAAGTTGATTAGGAATGACAGAACTGGAAAAGGCCGTGGTGGTGTTGCAATTTATTTGCGATGCGATATTCCTTTCAGAATTATATCATCCTCACCTACCCAATATTTCGAATCAGCAGAATTCCTTTTTCTTGAAATTGTCCTATCCCACTTCAAAATACTTCTAGGTGTTCTTTATAGTCCATCTGTCCACATTGATTACTTCTCCAGTTTAGATAATATCCTTAATAACCTTTGTCCTTTATATGATCACCTTCTGCTGATGGGAGATTTTAACACCTGAGATTATTGTTGAAAAACGACAGTCGTTCTCGTAAACTCCTTTCAGTTCTGTCTTCCTTAAACTTGCATTCCCTTCCCTTGTCTGCAACACATCACTTCCCTAACACAACACCTTCTCTACTTGACCTTATTATTGTTTCCCTTCCTCCCATCCTGCTTTTCCTATCATGACCTTATACTTATTTCCTATAATGTCCATCTTTCCAAAACCAAAGCTCCTTACGCCATTGGTCGTTGCTTTAATCAGATTAATATAAGTAAACTTAAAAGTGATGCAGACAGTATTGATTGGACACAGGTCTTCAATGAGAATACGGTGAACTCAAAAATTGAATTTTTTAATTCGAAATTAAGTAACCTGTATGATGTTCATGCCCCGTTAAACGTATCCGAATAGAACATCGTCCTGCACCCTGGTTTACTGACAGTATAAGGGAAATGATGTCTAAGCGCGACAAAGCTAAAGCTAAAGCTTGTGGAATTCGCTGCTGTTTACAATTCGCACTAGTAAGTCCGTCTACATTTTCAAAAAGAAATTCAAAGAGTACTTCCTAATATTAATTCGTGGTAAAATGGCATAAACATATTTATTTATTTATGTATTTATATGTTAATATATGTATGTATGATTATTTTTTAATATATATTTTTAAGTAAAATTAATTATAATGTTTTTTTTTCTTATTATTTTTTTTCTTTTTGTTTATGTTTTTTTTGTTGTATCTTTTCTCCTTTTATTAGATACTGGAAGAAATCTCTTCTAGGGATAAGTATACCTTTTAAACTTATTTTTCCTGTGTCATATTGTTGTTCTAAATGTTTCTGGCATGTTTAAAAAATTGTTAAATAAATAAATAATAAATAATTTAATATTTTCATTTACATCTCCATTGCTTTTTAGAAACTCATATAAAACATAAGAATCGCAAAACGAATCAAGTGAATACTTAGTGGTAGTAAAAAAAATGATGAGAGATTTATTTTCTTTAAGGCTTCATAGAATTTTAATATTATGTATAAATTTACATTACATTTTTTTGTATTATTTTCTATACATTTCTAGTATTACAAAATTTATGTAATTTTACATGTAATAACGGAAAATTCTATCATTAGAAAAATTAAATTCCGGAAGATAAATTTAATACAGTATTCTATTCAACTCTATATGACCGCCTTGTACTTAAGTCGACCTTAGATAAGATAAAATAGAAAAAGGTAACAAAGAGTAAGTAAGTTAATCTTCCGCAGCGACTGCCCTGCCCAGCGATCCACCTTGGGATCTCGTGGCGTTGGTTCGAGCCGAGTTGTTCTCTTATGTCTCGGGTAGGAGGACACTCGGCGAGAACCCTTCGCCGGAGGAGATCGGAGACGTACAACGGCAGCGCTTCGCCCGGTCCTAGAGCGTTGGATGAGGCGGAAACGCAAACCCCTCACTTTCCGTCTGACGCAGGTCTTAACCGGATATGGGTGCTTTGGTTACTACCTGTGTCGGACGGCCAGGAGAGAGCTGGGAGAAGGCTGCCATGAGTGCCGCGCTGCGGTGGACTCGGCCCAGCACACCCTCGAGGTGTGCCCGAGATGGGCTGCGCAGCGCTAAGACCTTGTTGCGGCTCTCGGCGGAGTGGACCTGTCGCTTTCGAGTGTCGTGGAGAAGATGCTCGAGAGTGATAGGTCCTGGTTGGCGGTGTCCTCCTTCTGTGAGACGGTCATGTCCACGAAGGAGGCATCTGAGCGGGAAAGGGAGAGGGCGGCTGATGCTCCCTCCCCCCGCAGGCGACGTACGGGGTTGCGACGGAGGCAATTCCTACGCCTCCAATAGCACCCCTGTGTTCCGGGCTGGGGTCGGCGTGATAACCCGGCCCTACTGAAAGCCCGGCGTCTTTGGGGCGGTCCTAATTGCCGGGATCGCCCCCATTCTCCGAGGGAGTAAGTCCGGTCTTTGCCAGGACCGGCCAGTCGCTGGTGTACCCTGTCGCTGACAGATCCGGGGTGCACCGACATAGCGGCCGATGGCTTTCGCAGTTATTTTAGTGAGTAGGGGCCTGCCCAGGCCGAGCCTCACACATCCCTTCCGGCCCCACCAAGGCCGGTTGGACGGCTCGTAAAGAGTTTCCCCTGCGTCATCAAAAAAAAAAGTAAGTTAATCTTGAACTCAAAACTATTCGTATATCTCAAACTAAGAAAACAGATCAAATAAAATCAAGAATTTTTCTAATATTTGTTGTCACTGTGTATATATATTATTATTTTAAACATTAAAAATAAGTTTTTTTTTTATGAAAAAGCCAAAAAGTAACATAAGATTCATAGGGAGGGACTTCTCGTTGACGGCTATAATCTCGGCTCTCTCGGCAGCGAGGAGGCCTGGGAGGCGGTGGCCGCTTACGCCGAAGCGGTCATCAGCGCGAAGGAGGCGGCGGAGCGGGCCAGGGAAAGAGACCCGGAGGCCCCTGCTCTCCGTCGTCGCCGAATTGGTCACCGGTGCCGAGCTTATCTGGCCTCTTTACAGCCATAGGCTAGTCGCCGGGTGACGTGATCCTGGGTGGCAGACGGGGACTTCTGTCGCCCGTTGATGGGATCAGTGCGGTGCTGGCCCCTCTTGTTCCGGGGGAGGCTCGCGGTGGTGGCTTGCGGGGGCATTTGTTCCCCCTAGTCCGACCTTAAACCCGAGGTCCGAGTGGACTAGCGCCGGCAGGATCTCGACATACCGTGGCCCTGCCTAGGTGGCGTGGATGAGGAACGCCCAGGGGTTTTAGTGGGTCGAAACCCCACATAACCCGGTCAAGTCCCCGCTCGGCCGGGTATCTGTGAACAGTTTTCCCCTGGGAAAACAAAAAAAAGTAACATAAGATACAAACAAAGAAAATTGTTAAACAATAAAATTATTCAGTTTAATGATGTACTATAAATGTGGGTTTTTAATGTAACTTCATGAAATGACCCTCATAAACAAACTTTAGGTTATTACTTGATCATTCAGGTAGCTAGAGATATGGCTAAGAATTCAAGAGATTAAGAAATTATAAGGCTGAGAAGCATGTTGTAATCCTAAGGCTAAGGGGATGTGGGACAACTTAATATTTTCTCATAAGACAGCCTCCCCCAACAAAGACCAGCTTTTCTAAAAGTGGGTTAAAAACCCCTTTCGTGGGTGTTGCAGGTCTAAAGGGGGCCATTAAGAGACCCAGAAAGAAAGAAAGGGGGCATGGTGTAGAGGCCTGGGGGTGTTTTGTAATTTACTTCAGTTAGGTTAAGTTATAGTGGTTTTTCAGTAGGTGAAAAAATGGGGGTACTAAAAAAATTGTTTATTCTCAAAGTGGGCAGTAGACAAAATAAGTTTAGGAATCTTTGAATTAAAGACTAAGAAATTTTAAATCAGATAACTTTGACATCTTCAGCAGATCTAATAGGTGGATGATTAAGAACTATTGATGAAAACTTCTTATAGAAAAGATTTTTAATTTATATATTTATGGTAACTAAAATTTGGTAAGGGAGTATGCATTCTGGAGTAAAATTCAGTGAAGTAAAAGCAAAAAAAAAGAAACTATCACATATTTTTATAAACTGCAGGAGACCTAAATGATTTGGTTCAGGATTTAAATTTATCAAAAAAGCAGTTAGAACTACTAGGATCGCGTCTAAAACGATAGAATTTGCTACATCATAATACGAGAGTGTTGGTTAAGTAGTGAGAGTTGGTTAACGAGCCACTATTGTCATATCAAGGATTAGGCTTCAACATGACATTACATTTTTTAGACTCTCACCTGGATGTTTTCCTGACAACTTAGGGACTGTCAGCGACAAGCTCAGTGAGAGATTCCATCAGGAAATTTCTAATATAGAAAAGCGGTACCAAGGGAAATGGGGCCCATTATTTATTACAAGTGCTAGCAGATTACTGCTGGACAATTAAAAGGAACCAACCGGAATCTAAATACTCAAGAAAATCTGAGATTACATTAAGTTTTTTAAAACAAAAACAACTTTTTATTTAATAGAGCCTTGTTTCTTCTTAATATATAAATTACTGAATAGATAAAAATTCTTGTCCAGAAACTCTTTTTTAGCTATTTATTTAGTCTTATAATTACCAATTATAGTAAAAAATTACAAAAAAGTCCATGAGGCACAACAAAGTTAAAATTTTGTTGACCAGTGTAATGTAATCAGTATAAGTTTCCAGCTGTAGTCATATTTGTAAATATTTTTAAATGTTAAGAGTATTCATGTATATGAAATAAGTAAAACCAAATTGGTCATTTGTATCACATATTAAATAAAGTTAATCTTAGATAATTGCATAGAAATATGCAGTTTAAAGTATTAAAATGAGATTACTTTTATGAGATATAAGTAAACAATATTTACTTTATAAATGAGTTATTCACAAAGGTGTTTACTGATATTAAAAGGGGGGTTTTGAGATTTAATCATTTATTATTAAATATTTACAAATTAAATAAGGTGACATATACATTTAAAACATAAATATCCAGAAGAAAGATAATGTCTACTTTTAAATGAAATTCGTTCAAGTTAATTACATAAAAAAAATAGAAAACCATACTCATTGCACAAATGGATACCGTTTCAAACAATATGCAAATAAAAAGAATGTTTGATTTCTTTCTATATAACAATAAAATACCATATGTATTTACATTGACAACTAAAGGCTTAAAACCATTTTATATAAAATGTACATATAGTTGTATATACTACTGAATTCGGATAAAAACAAATTAGCATTCAATTTACATAAAATTTAGCATATGTACATACAATAGTGTGACATAATTCTAGTGTTGTAACAAAATATAAAAAAAAAGTACACAAAGGTAATGTATATTATGCACTTAATAAATTTAAAATTATAATATACCATATTTAGGGAAGCATCCTAATATTTAAAATGCAACTGTTAATGGCAAAAAGAACACATCAAACTCGACTAGCCTAAACTTGAAAACTTAGATAATAAAACACAACACAAATACTTTAATAATAAGGGTTGAGTTTCAATAGTATAAATAATTAACACAACATTGTATGTTTTTTTTTATATTATTGATGGTATTATAGTATAGCATTTAGTGGTATAACTGCATTACATTTTAAATATTCCACTTATCTGTTTCAGTTACAAAAATATTTTAACATATGTATCAGGAATAGGGGATTGATAAATGCTGGGTATTCTGAACGAAATAATGATAGTGAATCGAGACAGCTGTTTGTTGAAAAAAAACTGAATCTAGCATTAAGATTGTTCTGTCTAAAAACTTACAATAATTTGTAGTTATTAATCTATTCAGAGGCACTTTAACATTTTTAAGTATTTAATTTCTAACAGTATCCTACTCCTTGCATAATATGAATCAAGCTGAATATTTTTATTTAATTTCTAGAATTTATTTTTTATTACATCCGATAGATGAAATTTCAAATATAGATTTTTGTTTTTATTTTACTTAGTGTCGAAAAAGTTAACATTTAATTATTATTGAATTTATCAAATTTGTATAATTTTAACATTATTAAAAAAAAACTTAAGTTGCAATTTTTTTATATGCCGCATGTTATTTTTTAAAAATAAATAATGGCCAAATTTCTGGCATGTAGAGAGCTTTCCATTTGATAAATACGCATAATTTAATATTTTCATTTACATCTCCATTGCTTTTTTAGAAACTCAAATAAAACATAAGAATCGTAAAACGAATCAAGTGAATAGTGGTAGGTGGTAGAAATCGTAACCCCTCTGTCCCCTGGCGGCAAGCCATATGTAGACTACGTGATAGGCTCCCGGGACAAAGCAAATCATACCAGCTACAAAGAAAACTGCACCCTGTAATCCATTCTCAGGTTCTGCAACCGCGAAAGTTCCCATACCAAGTAATCCAACACCGACTACGAGGAGTATGACCGCTGCGCAGACCGTCTTCCAATTCTCTCTCACTTTAGGATGGTTCCAGCAGTAGAGAGACTGGGTCGCTTCCACGTACTCGTGGATGAGGGAGTCCGAATCCCTGGACGTCGTATCTTCCGTACATTTGTAGGTTTTACTGAAAGTTAACATTACAGGTTACATAAATAATGTATTTCAGTGCACGCAAAATTACTTAATTCTATTAAGCAAGATCATCTTATTATACATACGTAATGCTTTTATCGGGATCAACAGTGCTAGCTTCGTTATGGCATTTTATAATTTGTTTGGTTTTATTGCAACAGCTAGAATATTTTTTTACAATTATATAAATGGCAAATATTTTTAGGGTATACATAAAACTTGGTATACATTAGAAATAAAATATGCAGATGAGCTTTCAAGTGTTAGCGTGAGCACGTGAAATATCGATAGTAATCTATCTTAATCAGTTGTATTATTACGTGGAACATAAATATCGATTGTTTGTTCGTTTTGGAACAAAATTTTGAAGCGTCTGCGGTTATTAATAATATAACTAAAATAAATTCACTCTACATGAAATAGTGTTACGGCGAAATGGTTATTATATGTTCATTTGTTTAAAATGGGTATGAAATGTAAAGTTCCTATACAGATATAATAGTACTAGTAATATTAATCATACAAAGACCAATCGATTATTAGAAAAAAATTCATGGTACATAAAAAATCTCGATAAAATAAGACCTTGATGATAGCTCTGATAGAATAAAAAATGTCGTCAAAAACTCGATGTTGTGTATCTACTTATGAAAAACGAAAGAAAAAGTTTCTATTTTATTAAGTAGGTCAATAAAAATATATAACCATACTTTGTAGGCAAGGTAGATATATCCAATGAACGGTCATTTATGTTGTGTTAGATTTAGAAAAAAAATGATGAGACATTTATTCTCTTTAAGTCCTCAAAGAAGTTTAAATTTACATTACATTTCTAGTATTATTTTCTATACATTTATAGTATTGCAAAATTTGTGGAATTTTACATGTAATAACAGAAAATTCTATTATTAGAAAAATTACATCCGGAAGATAATTTTAATACTGTATTCTATTCAACTAACGTAGCTTTATATGTCCGCCTTGTACTTTAGTCGACCTTAGATAAGATAAAATAGAAAAAGGTAACAAAGAGTAAGTTAATCTTGAACATAAAACTATTAGTATAACTCAAACTACAAAAACAGATCAAATAAAATCAAGGATTTTCTCAATATTTGTTGTCACTATTTATATATATTATTATTTTAAACATTAAAAATAAGTTTTCTATGAAATAGCTAAAAAGTAACATAAGATACAAACAAACAAAATTGTTAAACAATAAAATTATTCAGTTTAATGATGTACTATAAATGTTGGTTTTTAATGTAACTTCATGAAATGACCCTCATAAACAAACTTTAGGTTATTACTTGATCATTCAGGTAGCTAGAGATATGGCTAAGAATTCAAGAGATTAAGAAATCATAAGGCTGAGAAGCATGTTGTAATGCTAAGGCTATGGGGATGTGGGAGAACTTAAGATTTTCTCATAACACAGCCTCCCCCAATAAAGACCAGCTTTTCTGAAAGTTGGTTAAAACCCCCTTTCGTGGGTGTTGCAGGTCTAAAGGGGGCCATTAAGAGACCCAGAAAGAAAGAAAGGGGGCATGGTGTAGAGGCCTGGGGGTGTTTTGTAATTTACTTCAGTTAGGTTAAGTTATAATGGTTTTTCATTAGGTGAAAAAATGGGGGTACTAAAAAGTTGTTTATTCTCAAAGTGGGCAGTAGACAAAATAAGTTTAGGAATCTTTGATTAAAAACTAAGAAATTTTAAAACAGATAACTTTGACATCTTCAGCAGATCTAATAGGTGGGTGATTAAGAACTATTGATGAAAACTTGTTGTAGAAAAGATTTTTAATTCATATATTTTTGGTAATTAAAACTTTGTAAGTACTCATAATTAATTCTATTATTTTTTTAACATAAGCCTCCTTAGAATTGCAAATGGATATATCCAAATAAATAAACCACATTTATGCATTCTGGAGTATAATTCAGTGAAGTAAAAGCAAAAAAAAATAAGGAAACTATTACATATTTTTACAATTTATGTCTTCTCTGTATATTATTTTGCATTGCTATGTATGTTGTAAAAGGAATAAATGTAATATAGTGCCCTTCAAGAAATAACAATAAGTAATATGTCACTTTTTCTAGAAATGATTTGACAATCCATTGAATTCATTATATTTTCTTTGTTTTTATACAACAACATTTTAGTAACCTCAAATATACATAAAAAATGTGTGTTTTTTAAACACAGAGTGGTATCAGATATGCTTATCACAAAAACTGAGTAGGTAGACATAGTTTATAAATAAACAAACCTAAAAAACAGCATCATTGAGGTAACCCTGGTATTAAGGCCTTAATAGTTGGTAAATAAAACATAAATGTTATCTCCAACACAACAGATTACTGATGTGTACAAAAATTAGGAAGGAATAAATGTAACTTTCATAAAACATTATTTAATGTAGGTGAAATTATTTAATTCTTTGTTTGTAAATGACTTCAGAGTATTAACTGAATGTGTAAAATATAATACAGGTAGTAATGTCATTAAAACATTAAAAGCTCATCAAAATTAAAACAATTCAATTAATTATAACTAATGTATGCCTTTGTTTCAATATGTATAGTGAACATGTAATAAATAAATAAAGATTTATACTATAAAATGTAATGGATTGTTTTTATGTATAACAATTGGCTTAATGATTATTTTTAGCACAATGCATGCAATAGGTTTCCTTTTGTTATACAGTACTATGTTTGCATGTTAGAATTAATTTATCTAAAACTCCTCTCTAATATTTATAATGCAGAATTTTGATAGGTTAATGACTTTTCGTAAGTGCCTAAATGATTAGCGTAATTAGAGTGTTTTAAAACAATAATTAGGTCTTTAGGGCGTGAATTATATCGCCCGCAACAGTCAAGAAGTCTTTGCCCCATAAAGAGAATGAATCACTAAAGGTCATGAACACTATTACTTTTGATGCAGTAAAAAATTGTATGTACTTTAAAAGTTAAAAAAATTATACAATATGAAGGATTGGTAATAAACTTACCTGGATAGGTAGTCACCTCCATTCTTAAATTTATTCTGCAAGGGAGACCTATCGCCCGTTGCGCCGTACACTTTTATAGCTTCATCGGTTTCTTCTTCGAAAGCATCATCGATAGAAAATCGTTTATCGCTGTTCCCGAAAGGCCTTGTCATTTTTAATTTTTGTTCCTAACGAGCTGGAGATGTAAAAGAAACATTACAACCTAACGTAGGTACTATCTGTACGAAAGCAAAACACAGCTGTCAATTTATCGTATCAACATGCGCCATATTGATTATTTATTGCTTAACGTTTGAAAATAATACGTTTGAAAGTTATAATTTTAAATAAAAATGTCTATATTTTATTCTTTTCACTTTATGATTAAATCGTAAAGGTACTAAAAAGAAGATTAATGGTAGTGTTCATAATTAATGGTACTTATAATAATAAGATACTTAAGACAGGACTACATTAATTATACTACTACATTTTCATTACATTAAGATTTAAGACCAACGCGATAATTTTTCTAGATTGTAAATGAGGCGTTATTAGAATATAAAGAAAAATACTTCTGAGGTATATTATATACTAGTGATACCACAATATAAACAAATAGTTATTTAGTCAGTAAACAAGGCGATAAACAGTATAACCTAGGCGTTAGATTATAATTGTATTGAGAAATGTCACTGTCAAACTCATGTGCTTTGAAATTTAATCAAATTTATGTTTTAAGCATTATTGCTTACTTTTAAAGGATAATATTTCTATAAGTTAAGGAATGGTAAAATAAGTAACAATGGTTATAAAAGATTGGACCAAAGTAACTCCCGCACTTTCGCCGCCTGTATTAAATTGTATCAATAAACAGGGTTTTAAAACTATGACACCAATACAAGCGGCTGTTATTCCTCTTATACTAACCTGTAAGGATGTCGTAGCTGAAGCGGTAACAGGCTCAGGAAAAACATTGGCTTTTGTGGTTCCATTATTAGAAATGTTAATGAAGAAAGCAAAGGATTCACCACTCCGTAAGGATTATATCTATGCTGTCATTATATCTCCTACTAGAGAACTAGCTACACAAATAGTAAAGGTATATTATATAAAGAATATATTGTGATTTAATATCAAAGCCAACATGTTCAGTTTTTAATGTAATTTTTAAACTACATTTAATGCAACATGATAACAACTCTTCTTATTGTTAATCCCAACCTGATTTTCTTTAGTAATTATGATATCACACAATTTTACAATAAAATTAAATTTGATATTTTACTTAGTATCAGAGCGTTTGTAGTATAATAAGAGATTTAAAATATCATAGTATTAATGGTAGTAAATGCCACCGGATCCCCAGATAGCTAGTAATGAAAAAAAAAATTAACCTAGCCATGTTATAGTAGCTTTTGTATCATAAATCTAATAATTTACATAGTTCAATTAGGAAATAACATAACTTTCAATAGAAATTTACATTATCTATGAGTATTATTAAGTATTTATGAATTTAATAAACATTAAACCTTACTTTTAAATGTGCTATATACTCATATTTGTTGTGTATATTCCAATTGACCAAAAACTATTTTTTATATCATTCTAATGTATAAAAAAGTAAAGAAAATATATATTTGATAACAGTTCTGAACTTATTACCTAGTGTTTTGTAATTAATAATCTAGAAAATTGATATAGATTTTACCTATATGTACATAGCTATTTACACAGGGCATGCATCAACTACTAATGTTTCATATATAGAAAGAATTAGACGGAAGGACACATGTAGGAACTGAGTATTCATAATAACTATTATGAAATGTTCTATTTTGAAAATTATTCTCAGGTTATAGAATTATTTCTGGCTGAACCAGAGCTGAAGCACTTAACAATTTCCTTGCTTGTTGGCGGTAGACCAATAGAAATGGATGCTGAGAGTATGATGAAAGGTGCACAGATCACAGTCTGTACACCGGGGAGGTTCCAGGATTTGTTAGAGGAGAGAAAACACCTTAACCTGTCGGCTAGACTGAAAGATCTGGTAATGATTCTGTTTAAACATTGATTTAATTCGTTGTACATTAATAATATTGATATTTTAAACAGCATACTAATAATTAGTTTTCAATGAAATCACATTTCTTTCATTTCATTTACATTTGCACATAGCTTTTGTTAAATATTTGTATGTTTTTACAGAGTGCTATATATTAAACTCTTGCTATGTTACATGCTACCACTAATGCTATATTAGACTCTTAAAGCGCATATGTAACACAGACATATTTGTATATTTTTTAACATATAATATCATTTTGATGAACCAAGTTTTTGATCCAATGTTAATCCAATTAAATTATCCTATTTATGAAACACTTACCCACATTGTTACTTAATCACCATTTATAGTTATTTCGTAAATGTAAATTTTAATAAACTACATTTTGATTTCTCTAAATTTATTTATCACAACTTCAATATATAAGTGTAGAAGAGTTTTCAAAATAAATGTTTTATTTGAAGCAATATGAGTAGATAAAATTTTCCTTAATGATTCCAGGAATTCCTAGTCCTGGATGAGGCTGATAGACTGCTTGATTTAGGATTCAGTGCCACCCTTACAACAATTTTACAATACTTACCAAGACAAAGACGAACAGGCTTGTTCTCAGCAACTCAGACTAAAGAGTTGCAAGATCTCGTCAGAGCTGGTTTGAGGAATCCAGTGTTGATAAGTGTTAAGGAGAAATCCACCATAAGCACTCCTATCGCATTAGAAAACTTCTACATCATCGTGGAACCGCAAGATAAACTTTTAGTTCTACTTAATTTCATTAGAAATAGGAAGGTCACGAAGGGTCTCTTCTTTCTACCAACTTGTGCGTGTGTTGACTACTGGGCGGACGTTCTGCCGGGTTTCTTACCAGAGATGAAGATATATGCGATACACGGTAAAATGAAACAGAAAAGAAACAAAATATTGGAAAAATTCAGAGCCGCAGAGAATACCATCTTGTTGTGCACAGATTTGTTGGCACGGTGAGTAAATCAATTGCGATAGTGTATAAATTATTGTAATTATATTTAAATATTATGTTGTCTTGTATTTTGTAATATTTAATACACATCGAATCCAAGAAACGCGTTCGTCTCATTGTATTCCAGTAAAGTTAACTTACCATCTCATTGTTTAAATGCTGATAAAAGCATAGAATTAGAAGCATAGTAAAAAAATTTCTAATACATGTAAATATTACGCTTGTTTTATACAAGTGCGTTCATAACACGACTATACGTTTGTGGTCTTATATTTTAGAGGTCTGGATATCCCTTCAGTGGAATGGGTGCTCCAGTGGGAGCCTCCAACCAGCCCCGCCGCGCTGGTGCACCGCGCAGGGAGAAGTGCCCGCGGAGGCTGCGCTGGCGCCTCCCTCTTACCGCTGCTGCCCACTGAGGATTCCTACGTGCCATTTATCAAGAGCAACCAGAAAGTAGAGCTTAAAGACTACAAGAGCTCTAACGATGTGATCAAGATAACTGATAAACTCAAAGATAAGGTAGGAAAAACAGCTAATACGGACAGGAAAGGAAGCCGGGGAGTTTTAGTGGGTATTCCCAGGGCCAACACCATCAGGCTCTGGGCGACCCCCACACAAATCCCACTGTCGAGCTAGGGCATTGGGTAGTCTGTCAGCGAATTTCTCCCGAAAAAAAAAGATCTTCACATAACATTTATACTTATTATTATCAAATCAAGATTGTTGAAAATCTGCAAAATTGTTGAATCTTATTTAAACATGACAATAATAACTGATGTTATAAAGAATTTTATAGTTACTTTATTTTTCGTCTTGTTTTTCAGGTTTTATCCATTCTTCACGATCAGCAAGTAAAAGATAGGGCTATATTTGATAAGGGACAGAGGGCTTTTGTTTCTCATATACGAGCTTACTCAAAACACGAATGCAATTTACTTTTACAACTCAAAGAACTACCTTTGGGTCACATTGCTACAAGCTATGGCCTCATTAAATTGCCCCTGATGCCAGAGATAAAAGACGAACACAAGAAACAGTTCGTGGGTCCCAAAGAGGCGATAGATTTCAACAGCATACCGTATAAAGACAAACAGAAGGAACAAAGCAGATTGCAAAAGTTGGAAGAGTATAAGAAGACGGGGACATGGCCATCAAAAAAGAAAAAGAAAATGGTACATACTTTAATAATTTTACCAATAATCACGTTGAATATTGTTAAATCCATATATTCACTCTTCGTTGTATGAAATATGTACATATACATATATCTATAGAAGGATATTTTAATATTTATTTTGAGAAAAGTTGTGGTGTTATTGGTTTTTAATGAACATTAAATGAATGAAACCAATAGGTTCAAAGGTTTTTGAAATCCTTTCTAGTTAGAATAGAAAACATGTGATGTAATTTTTGTTTTGAATTTCATTTCAGTCTCAATCCAAGCCGTGGGAGCAAACGAAACTGAATAAGCTTGAAAAGCAAGACAAGAGGAAGAAAAGGAAAGAATTAAAGAAGAAGTTAAACGAAGAAGGAAAGAAAGGGAAGAAACGAAAAACAGTTACTCAAGAGGAACTTGATGAGCTGGCAGCTGATGTAGCTTTGATAAAGAAGTTGAAAAAGAGGAAGATAACAGCTGAACAGTTCGATCAAGCATTTGATACGGACAAATAATAAATATGATTAATATGAATAAATATTTTATTTACTTGTCATCATACAAACCAAATATCTCCCTACAATGAGCATTTTTATTTGTAGAATTGTATTTCTTTATCTCTTAAGTTTATTTCAAATTTAATTGCGCAGAAATGGAAAACGAATAACTCTTAGTTGTCGCTGAAGAAGGTGTACTTTTTTCTAATAACTTTCTAATTGGACTTAATAATCAGATTTTGTAATAACACATCCATAAGATTGAATAAGTTCTTCTTTGCTTTCGTCAGTGACTTTATTACAGCAAAATTTCTTTCCAAATCTTATTGGCATCATTATTTAAGTATTTGTTATACTGACTAATGATTGCATATAATTAAACAAGCAAACTACATTTCCGATAAATATGTTTCACTACAGTTTTGGAATACAGAATATATTTGTATTAATCTATATTGGTTTTATTGACAATATTAGGAACCAAAGAAGTTTTAGATAATTTATTTGAACTTTTTCTTTGATATGGACTTATAAGTTTCAATTTTTTGTATAGAAAAAAATACTCTTCTTCAAAATTGAAGTAGATTTAATATTCGTTCTACTAATATAAAACTATTTTTATTTGAATTATGCAACAATATTTTATTTTAAATACAAAAATGCTTCTAAAACAGTAATTGTACTGTAAAAATTAAAATATTTTACTAAGAAACAAAATATACAGGAAAAATACATAAAAATTTTAAACAATATATACACCAGAAGTACAGCATAAGTCAGATTGGAAAAACCAGGAGAGGAATTCCGCATAGAGCGAGGCGTTCGTCAAGGGGACCCTACGTCACCTAAACTATTTTCAGCAGTCCTAGAGATGATAATTAGGAAGCTAAAATGGAACGAATATGGACTAAATATATACGGCGAAAATTTGAGCCATCTACGTTTTGCAGACGATCTAATAGTGTTTTGCGAATCTCCTAAAACATTACAACATATGCTACAACAGCTGTCAGATCAGAGTAGAGAAGCAGGACTAACAATGAACCTTACGAAAACAAAAGTTATGACTAACTCTCCGAAGACACGTAAGATCACAGTCAACATGCAAGAAATATAATACGTAGATGAATATGTATATTTAGGACAATCAATATCACCTACAAAAACCATGCAAAAGGAAATAGACAGGAGGATAGCCAATACTTGGAAGAGATACTGGTCACTAAGTTATGAAGGATAGGAATATGCCAATCAAAGAAAAAAGAAAAGTATATAATATGTGCATTCTACCATGTTTAATGTATGGCTGCCAAATTTGGGCATTAACAGAAAAATTAGAACAAAAAATAAATGTCTGCCATAATAGTATAGAGAGGAGTGTTATTGGAATCAAGAAGAAAGATAAAGTAAGACTAACAGAAATAAAAAAGAAAACAATTTAAAGCACATTCATTATATCGAACACAGAAATGGAGATGGACAGGGCGCATGTTAAGGGAACATCAAGAGAAATGGACGAAAATTGTAACAGAGTGGTACCCGAGAGATGGAAAAAGAAATAAGGGATGACCAGCTAAAAGATGGGAGGACGACTTTAAAAAACTGGCTGGCCCATTATAGACCTGAGTAGCAAGGGATAGAGAAAAGTGGAAGTCTTTAGAGGAGGCCTATGTCGAAAGACAAGCTGTTTTTAAAACGAACGTCAATGAAGCCATTTAATTATAAGTAATTTAAGATTAGGTTAAGAAATAGGATAATATTATAATTTTATTTATTTACTAAGAAATAGGGAAAAAATAAATAATACAAGCAGTGAAAATAGTAAAATAGATATTTATTTCTGTTCCAGTTGTATAATAAGATTGTTATTGAGTATTAACAACAAGGCACTAAAAAAATCACTTGATCTTTTAATTGCAGAAAAAATCACATATCATAGATCATTGTATTACCTAATTTTATTTTATAAACGCCGCCAATGGTTTTCTATCCTACATTTAGCACTTGTTTATATCTAGCACCAGCATTTCAATTGGTAAGTTTCAATAATAACATTCAAATTAAAAATGATTCTGTAATAACAATATTAATAAACAATAGATTACATTTTCGATCCTGCATTTATTCTTAAAAAATAGTTTTTATTTTAACATTAAGTGAACACTTATTGTTTTTTTTAATAGAAATAAATAATTATTAGATGAAAGATATCTATGAATACTTAAGAAAAATATCTGATTCAATAATAATAATAATAATTTCACAAGAAAAATATCGTATAAATAAATCAATATCTCAAAGATATCTATCTATACATTAAGATACTGATAACTACATTGTGCGTTTTATTTTACTATTTTCAATTTATACCATATTTTTTTTATAAAAACGCCTATGTTTATTTACACGACCAACGTCTGCGTATACAGACTGAGTCATATTTAGTACAAAAGCGACAGTTCCTTCATATGAAATACAATGTCAGTGCTCTAACACACTAGCCTTTTCGTGTGAAATTTAACGATTGATTTATATATAAATCAAACGACTTTCACACCCAAACAACTAATATAAAGAACTTTAACGATAGAAGAAAACCGGCTATGTGAAAGAGCACTTAGAATCTTTCAGACATTGAGCATGCATCTGATGAGATTTGGCACATTATCTGTCAAAATGTTATTATCATAAAAACATTAATGAAACTCGCAAAATAAAATGTGTAATAAGTACACAATAGCTCATAATTCCTGCAAACTGTAAGATTTACATTACTCAAAAAAAAAGTAATACAAAGAAGCATCACATACAAAATAATAAAGAAATAATTTACACAAAAGCATTTCATACAATATAAAATACACTGCCTTGTCATGATCTTACAATAGAACATCTAAAATTACGCCATCTTAATATTACAAAAAAAAGGGGTCAATAATAATACTATCTTTTAAACTATAATACTTGCTGCGGGAGCATAACTTACCTGTCAAAATATATCTTGACTAGCTGTGTTACGGTCGCGATAGTACATATTAAAATAATGCCTGCCATTGACATCATGACTGCATTAAAACTTAAGCTTGTTTATATTAGAAACATTCTATATAATAAAAGCTATGTTACATTCAATTCAGAAGCTGATAGGAATAGAAAGCACCATTATCAATTATAAGACATTTGTTAATAAACTTATCAACTATGAGTTACTATTTATATTGAAGTTGTTATAAATACATTAAAACATGGTTCATATGACGATTAAGATAATTGTATTTATAATGTGATAATAACGGTCGGAATACAATCTATCAATAGTGTTTAGAATTAAATATTTTGGTAAGTTTTAAACTCAGTTCTTTGTACCTGTATACAGTTAATCATAATTCATAAGGCACAGTTTAAAATATCTATCCAGTATCCCTGGCTACAATAAATCAGAAGCAACTGAACACTTGGCTGTATATAAAACCTTTTTTATGTATTACATAACATTTTTAATTCTCTTGATAGTATGTAATTTCAACACCCTTAAAAGAGTATCGCACAAGTCAATAAGCTTCATAAAAGTTGTATAGGAAGTTTTTCAATAGATTTATACTTCGCGTGTTTGAAAAATAAAAAAAATCCTAAACATATGCATATGAAAAGCGGTATTGCGTCAACAAATCTGGACAGCAGATGAAAATAACAATATAGATGCAGGTTCATGAAAAATATATTAACTGACCGTATTAGTGAATTACAAGTGGATTAATATCAAAAGGATACGGATAATTCATAAGTAAGATTGAAGAATGACGTGTTATGGATCAGAATTGATGCAGAGACACTAGACGAAGTAACGAAGTAATGAGATGAAAACAAAAATGTTGATAAAATTAACACAAAGCGTCAATATAAATGAACGGAAAATGTCACTTGTAAAAAGGTCGATATCGAGGCACGAAAGAATCTTATAAATCGTAGTTTGTTTATTATTTTGAGTATATAAAAAAAAACGTTATTCGTTGGTCTCTTCTTAATATTTCATTCTTCATAACTAAATTGAGGAGCGAGTAATTTTCTTCTCCTATTATTAAATTATGATAGTAATTACACAGCTTCACATATTTTTTTAAATAACCATTTACAATATGTAACGCAGACCCTGGCTATAGCCGGGAAATTGCCAGGTAGAAGAAGATATTATTTTGAATGTTCAATCGATTTTAATAATCATTTTTCCTTAATGCATAATTTTGATCTGCATACGTCACGGACAAAAGACATCTAAAAAAACCTGATGTATCATCGTGGTCTCGATTAATCGAAATACAAAAAACATAAACAAATATTTAACATTATAGAATTTGAATTAATTCCAGGTTGTAAAGATATCCTGGCTTGTTTCAATTGAGTCACGGTTAGTCCTTATTGTATATACAGGTTGTTGTATAAATGTCCTATGATGTTGGTACAGGGGGTTGTTTTTAGTGTGTTCGTGTTCAGACCTCGTCGGGCGCCATGTTGTCGTCGTGGTTATGATCAGCGGGCACTGGTGTGGCCGCAGCCACTTGTCCCTTGACCGTAGCCTCGAGCGCACGTATACGGTTCTCTTGCTTCACTATAACTGATTTCAGCTTACGGATCTCTTCCACCAGGTCAGATAATTGCTTCTCCTGAAATTGATGACGGTGGTTTTATGGTTAGTTTTTTTTGGGTGCAGTTGAGGTTTATTTGTGTAGGTGGGTTTTATATATCACACACACGAAAACCCTTGGTGGCACCAGTTACACTAGAGCGCAATACTAATAGTACTATACATACTGTAACGAATATAGAATCGTTCTATATATTTGTATAGACATAATGAGCAAAAAATCCTTTGGTTTGTTTTGATACATTAATTTTACTTCTGTCAAATCTTAAAGGAATATTTTTTTTATGCGCTATACATATGTTTATACATAGTGTTATGAATATTATCTCTGCTTACCACCATAGCGGTGAAGGCCGGCGGTGGGGTGGCGGCCGGCGTGGCGGGCGTGTCCCGTTGTCCAGGGGTGGGGCTCCTCTCGGGCTCCTTGTCCTTTTCCTTCTCTTTCTCCTTTTCCTTATCCCTGGCGGTGGCCAGTGCGTTCCTCTTGGTCACGGTGAGGTTGTGCGCCCTCCCCGCTACGTATCCACCCTGCACAATAAGCGCACGCTCCTGTAGCGTGGTTAGGTACCACCTAGCCTATAGCATCTGTCTATAACATTCCTGTTGGCTGTTTGGGTTGGGAGGGGGCAATTTTGTAAGTTATCACTACTATCACAAATATTAATAATAATTTATATAATTTTGGCTTTTATAACTTTTGTGGTGTCCAACCACATATAGTGCAAATAGAAAAGATTATTTTAAGTTATTTAAACACATGAAATACATTTCTGTTTAACTGAGCATGTCTTTTTATTTTAATGCTGTGGATATTTTTAAAGTACTTTATTTATACACGTTGATGAAAATATGAGTTTATTCCCATTTAAAAACATATCAGAAACAACTAAATTGTAACTGGTAATAAAAATCTTTAAAATGACAAAAGTTTTTGATGCAAGTTATTAAAAAACAATCATTCTAAGATATTAATGGTTAAAACAGTATTTAGTTATTAATCATTGTAATACAACACTCATTGTTAACAAGCCAACAGAAACATTAAAGGCAAACACAACACACTCTTATAATTTACTTAGTATATAAATAAATTGACATTAAATATATTTAGTATTATTATATAAAACGTGTTTAACATTATATTTAATGGCAATAAATGAAAAAGCGATAGTGAAAATTTTATTCTGCGCTGTATAATCAAATGAATATTATGTATGTATGATATGAGAAAAATTAAGCACAAAAAACGTCAAATTAAAATAAAACTTATATTTTCGGATTACTACGCAGAAATGATTTTTTTTGGCAGGTAGCTGAAACTTCGGGGGTATGTCGTTTTAATAACAAAAAACGCGTAGTAAATCCGAAATATTGGTTTTAATTAAATTAATGCTCGCTAAAGTCTTAGATATCGTAACGTCAAATAGGTTATTATAATTATTATTTATCTATTAACACGTACTTACCGCTCTCTAAAATATCATGCTTACAAGAAATTGAAATATAATACATATAAAATAATGAACATAACATTTTATTTACTATTGACAATGTTGGTAACTTTATTATCTTTTCCATTTGTGATTAATATATTTCTAAATACTATGTCTTTTTGTCTTCTATACATACTATTAGGCTGAGTGACCTTTCAACCTTATCAGCCTCTCGAGGGCTGATTTTGATTTTTAGTCAAAACAAAAAATTATTCTGTTTTTGAGCGATAATTATCTTCTATGTTTCTTTGTACCAACTGTCAACGACGTCTATACAATTTAGACTTTGAGTTTCTTAAAACATTAATCTTGTCTAAAGATACACGCTTGTTTTAGCGAATCAAATAATATCGATACAATTTTTTCACTAATTCAAACCAGGTATGTATAGAAGGGGAATGAGGGAGGGAGAGGGGGCGCACCTTCAGCGACATGGTGCAGGGTTCAGCGTCTTCACCCGCGAGCCACTCGTCCGCGGTTAATGAAGCTTCATCAGACAACGTGTCAGGATACAAGTCCTCCTGGAACAACTCAGACTTACGCGGCACCGTCATCGACACCACCTGCAATGATATATATCTTATGTACTATCTTCATCCTACTTCTTACTAATATTATAATTGGGAAAGTTTGTGAGTGTGTGTGTATGTTTGTTACTTCCTCACGCTCAAACGGCTGAACCGATTTTGATCAAATTTTGTATACAGGAAGCTGACGTCCAGGAATAACACATAGGGCTACTTTACATCCCGGAAAATGTTCGACCTCATAATCCGCGGGTAACACCGCGGGGAGCAGCTAGTATATAATAAAAATAAGCAAGTCATATTTGTGCATTTGTGCTCATTGTTAGTCGAGCCACATCTCACTGGTATTTGTGATGATATGGTTAGTTTTCGGTTTATTACGATAAATGTTCTTTTAACTTTGTCCGTGTGTAGTTACAATAATTGAATAAGTTATTTTCTCTTTCAGATAATATTTATTTAAGTTTAATTGATTACCTGACAGAGACCAGAATTGTTGAGTCTGTAGAACTTTGCTATTTCGCACGTAGCTACGTCACAGCCCCGTTTGGGCATCATACCGATACCTAAAACAAAAATTGTTATATAAAATAATATAATACAATATTTACTATATTTTTATTAAGTTTTACCTCTCTGTGGGTCTGGTGTTTGGAAGGTGTTAATGTAGTGGACGAAAGGTGGCTCTGGGGTGACCTGCAACGGAAAAAAATGTGTAAAACTGCTCTTTTTGTATAGACACTTTTGGGGGCTCGTATATATGACTCGTATTTGTTAATGAATCGACAATTTCGATTAGAGGCTATTAGTTTTATATGTAATTATGTACGTGGTTGATCATACATCTAAAGTACAAGTGATGAGTGATAGGAACCTCAAAATATCTGATGACCGAATCACCCTTCCCGCAGAGGTAGATGAGATTGGTGTCAGGATCGTAGAGTGGGAACATGACTCCGTTACTTGTGTCAATCTCCACCGTCACGATAGGTTCACCGAGGGCGTCCGGTGTACGGAGAGTATATTGACGCTCCGACATGCGACTGAATCTGGTTAGAACAAGTTTATCCTCTTTAGTCTAAGGAACATTCTTGTGATACTTCCAAACAATGATAAGGTGTAAAGTTTGCGTGAATTGAAAACGTTAAAGAAGTATATCTTACCCAGTGGTGAACACCAGTCCATGCTTTAAAAAGATTGCTCTGGATGCTTTGCTGCCTTCGTGAGCTATGGCCTCTGATTCCACTTCTCCCTTGCGAGGGTCTATTATTCTAAAATATCACATGATCATTAGTAAAATGTCATACAAAATATCTCTACCCAATTTCGAAATTAGAAGAATAAATACTAGTTCTATAGCTAATAGGTTTTGTATATAGAGAAGTTCATATACCTAATCTTCTTGTCGCGGCAGGTGGTGAGCAGCTTGGAGCCAGTCCAGTTCCAGCAGGCGGAGTAGATGAGGTCAGGGTGACAGTCCAGACTCAGCAACACCTCGCCCGTGCCAACATTCCAGATCGCTATCTGTTATGGGGCACAGTTTGATGGAAAATATGAAACAGCTGATAGCCACGTGAAGGATTCCTTTTGTTGTTGGAAGTTTATTTTCAATAAGAATTCTATACCTACAAACCTATCTTTTTATATATTAGCAAATTGATGATGGTAGGATTACATAGGAACGGAATTTTAATAGAAAACCGCGATAAAATATTACCTTCCAAAGAACCTGGAATATGAGGGAAAGGTATGAAAGATTCTGTTACTGACCTGGTTGTCGGAGCCAGCAGTTAGCAGTACGTTCTGAGCTGTTGGATGCCATAGCACCAAGCCTACGCGTCGCTGATGGTACACGAGATCCACCACAGGCTCCGTTAATGTACGGGTCAGGCCACCGTCCGGGATCTGCCATACCTGATATACGAAGAAATATATCGTCTGTGTGTATGTGTAAGTGTATATGACAAAATTAAGTGTGCGTTATAACTGTATGTAAGTACATTGTTGGCGTCTTATACATTGTTTTTTAAAACAAACCAATTAATTTAATGTAGCTTTTTTTTTGAGAACTGTTCAACCGAACTCTTATGGCGACCTCCATCCTTATATGAACTTAGTCGAACGTTTAATAATGTTAATTAAAAACTCGTATGGTCTTGGAGCTTTAAAATTTATGCCAGAATTTACCTTTACACTGTTCTTTATTTAAAACCAATTATTGAATAGCATTGTGATTGGAAAGAGTCTGGTTTTGATTGGAAATAACTTTAGAATCTTTATTGGTTACATCCATAATTGATAAAAGGCATAGATACCTTAACAACGCAGTCTTCGGAACCGCTGGCGATGACGTTGTCGTTGTGGGGACACCACGCTATGTCCAACACTGGACCTTTGTGACCTCCCACCAAAGGATGATCTGCTGGTATGCGGCCGACCTATCCACCGAATATAACATTATTAAAAGTTTCCTCATTTTAAATACAGTCCCAAATTAAATGTGTCCGCATTGCCTATAATTCCACTTCTTTTGTTGTGTTTTTTTGTTAATAAACATTTTTTCATTTTTCATTTTCATCTTCTGAGCTGAGTGATAAAAAGGAAATTTACTTATTTTACATATTATATGTATTATTTATATGAATTTGTGTTCGATCGGTAGTAATCAAATGATTGAAACTGAAACGAACTTTGAGGACGATTGACTAAATAAAATCTAGGTAGAAGAAAATTATACGATATTATCAAATAGAAAACAAAAGATAGTCGTCCATCTCATAAATATCTTAAAGAAAAAGTAGAAAATATATTCAAACTGGACGTATCGCTTGAGATAATTACAATTCATTATGCATTTCGTTGGCACCAATAAAAGGAAACTGTGGGGAATGTTACTGCAAAAGGTGAGAAAGCACATACTCCGATATAATTGCGGTAATCATTACTTTCACTGAATTATTTTGAGCGCGGAGTATGTTTTTTTTTGAAAGTCACATTCGTGTCAGTGATGCGTTTTTACTACTTGTTTGAATACAGATTTTAATTTTGTTTGTTTTCAATGTACAAAAATATCAATTCCATAGTGCGTGTAAGAAAATGTATTATGCTAAACATAGAGACGTTAGTTGTGAAAGATAAATGTTAAATTTTATTGGTGATGAAATAGAAAATTATACAATGATTTATTTTTTATTCAAATATTACCGGTACGTGAAAAACTTCAAAATGTTGGTTCTATACTTAGACTGGAGTTAACATTTTATCAAGGCATCTCCCTAATATTATATATACAATTATAAAGATTATACATTTCATATTTCACATTAAAAATGCATGTATCCGTTCTCTGCTACTTCAAAATGAATCTTATTCGTGAGAATTGTGTTTATGTATGTAGCACTCATGATGCTAAAATAGGTATTACATCTGAAATAGACAGCTATATTTAGCACATGACAGAACACATATTAAAACATATGATCTATGGTTGAAATATATATAATCTGATACAGTATGTTTTGCAGAATGTAATCATAACTTCCTATTTTAGACTTTTAATTTATTGCCACACATAAAAGATGTTTTCGATTAATTTTAAATTCCAAAATCGCCAACAGAGGATTTGGGAATAATTTTGTAAATACAAAACGAAGATAAGATTGGAATTCTACTTATGACTTCATAATGACCGACGATTTCATTAAAACCACCAAACAACAGCAAAATTTGTGTTTAAAACAATTCTATTTACATCAATGTACATATAAATAAATGTCAATGCAAAATTTTATAATAGTATGCGTGATTAATAAATTTTTACAACACTATTTTTTAACAACTGACTTGACAGAAAAAGAAATATGGAAAAGATAAAATTTTATTCTCCAAAAGATGGAATGTTTAAAAATATACGTTTCGATAATGAAATTTCCATCTACATAAAAAACTACGTAGCTTTAGAGAAAATTTTGAACATACAAAGGACCACACAGATAGTAGTTGAAAACAGTACTTTTTTTCATAAGTCGGTTAATAATATATATGAATTATTTTAATTTTTAACTCGTAACATTATAATGGTCCGAGGGAAACATTACATGCGGTTTACGTGGATATCTGATACGACACTGTTGTGATTATTCATCTTGAACTTGATGCGATATGTCTATAGATTTTATAATATTCAATATATCATATTAATATTTAAGTTAGGATTAAATATTCTGGGCAGTATATATATGTACAAGATCCTTTGTATAATTTATTTTTGTACCATTAGTACAATGATATTTTACAGTCTGAACACTGACGCTTGACTGATTCAATTTAGTTAATACATCTTTACCGATTACACAGTAAATAATTTAATTTCAATCTTTTTTACGTTTACCGCATCAAATCTGTCGTAAAGCATAAAAATATTAAAGTTTTGTACATTTATTAATAGTAATATGTTGTTAAAATATCATATAAAATTAATTATAATTGCTTGATACTGCATTACGTCATCATATGGGTGCCATAGAATATCAAAGGTGCTTTATGAAAACTTTTCCGTTTATATTTAGGTTATCATCGCCGCCGCCAATCTGTCTGTCTTCTGATTTATATTCATATTCTAAATATACCCTTTATTATTGTTAAAGTATGTCATACAATTATCAAAAGGCTAAGAAGTACGAATAGGGAACACTACAAAAATAGACATGTCAATTATAGTTAAAATAAGTAATTAAGTAAATGTTTTTAATAAAAATTTATTATCTTTTTTTTTATTGATATTTTTGTTACTATGGATAATAACAAAATAATATAATACCATGTTTTTAAATCCATTCTTCCAAGCACCTAACTCTTGATATATTTACCGTCGAAAAAAAAACAAATGAAATTCAATAATTAATAAATTTTATAGTCAAATAAGATAATTATCAATACTGACATTTATACTTTATCACATACATTTTACTTTCATTTAAACCAATTTCGGTTAATTCGCATTTTGCGATACATTTCTCCGTTGGCATTTAACGACTCTGTGTGTAATAATACCCGGTCTAAACATTATAAAGTATGACGTTCGAAAATACCCAATAAAAAAAACAAGTAATGAGATTTTTATGTTTTAAAACCCTTTTAACATAGGGTATATAAAAAATATATGTATATACTAATTATATCCAAAAATACCGTCGCGTGTTGCGATTCTAATAATTTAACGCATCGCATTCAGAATTAGATCCAAGCCTCGTGTTCTTTAATGACGATTGTTATAATTTTCACGGCGCAATGGATACCTAATTAATAATAATGGAACACATTTGCATGTCCACTGCTGAAGTGACGTGGCGTTAGAGAAAAAAAGTTTGTTTCAAAATGTAGTGTAAGTCTGGTTTGTACAGTCCAAACTGTGTTCTTTTTTCGTTTGAACATGTATTGCTAATAGAGACCTAAAATATTCTTAATCGATAAATAATTAAATCAATACAAATCTACTTTATTTAAATGAAAATACCGATACTACTATTGGCCATTGCAAGATTCTATTTTCTATTTCATATATTAGTATAAGGGTCTGTTTTGTGAATTTCATGAAGCTGTTTCCAAAGCATAGTTGGCCTTTGCACACGTCGACCGATTTTCTCAGGCGTGGGTGGTGACTCGATTTCCGCACGCTGGCGAATTATTTCCCAACGCAGTTTATAAATAACTAAATAAAAACATATATTAAATATAACTATAATAAAACAAACATTTTAAAAACAAACTTAATACCACCTAACCTATGTTATGAATCATCGCTAAAAAATATTATACAATAATGCGTTCGAACTATATTTAGTAAAGAGATTAAACTATATACTTGCATCAGATTTCTTTATATAGATAATCGTTTCAAAATAATGATTCACGCTATCTTCCTTGTGGGACTGCCAAAAAATTGTTTCATATATAAAAGAACAAATAGAATCTAAGGATGTTCTAATTTTATAACCTGACTTTATGACGTCATTTTTGACAGAAATTTTGAGATAAAATTAAGGATTTGCTTATTCTATAATTAAAATAATAATTATACAGTATGGGAGAAACCTATGAAATCTCTTATAATCTAGAATGAGCGGTATTAAATGTCATAAAATTCCATTCCTAGAAATACGTCATGGAATCCAGCGCATGATCCGTTAGCCGTAATATACCTAGTTGAATTGTCTTTGATGGTTATTGTCACTTACATTTAACCTGAATTCTGGCTCAATGACATCTACGTTCCTTAAAAAAGTGATTAAGAAATTAAAAAAAAAATCTCGAGAATTGTGTTAAGCTAATTTGTGACATTTAATCCATATCAAAAATAAGGCATGATAAAATAAAAATATTTCATATTTATACCAATATATTATTAAAATACTAGTAAAGAAAATAAAATTTCTATAAAAGAATTTGTATGTCAAATTTATTGACCACCATTGACATGAAATACATAGTTTAGTACTATTCTGATTAAATTTTACCTTTCTTAGGTGTTATAGTTATTTCTTTGGTAGAATATAGCAAGAATATAATGGCTTCTTTGCAAAAATTACCACAACGCTACCATATCATTAAGATTTTAATCAAAACTACATCTCATACTCAAAAAGTCTGTAAAATTTGTCATTTAAGAAACTTTCTATTAATAGTAATCATAAGCAGAAATAGCAACTACTATGAAATTTAGTTCAAATATAAATAATAGGCTGAGGATGGCATACTTAGTTGACTAGGTCTCAACCCATAAGGAGATTAATTTTTCTACGACCTGAGCAACCTCACATAATCATAAGGCTTTAAACACATTACACACATTTATGACACACTCTTAGGAATTCACTCAAAAAGTAAACATTCCCAGAAGACAATAACTTGAACCATTGTTGAATACCCATTGTCCTATATCTGTTGCACAATGTGAATGTACGGCTGGCATATAACATAAATAATTCAAATCAATATAAGCTTTAATACTATAGCAATACTGACTAATATTGGTGAATATGATAAGTTCCTAACACTTGCAGTCCATAGTACATTATGGTGCTTGTTCCATACTGATAAACCATGTGTATATTGTAGAATAATTTGATGTCTCTACAATTTGTGATATGTCATGTCTGAAAACATATCTATAAAAAATGGAAGTACATATAAATTTAAATAAAACAAATAATAATGGGATTAGCTGTAAGACATCCGATATATAAGCCTGTATAAAAATAAAACTTTTAAAATTATCATCATTGAGCTGATGATTTACATTGAAAAAATACAAATTTTTACATTTAATATTATTTAAATTTTGTTTAAACTTAATTTTTGTGAAAGATAATGAAATATGTAGCTATAATCATACTTTTTCACCTTTAAAGTACGAGTAAGATGGTGATTGGGTAATTCTTATTTAGCTTAGCACATCGTAAACCTCGCAAAGAACATAAGTCGCATTACTTCATAATTATTAAAATTAAATTATTTATCTATTGCTTCTAGTAAGATTTAGCTTTGTTTATCAATAAAATATGATTGCATAAAAATATATATTGATAAGTTATATCTTTTTTGTTATAAAGCATGAAGCACGCTAGCCAATTTTATGCACAATTATAATTATAGATAAAGATTTTGAGAATATTCCACTAGCATATTATTGATTATGGACATATAGAAAATGCTTTTGTTTATATGATTAAAAACCTTTGAATAAAAGTAAATGATAGACGGGCATATTCAACAAATTTATTAGTGGCTTCATCTAAAATAGAAGAAAGTTTCTTATAAGACACTTTAAATTTTTGTAAAAAAAAGCAGAATTTGTATAGATTATATTAAATTTAAAAATATGTATTTAAACATAATTTATGATTAAAAATAGATTTATACCAAGTCAAACAGTTTTAATAGAATAGAGACATATTGGATAAAGTAGTGGTAATATTTTGGTAATGTTAAAAATAAAAATATCTGTAAAATTATTTATGTGTCTTTTCAAGTTAAACTAATTCATGACCAATTTAGTCATGAACCAATAATAACCAAGGATTGTAGTTGTGGAAATAATCAATACCCCAGAATAATTTTATGACTGGAGCATTTGAAGGAAACTTAAAAGTATAAATCGTGATTTAAACTCTATGTAGTTTGATTTAATAGCATGATGATGCAAATTAAGTTAGTATTTTGAGACTACTGAATTTCACATAATTACTATATAATAATTGCTATGAATAATGTATGATTATAAAGTATAACTTTGAATACTATGTCAATTACAGAGAAAATAAATGCACAAGACATAAGTACCCAACAAATACAATATTTTCTAAACTGATTCTCTGATAGAAAGTATGTCTCTAGAAAAATATTTGATAGTTTAGAACACTCGATAAATCTATTTTGACGTAAATAGTTTATTAAATATATTTGTATGGCTTTAAAGTATATAGTATTTATGTGATATTAGCTGAATTTTGGGTACTTGAGTAAAAGTAATAACTTACCTTATTATGGGGTAAAACTATGAAGGCTCCCCCGCCGGCTGACTCTACAATGATGGCTAGGAAAGTGGGGTTTACAGCACAAAACGTAGAGTCCCACGAACTTTTCGATACTCTGATGTTATCATAACACTGTTCCCTTTTAAGGGCCTGACCATATACATGGCGGAATTTTGAACTACGAACCACTCTGAACGACATCTGGAAACCAAAATACGCACATTTAACGATAGACCCGAACACACTTCGATATAATCCTAATAATTTCACTTAAAACATAACCTATACGCTAATATTTGACTGACCTATATTGACATTAGCTATAATTGTTTAAAAAATTAACTCACGTTTGTTTATAACAAGGAACTATATTATTTACGCCAAATATGTCAGTGAAATCATTTGAGTAATCCTAAATGTTATATAGAAAATAAAAATTGAGAGCTGCTAAGGTACGAAGGGAGGACGGTTGGGAAAACGAGCAAACTCCATATTTGGTAATGCCTACAGCCACTGCATTTACTGATTATAAATTTTTGAGGATAAGATAATTCAGTTGGTATGACTTTCATATATTATTGTAAATAAAATTTTATATTATTAAGGACTTTTTTTTCTACCTTTAGTGTCTTTTTATAAAAGAATTTAAGATTTAAATTTCTACATTAAAAAATTATTTACGAACGCACCCTATGAACGTCAAATTCATAGAATTACTAAAATTCATTCATTTCAATTAATCCTCTTTTTTATACTAAGATATGAATAATATTATATTTAATAAGTATATCTTTTTGTTAACTTTCAAACAAAGTAATATTAGAATTTTGAAGTAAAACATTTACGAAAAATATAATATCAACTTACCGTCAGAGTCCGAACAAAACTTGAGCTGCGTTCTTGATACCTTATGTTTGAGCGTAGAAATGGTCTCTCTTCTTATGATATCTCTGATATTGAAATTGGATTTATGTGTATAATTGAAATATGGAGTATCTTTTAGGGTCCTGACCAAAATTAATAATAATAATTCTTCATAAAAAAAATTAATAGCTACAGTCAATAATATTTTAAGGACCTTATCCAATTTCCATTTCGTTACTTCATTATCTTAATGTAGAAAAATTTACTTGAATGATGAACTCAGGAATTTTAACAATTGATTGAACATGATACTTATAATAATCTAAATGGAGGGTAGTTCTGTTAATGTATGGATGACTATACCATTTTTACCTAAGTGCACGATATAAAATTTGAATAAGGTAGAGAAAATATTCTATTATCTGTTTAATAATAATGATATTTATTGTAAAAAAGAAATATAATTAAAATATTTGTTTATAAATGGTACTGATCTTAAAAATACACTTTTCATTCAATATAATTCGTATGAAAAATATTATAAAAATGGATGAGTAATGATAAAGGCTAACTCTGTATATTTATGTATGAGACAGTTTAAAAGGAATTAATGATTTTTGGTTGAAAAAGTTAATTAAATTTACTGTGTTCTATCATTATTGTTTCAACAAGTCATATTTTAAGCAAATTAAAATTTTTATGGTGAAAAATAAAAATGCATATATTTAGTTCTGTCTCTTTTTTACTTGCAACAGAAAACTAATTAAAGCAATTTTATTTATTAGATATGAGTTTTGAAGTATCATATTATGTTTTATGTAATCTTCTATGTCATTTTTATTTCAGATTGGGAGTTTCAATTGTTTTTATACTTTTTACGTATACTATTAACTAAAATAATATGATTTTGTTACCCTGCGTGGAAAAAATTCAAAACATTCTACACGCTTTTTAAAATATTTTTTAGGTTGGTATATATATTTGAGATCAACTCTTTTCTATGTTGTTGTTACAAGAGGTAATACATTCTATAGTAAAAAAAGCAAATTTTATGAAAAACATAACACAACACATGTGAATAAATAGAAGCAAACAAAATATTATTAGTTAGATTACTAATAGAAATGTATTAAAGCAAGAAATCTCTTACAGTTCCTTTTTTTTTAAGTTTACATTTACTTAAAGCGGGCTATAATTTATTTTCTTTTCTTAATATTGAAAAAGGAATAATAAGAAACTAAAAATCTTATTGGGCTTTTTTGCTAATATAACAACAAAAAATTCACTACATTTATAACAAATAAAAAAAATTGTATATTAAAAAAACGCATTTTTTAAATTTTAAAGATAGGTTCCGATGGTGACATTTTGCAAATAGTTATTTTTCCTGCTATGATTTCATCCAAAGTTGAATCGTGGAATGTCTTGCCGATGCTATCCAAATAGTTTTCTAGAGACATATTGGCTTGTCTATTTCCTCTATTTGATGTCAGTGTCAACTGTCACTTTTCATTCTGTCACTTTTTTTCACTAGCGGTCCTCGAAGTTTTATCAGAGAAGTATATTTGTATATTATTATTTATTTATAACATATTCTTACTTTCGGTCTATATTATTATTGCGATTAGAATGCATCGGCGTCATTATTAATCTTGTGTTCCGGTTATTCAAAGAACAACATGATTAACAAGGTAATTTGATCTTATGTCTAACCATTTTTTGTTTTGTAACTCTCATAAACAATTTTTAGGGATTTCAAAGAATTTTAAATGGTGTTAACTATTTCTGACGATATTAATTATCACATCAAATGTCATAAATATTCAAAAGTACCATTCTTATGGCCTCCTTTAAGAGTGGTTTCTTTTTATTTTAGTTTAACAGCTTATTATTTTATCAGCATTATCAACAGCAGTCATAACTTTGATCCCTGATATTACATGTCAAAGTGTTTAATATCTCGTACTTCTTGTGTATTTTATAAAAATATCAATTATTTATAGTAATTGTAATCATATCATAAATTAAAGGAATAGTGTCAGCCCAGATAGATAGAATTCATTGAACACAAAGGAAAAGGAAAATTTAAACGTATTTATTGTTTTGTTAAACAGTGTATGCAGTTTGAAGATAGTGAATGTATATACAAATATTTCGATTGATCAAGATCTATTAAAAAATCAAAATTGAGCCTTCAAGAAAAACGGAACTTGAAGAGGTGGATATAGGAGAAAAGCACAAGAAACAGATAACAATGGCAGGTCAAAAGTCACAGGTTTGCATTGTTATTTCCATTTCTGATCCTTCGTATATGCTTATCAATATATGGTCAGTGTTTATAGGTTTTTTTGTCCTTTAGGCTCGTCACTACCGAGTTATGATGTCTGTGCTGGGTCTATGCAATGCTGGTTCACTTGCTGCAGCCATCAATCTGGTGATCATGCTTAATCCGGAAGACAGGTAATTATAAAAACATTAAATTTACATTTTAAACTCATTATAATAGAGTACCTATTTACAAAAGTAATTATATAGATCAGTTACAAGATATTATCATAGGTAGGTAGTAGATAATTACTTTATAGTTTATATGAGTAAAAATACAATATGGAAATGACTAATGAAATAATTGTTTCCTTTAAAATTATTACAAACTTTTTGCTGTGTTTTTTTATGTCAATGTTTACTTTTAAGAAAAGTAAGGTTATACATATTTTGGTATTTTTTAATAGGTTATAAAGATATGTTATGTTTTGAATTGAAAAATACCAGTATCTTATTAGATATTTAAAAAATATATTATAAATATGTATGTACATCTTTGTTTATAGGTAATTGTGGTGCATGTTATACAAACAAAATTATTTTTATCTTTCTAAGTTACTTCAGGGATGTAGGAAGTTGTTAAGTAAAATGTTATTGACAAAGGAAATATTGACGAATTATATCATCAAATGTTTTGATGCTTAAAAGTGCTTCAAAATATTGATTTTTAAATTTCAAAAAGCCAATGCTTAACACATGATATTACTTAATTCTTCTCAGAGATCGAAAGTATTTAAAATTTAAATATGCAGTTATTTTACTTATGAAAAAATTACAATGTTATTCGAAATATAATTAGATAATGATAATGAATATTTTGTATGGGAATTTTGGGTTTATTGTCTAAAATTATGGTCCCTCAATGTTCTAAATATTGTTTACGTAACCGAGATCGTAAAGAATTCGTTACATCGCTTTCTGAACAAATGCGATCCATTCATTTGATTAACACTTGCTTAGCTTCTAACATACTAAAAGGTCGTTACGTTTTGTTACACTTTTGAAGGTAATGACTTTGTTTGTTACTTTAATGATGCCGTTTAGGAAATTTCCACTTGCTTTGAATAATTTCATCTTGTTTAACGCCATGAGTATAAATAATAATAATATAATTCTATTGAAATGTTAATAGTGTCAATTAACTTATAGAAATTGTTTAATAGTTGCTTTACGAGACTTCTGATGTCATTGAATGAGAAACTAAGCGGGCATGCGTTCAAAGACTTTTATACATCGCTTTTTATACATTTTGATACCTTTTTTAGAATTGTCCCTCCCACGGAAATATATGAAAAAGAACAAATAAAAAAAACAAATTAGCTGTCTTATATATTTCATAATTACACAAATATATACGAAACTTTATTGATACATTTTGGTATGGAGTTATTCGGGATACTATTTATTTAATCCAGTTAACATACGTATCAAACGAAAACTTCATCGAAATCCATCCAGGAGGAATGATTACAGATTTAAAAATTGTCCATAAATTCAATATTGTTATGTGGAAAAATTAAAACAAATATTATACTTGTTGTATATCTTACAAAATGTTGAATTGGTATAGTTTAAACTATATAAATACTGTTATAACTTATATTTCATAATCATTTGTAGAAATGATTTTCATACGTAGACTTATTTTATGACTTTTTAAAAATCTCATCGGTCCAAAAGATTAGAGCGCTAAGCGTTATTTAATTCACAAATAAATTAACCATTCAAAAATATACAAAATATGAACAATGCAATAATCGAATAATTCTTATTATTCATAATTTACCTATTGCTATTACTTTGATTTGTTAAGAGAAATAAATGTATGCTAAAGCGATTGTTATTTTTTTCTCATGCATAGAGCTGTTGCGAATTGTTTTGATATAAAATGCCCGTACAGTTCACGGAAAAGACTTTGAAATATTTAGTAGATGATTATATCTGTCGTTAAAATTTATTTGAGATTGAAGTTAAAGGAAGGCGGATTGCAATAAGGAAATATGATGATATTATATACAAAATATTGAATATATACATAATATGTTTTTATAAGGTGGTTATTGGCGAATTATCTTCATAAATTATCTCGCTTATATATATTTTTCATATATCTGTATATAATAAATGTTTTGACTATTAAATGTTTAGCCAGCTATGATCAAATGTAAATTCGTTAATAACTTGGAATTAAAATTAATTTCTAAGTGATGTGTTTTACGAATAGTTACGTAAGTTTTAAAAAAGAATTACGTAACATATAGTACGTAAATGATTTAAAAATAAGCGAATGTTATCCAGCAGCCGTAGCGATTAGCGAACGCCGAATTGTTTATACAGGTTTATGGAGCGAGATAAATAATTTTACGATAGTGATAAAAAAATGTTCCTGTGATGGAAATTTAACGATAACAATGACATTTTTTTAAAACATTATCTAAAGAATAACCTCGATAAAGTGAACTATTAAAGCATATTTAATGCTTCTTCAATAAAAATGATAATGTCAAAATAATAAAACGTTACAAAACTTTTAATGTGTTGTTTCGTCGTCGGTCATTATTCATTTAGTTTTATGAAATCGAGCAAGCGAAATGAAAAATATATAAAAAATATTATTGGTAGGTTAGGAATTTACCTATATACAGAAAGTTGTATATATATTTTGATCTTTATCTAATGGTTAAATGGTTATGAAAATTAGGAAAGGCTGCTTTCAAAATTCTTCCCACGTACAAGTCTCCTTTAAAACTTGACTATAATTTTCCTCTATTGTTACATTTTCTTTTATTCGATTTTAGATAAAATCATTTTTTTTTAGTTTTAAGATTCTCAGCCATCAGGTTCATCAAAACCATTTGAACATTAAATTAAAAAAACTTTTCTAAGCCTATGTATATTATTGCTACTTGACTTGAAGGCATACAATATGAATGCCATTAGTCTATTAAAGCGCCCGTTTCCCGCGGGTGTAGCTCGTTTTGTTATAAATGTTTATATGAGCGATTCACGTGGCAGCATCGACCTCATGTAAGGTCGACTACAAGGTTGAATTAATAATACTCAAGTGATGTTGCTTTATTAAAATTATATAATAATAGAGAAACATTTCACAGACAATGATGATACAGATACATTGTTGGTTCTATTGTAATATTATTTGTTGAGGCGCTCGCTAGCACATGGGATGTTATATGGGATGACGGTCTTCGTCTGTTTAATTTGTGTTACATGTTATGATATTCTAGATCAATCTATCCTGATAAAATTTTATGCTATGAGTACTATAAAGTTCTGTGATGCCATTTGAATACGAAATTTAAATACTTATGAATTGGTTTTGAATCTCCAATAAATGTATGGACACCATTAAAATTCTTATTTAATACGAGTTAGCTTTTGTATCTTTTTAAACTTTCACTACATATTGTTTTTCCAAATTCATAATTAATAAAATTTAAATAGCTGAAGGAGTGATGCGATTAGAATTTAGTTAATCAAAACGAAAGTCGAGGACTATGAATATTGGCTCATTGCAGCTTCTGTTCTATTACAGAATTTCAATAAAACGTGGGGCTGTCCTGACGGCTCTAGGATTCGTGTATTTTATGACTCTGTTCGAGCTGATCAACATGGCGGCCTTGTTCACTCAGGCTGGTGCTCGCTTCAGGCACAAATACAAGCTCAGCTGCGGAGAAGTTCTTGACATTAGTAACAAGTGAGTTCAGCTTTTATACAAACGACAATCCACCAGAAATGACAAGTAAGTAATATTGTTATGATGTAATCGTTGAGTCTCTTAGCCTTTGCGCGGATATGGTACCAGGAGCTACCAATAGCATTTCAAAGGTCATGATTTCTTTTTGGCTTTATATTTTTAAGTGTCCTAAAAACAACACTTTGTAGAAGATTATTATCTTTATCCGCATATTTCTTCTTCTTCTTATTTGTTCTTGTATTAACTCTCCAGGTTGGTGTCAGCTATCCAAGCGGCTTTCTCATGCGTGACAGGCGCTGTGGTGTGTGCTTGGTCGTGTACACGTGACTTGTTGAAGTCCTCACACTTCATGTCCGAAGCCTACGCATGGTTCGGAGCTGCATACTTCTTCTATGACATCTGGTCCATGTATATGGTAAGAGTTTGTTAAAAGATTTGAATTTTAAATTGAGATGAATAACTATCATTCTCAATTTGGAAGATTCCAGCTTAAGACGTAACTGTCGAAAATTGTTATATTTTATTTACATAAGTATTTATTTTAAGATAAACTTTTTTTCGGTATATCATAGTGACTTCTGTCATATTATCCAAAGTATTATAGCTATGAAAATATAGAATAAGTTTGGTGATTTTGCATAATGTAGTAAAACACACACTAAACTAAATCACTTACCTTCGCAGAACTAAAACTATAATACTTCATCTGTATTACTAGTAAAGGTAAATGAGGGATGATTTATCGTCAGTTATTTCATACTAAACAATGTTGAAGTCGTGATGTTCTATATTTTTCAGGTTCACGTCCACATGACAACGAACGCGGACTACTTTAAGAACAGGATCCGTAAAGTGTCGAAGCCCGAGGGTCCAGCCCCGGAGCCTGTCAAGCGACCCTCGTTCTTCTCATACTGCAGACACGAACCCGTCATCCTGATGCATCACCTATTCATTGGAGGATTCGGATTTTTGGTCATAGTGGTGAGTTCGTTGATTTGAAGTCAGTGGTGGCCTAGTGGTTAGGCCCGCCTCTCATGTATAAGGGCCCGGATTCGATCCTGGCAAGTACCGATGTGATTTTTCCGAGTCATACGTACTTTATAAGAGTATTTAGACATCACTGATTAATTCATTCCCAAAAGAGGGTTGATGTCAGGCGGGCGACCGGTCGTAAAAACAATTAGCCAATATATTCACTACATGTACGGCAGAGACTGGCTAAAGCTGGGAAATTGCCAAGTAGAGGAGTGGTGAGTTCGTTGATTGATCTTGTATAGACAATTCACTGTGCCCTGCTACGCTTTGCTGTGGTCACATGAGTGAGAAATGAACAAGAAAAGATAGCGTACGTTATATTGAAGCTTATTTTTTCAATACTTATGGGTAAACCATATTTTTTGTTTTCCCATTGTTTGTGTAGATATAGAGGCTATATGGTTATAAACTCACTTAGAGATATGTCAGTATCAATCAAAGAGGATTTTAAAGTTTTAAAGCATACACAAACCAACTTAACACATATAATATTATTATAATATAAAATCCCAAATAAAAAAGCCGTGCACATAGATTTAGGGTAGAGTAAGCAGAAGATGTTACAAAAAATACAAATTTTTGAACTAAAAATGATTGCGGTATGTTGATCACCGCTTTATGAAAGTTATTTATATCGAAATAATATTTCGGAAATATACAGCGGAGATCTTAACATTCTTATTAATATTATTTGAAAACAACGTAAACAAAATAACATATTTTTGTATACACAAACTGCTAGCTTATTAAAACTATCATAATACTTTTTATTAAAGTGAGTATTATTTTTCGTTAAATCTAAATCTTCCCGGTAAAGACAAATTTAAAATTCAAACGACAACTTACTGGTCTGTAAACATACGTATCCGTAATGTATGATTAAAGGTATGTTAGTAAGAATTAAATAATAATATAGGTTTAGTTGTTAGATGGGCATGATAAGCAGTGCTTTTTTGCATCTATAGTGTGCATACCACTGCACAATTACAGTGTGAATGAAGCCACAGTATAAATAAATAGCATTTTTTAGCAAGCTTTTATTATTAATGTAAATGCATCAAAGTTATTTTGTACCAGTTTAAAAACATTATACTTGATTGCAACTACAGTCATTCTTGATACATCAATTTAAATAGCGCCCAGGTAACGTTATTCAGATCAGATATACAGGGTGACTGGTGAATTACTATCAATATTTAAGGAGAATACTCGGTACATGATTCTCATTCGAATTATGTAAAAAAAATAGCTACTTAATTTTTCACCAAATTTCCGTATAAATAAATAAAGTGTGGATACGTTCCAAGTGTTCCAAGTGTGGACGCGTGCGGCGGCGTGCTGATACAACACTACGCCTCCGCACGCGTATGTGTGTGTGTGTGTATACCTTATCTGTAGGGTGTTCACACGATGCGTAATTAATTACATAACTTTTGGTTAACTTTACTTAGAAGTTTATTAATATTTATGTTATATTAATTTTTATTTTGTCATATATGATCGTCAAATATCACGTCCTCAAGTATCGATAGTAATTCACCAGTCACCCTGTATATTTTTAAAAACCTGCAATCGTGTTAAAAAATAAACACTTTTAGTTAGCGGGAATGAATAATTTAAAAAAGACGCGTTTGTTTTAATAATAATAATAAAAAAAACAAATAGAATTGTAACAAAAAATAATATATAACACATACATTTTTTAATTTTTCCCTAACGAGTAGATTATCTCCCCAACGTACATGAGACGGTATATGTGTTTAATCCTAAATTGGCTTTGTTTATAGCTATATTATTACTATTCTAAAATTACTGTAACGCTGTTGGATTACCTGTACCGCGTGTGTGTGTTTTTAATCCTCCTACATGTGTATGTGTGGGTGTTCCTCAGTATCTCCGCGGCGGGCTGGGCGACTGCGTGTTCGGGTTCGTGTATCTGATGGAGGCCTCCACTCCGTGCGTGTCTCTCCGCGGCGTCCTCTCTCGCCTCCGCCTCAAGAGTTCCCGCGCGTACCTCGCCAACGGCCTCGCCATGCTGCTAGTGTTCCTATTGTGTCGCGTCCTCAGCCTGCCGTACGTATGTCTGCTCTACTCCCGTCGCCTCGGCCTACCCTACTTGGACGCCATAGCGACTCTGCCGCTAGGCTGCAAGATTTCCATCTGCATACTGCTGTTGCCGCAACTTTACTGGTTCTACCTCATGTCCGCGGGTGCCGTAAAGGTTTTCTTCGGCACCGGAAACGGAAGGGAGCCCGACCGTCGCAGGTGATGCCCTCGCCGGAGCATCCGGAGGCACTGAGGCCTCGACGGCGTCCACGACAACCGGATGCTGTATTCTGCGCACTAGATAGATATGTTCTAGTTTTAATTATTTTATTGTATTTATTAAGTGCGTGTGATATGGTGGTGGAGATTTCGGTGTCGGATGTCGCTAGATTTAAAATTCAGAGCTTGTTACGTCTTTTAATAAAAATTACGCCTCGAATTGAACACCACCAAAGAATTAAATTCGCAGTGCCTTGTAGCGGCCGCTGTAAATGAAACGCACAAACGTAGAAGCTGTTATGTAATGTTCATCGAACATTCTAGAACATTTATCGTTAATAGTGAGCTTTTAAACAAAAATACCGAAGCATTTCTATCAAACATTCTTTAAAGTTTCTCTGCATTTGTTTTCATGCTTTAAGTTTTCATAATATAATGTTATTAATATTAAAATTTATATAATCTCAATTCTAAATAAGTTCTGTATGTTATATATTTATATATTTTATAATTACGATGTAAGCATTCTAAATGGCCTTATTTACTTATGATAAATTTTCTATCATCAATATCGAATATTGTAATGATCTTGTTTTTTCTTGAACGAAAATTATATATGTATACAATGAATATTTATGAAACGTCCATGTTTTAACTATTTTTTGCTCAAATGACACACGTCAGGGTTACAGTCGTTTGAAATATTAGATGAATTTGTTATCTAATTTCACAAAGTATAAAAGACTATTCTCTACGACAAACTTCTTCGTGTTTCCTCCACAAAGTACTCAAGATTGATAAGTTGATCTCGGCCAAATGTTCCATCATTTCAGTGCGAATGAAGACATAGCCATCAGTCTTTAACATTTTGGATATGTTGTTACCTCTGACTAGTAATTTCGCACATCTGTTCGTCTCGTAGCAGATCACATTTCCTTGGCAAAACATACTTGACACCGTCAGCCTTAAATACTAGTTCTGTGCTATCCTTGGAGATTTTATTTGCCATCTCGATGATTACTGTCTGAGGATTCAAGCTACGTACGTAATCAATCTACAAATAGCTTCTAGCCCATTGAATGTCCTTCCGTTATCTTTCCCTCTATAGCATTAACAGCTATCTTCAAGAAGGTTTTGCCTGCAATGTACGCGTCTAATTCATTCCCTATAGATTTTATATTTTTAGGTGTCACTTTAACGTAATCCTTAACAATGATGTAATATCCGATAATGGCGTGGATATTACACTGAGCCCCTATAGGTTGCAAAGTTACAGTCAAAAGGGTGAGCTAATGCTAATACTTTCTGATTCCGCGTAGATGAGTTATGTAATACGTTATCCGAAAAATATTAGTTGCATTTAAAAGAGTAATATATTTCAATTGTTTGGAGTTTAGGTTTTTGAGATTGTTTTACAAATTTATAAATTGTATGTTATTTGATCTTATATTATTTCGGCCTAAAAAGCTGCTGACAGCGAAGACGTTCATACGACAATTAATATTGGAATTTTAAGTTAAAATTTAATAACTATACTAAAAATATGTTATAAACTATATAACATACGCATTGTGAGTTTCTATTGAACCAAAAGCATCAAGAAGGAAGAGAACTACCAAAACATTACTTCTTTAAATTAAGTTTCCAATGACAACTTTAACACCGAGGTCATTTAATGAAATCTAGTTCTAATAATGATATCTATAAAAAAACGAAACTTGTAAAACAATATCCATCATGTACACTATTCTTTACGTTTGTACATACTTTGTTGGCAGAACCGCGACGTCATTACATATAAAAGTAGAATACATAGAATTGTCGTATGAACAATTTATACTCTTGAATTTTTTTTAATAATCAAATTTTGATTTGATTGACCCTTGACTGAATTCGAGAGCTTTTTGTGTCCGTTCAAAATGAATCTATTATTATTAATCAAACTTAATGTGTCTGACCATAAAGAAAATACGATCAATGTATTATGCTAATACATGTTTATTTGTTTTAAATTATCAAGGGAAAAATCTAATGTTATACAATAATACTGAAATATATATCTTGCGACTCGTAAACGTGGTGCAAGGTATAATTTTATATAAATCTTTCAGTTGATAAAGATGCACTATTCACATTTTCTTACTGTAAACAGTATGAAAATAGATTTTCTATTTTCCTTTCTGATTATATACTTCCTTCATAAACGTACCTGTTATGTACACTGACACAATCTTTATTTATATACTTTATATAGTTATAAATAACATTTTATATAGTTTCCTTGAAATATTTTATTTTATGGGAGCGTTTAAATTAATATGTTATTCTATGTTACATAATATTGTTTATAATATTTATGAGGTTTCATAACTGGTGACCTGGTTTTGGTGATACTCCAAGATCCTATGATATTAAAATGTGTGTTTCCATCAAGTGTGTCGTGAAGTCACAAAAAATAATTCTATCCATCTATATAAGAGGTAATAATATGAAATTATACCTCTTATAATTCTTTCTCACCACTTAGGTACATCAGACATTGCTTGATGGAGTTATTTTTTTTTCTTTCATAAGAAATATTAAATTACATAGAATCTTGGAGTATAGTAATTATATTTATTAAAATGTTTCGTCTCTTTTCCTTGAGGTTCAAATCTTCCGTTTGTATCTTCAGTATTATTTCAACCAAATTTTATTGCGAGTCTCGAAGCCTAGGGTTTTCTTGAATCTTCGAGCTTAATTTATAGGGTCATTGTTGTCAAAAACGTCATATAGACTGGTATTAATAAATTTACATTTATAAATCGGCACATATATTTTTTTCATTACTGGATTTAATTGTCAGAGATGTAAAAAATGGACTGTACTTTGGGAAGGAATTGTTAGAACTTGTAATATGCTTCTAATACAGTCTTCCACAGCTTAATAAAATTTATACTCACTACACAAATATTTTACAAATACCCAAAATCTTCCTTTTTTTATATCCTTTTTCATATATTTTTTTTTCAGTGACCATAGCTTTTAACTATCAAGCAAACGTTACTGTTCTTGCTTTATAGTTTTGAACTTTTGTCATTCGTAATAGGTGTTAAATTTCTATAACAGTTAAATGTCACTCGGTGACTGGTTGCCATTTTGTAAAGTTTAAGTGTTACCAGTTTATATGTACTTTATAAAAGTCATGTAGTGAATAGAAATAGTGAAATGTATTAAAAATTTTATTTGTAATAATAAATAGCATTTTGTAATCAGTTGGTGTTGTTATTTATAATCTGCAGCTTCTTCTAATTTAAAAATTATTGTGTTAATTCTACAGTGAGTAAAAATAATAAATATTTTTTTATATTATTTGTACCGACCTATAACGGTAGAAGACAATGACTACAACATTATACAATCATATTGCGAATAGCAATAAGCAGTCATAGTGTAGAAAAAATATTTGATGTAGATTTTTTTCTGGTAACTATATTTTGGATTATATGGACTTATGGACACGATGTCAATGTTCCAAAAGCGTAAAAATATTTAAAGTAAAACTTAAATCCCTGGGTTTAGAAAATATTGACTTTTGACATTGACAACAAAATTCTGTATTGCAAACTACAAATAAATTTATGTTTGACTTCAAGAAAATAAATCTATTTAAAAATAAAAATCATTTTATAGTTAATTCGAGATATGTATACTTTTCTTGATAGCTGAATATTCGTAATAAAGAGCTTCTTCATAAATAATATTTGCAATGTAAATTCATATTATTTTAATTTGACTCTTATGGACAATTCAAGGGAATTACGAAAAATTTGTTAAATGGAGGAAGTCGATAAATTGAGACCATACGTTATATTAAGTTTGCACTGTTTATAATAATATATAAATATTTTTGTTGTAGAAAATCACAAGATAATAATTTAATAACCATTTTTATAGGTCTAACAATTTTTGGGTAAAAAAAAACACAATCGTAAATATTCTTAATTTCATTAATTTACATACCGAAAATTTACAATTTATATTTTGATTGCACAATATCTAATTTGTAATTAAAAAATGACAAAGAATACAAGAATAACAAGGTTGAAAATTTGAGATTTGATAGCAGTGAAAAAAGGAGCTTATTTAGAATAGTTAAAATTATATAAAATCAAAATTCTTAGTTTCTTTGAAACCAGCTCCATGTATAGACGCATAGAAGTTATTTAAAACAAATTAGAAATTCACCTAATACATTATATACACAACACAACACACTACATATATACACAACATACAATATATAGGTACTTGATTATTTTAGAAACGACTAGTAAACCCGGCGAACTCCGTTTCTCCACAAGAAAGCTTCGTTTTATGTAACATTTCGTTTGGTGATTAAAAGATGAAGATTTTTTTTTTGTTTTATATTTGAACAGGAAAAATTTTATTTCATTTCACAACAGTAATGAATTCATTTCGATTATAAAATTGAAGTGTTATTTAGTTGAACTTCTCTAAGTAAACGAAAGTGAATCCAAAGTAAATATTGAATAGAAGCGTTATACGTGTCCGCAAATTATCCGTTACGTTAAAGGGCTCTTTGGTAAACCACATTTTTGTTTTTTGGTCTAACGTCAACACAAACAAAGCGGATGCTTTCCCAACGCGTGAACATGATGTGAAAAACAATATTTTCCTAAATTTATCCCGCAAATACTAAAAGTTTTTTAAGGGTTTAAACTACAAACATAATAATTCCGGTTTCTCAAATGAAATTAACTGAGCAGAGAACAATGAGTAGCTGTCAAACAATGTATCATGCACCGGCGTCATCTACTTAAAATATTGATGTTATGTATCAGAGATGGCGCTGTATGTGTAAAAGATTTTCCCACTTCTTTGTTGAAATTTTTCCTGAATTTTTTTTTGATTAAAACCTCACGGAGAAGGAGACCTTTCCAACGAATGCAAAACTGTGGAAATCGATTCGGGCGTTCTGGAGTTATAGTCTTAGGAAGGAAAACCGGACTTATTTTTATAAAGTAGATTTAACGACACCACTGTAATAATCCCATAACCCAGCTATATTTTTTTCTCCAAAAAATAATTTATTCAGCTTGGGAGTAGAAGCAATTAAGAAGCATTTTGTCAAGCGAATTTATTTCTTTGTCATAAATAATTAGAAAGATTGAAGTACATGTCATGAAAGAAATTTGAATTAAAAAAAAATAACATTAGAAAGAAAGAATTAGTAGTAGAAAATACATAAAAATATATATTAAATGTATATTAATATAAAATCAAGTTCTTCAAGTTCTTTCGTCATAATAATAAACTTTCTTCTAGTCATTCTGGCGAATGGGGATTAGTTAAAAAAATAATATTTCTTCACATACTCAGGGCTCTTAACTTCATTTTTCTTATGTTTGTCAGGGGTCATCCGTTTTTATCTTTTCACCCTGGGAATAGCCCCAGTAATATTTTCATTTTGTTTCATCAAACTTTTCCCCTTCCTGGCTCTGGCTATGGGGACCGGTATCCGTGACATTGACGTTTTTATTTTTACTATCTGCGGCCTTGTCACCGACGCCGCAATACTTTGCTGTCCTAGTGGGTCTGGAAATTCAAATTTAATCACAGTTTTATTTTTATCAATTTTAATCACAATCATTTATTTATTGTATTTATGTATTATATGTACTGCGAAAATAATTTTCATAACTTTATTATTTATTTAGATGCATGCCTTTATTCTGACAATTCTGAACATTAATATCAAGTAAGTGTTCGCATTAATTCTTTTGTGTACTATCCATTAACGTGTGACATTTGGTCAAATAATTGCACAATTAAATAATGTTCGTCTGTGTATTAGTGTGAGAGTGTGTGTATTAGGGTCTGTCTGGGTTCTCACCATGGTTTAAGCCGACTTGCCCCTTCGAAAACTTCAGCATGACCCACTCGCGATACTGACTGAGTTTCTTGCGCGCGCCACAATATAACTCGTGAGCTAGAAGCTCAAGGCGACACGGTTCTAGTCTACAGAATCTGGAATCATATGCAACTACATGAACAAACAAAATAATATACAGGGTGACTGGTGAATTACTATCGATACTTGAGGACGTGGTATTTGACGATCATATATGACAAAATAAAAATTAATATAACATAAATATTAATAAAATTCTAAGTAAAGTTAACCAAAAGTTATGTAATTAATTACGCATCGTGTGAACACCCTACAGATTACGTATACACACACACACACACACACACACGCACGCGTGCGGCGGCGTGGTGTTGTATCAGCACGCCGCCGCACGCGTCCACACTTGGAACACTTGGAACGTGTCCACACTTTATTTATTTATACGGAAATTTGGTCAAAGATTAAGTACCTATTTTTTTTAGTATTCTCCTTAAAAATTGATAGTAATTCACCAGTCACCCTGTATATCTGTTTACGATTTAGCTATAAATCTTTTTAGCATCTTCCCGATTGAAACAATATAGCCCTAAATTGTGCAATTATAATTTATATAATTGTGCAACATTCTAACAACCAAATTATTTATTCATGCTGTAACCTATAAAGAATTTTACCAAAGAGTCAAGAGACATTATTAACTTGGATGATGGTTTGGGGGGTGTTATCTGTAAATAAGTGATTTTTTTGAACCACTTTCTTGTTAAAAGGATATCAAAACATCTGCACAAGAAAAACATGATATCTTTCTTGGAAACCAGAAAGAGGTTAATATACCCTTAACATCGTGTTCAATTAACTGGAACGGTTCTTTCAACAAGAGTTGACAAGGGTTCATAAAGCTTGATCAACCCCATCTTGGTAAGCGAACATTATGAACTCAATCGAAAGTGAAGGTTGGCGTTATTTAGCCCTGGTCTAATCCTTTTAATCATATGGTATAATGAATATGGTCAGTTTTAGTGATTAAATCTCTCTGAATCCCATGTCAATTTGGTGTCCCCAAACAGTCCATACGAGGGGAGGTCAATATATTCGCGGAATGGAGGGGTTGGAGGGGGTTAGTTTTCTTGTCCAGGTAGTAACTTGTTTAAGAAGCTCATCGTATTGATGTGAGCGGCGATCCCCCGATCGCATTGGGCAGAGCCAAGCCCGTTCAAAGCCGGGAGAGGCAGGCGCTGCGGGGTCGTGGTAGGTAAACAGTTGCCACGTCCTCCGCTGATGGCGCAGACGGAAGTAGCTCAGCGTTCTCTTGAAAATTAATTAAGGTTAAGGGAGAAATATTGAAAAGGAAAAATAGTTTCTTGTTTAATTTCAACCCCCTTCCCGCTCATTCCGCGAATTTACTGACCTCCCCTCGTACATCTAGTAGTAAACAATTTATTCATACAAAAAAATGGACGCTGCTAATTATAACTGGGCTAAAGGTTTAATAAAGGACTGAATAGCAGTCAAGGGAGACCATTTAGAAAAAGCTTCATATATGTATTTTTAATGTTTCTAACAATGTATTGTAATAACAAAATAGTAATAAACTTTATTAACAACAACAAAAAAATAATCTTCGTACAATAATAATTTATGGCAAGACTAAATCTAGACTAGTTCACACTTGTCACGATAAGGCTCAAAAGGACTTCCAGAGCCGTAACACATTTACAAAAAAAACTAGTTCAAACATGCGAACCTGCAAGTCTGCATTGTCCTGCAAGTCTTCTCCATGGTTCTCAGAGTGTTCTTCAGGCCTGACGTCGGAAAATCTTATTCTTCTTCTTCTTTTTCTTCTTCTTTCTGCGGATGTCGTGTACCGATATTATATTGAACTATGTAAAGAGAGATTTGTGAGTGAACAAGGTCGCGACTAGAGGCTAAGAGCTAGGATGGTGCTGAGGACGTTCAGTGAATGATAAAATGTTGATGTAATTAAAACAAACAAAAAAGACGCACACTATATATACAGGTGGTTATTTGATTAAACTACACACACGTTGGAATATCTTAAAAAAATCAGGATAAATATTAGGATTTGTAAATATGAACAAGAAGACAGGCTCTCAATTTATATTTTATGGACTTCAAAAGGATCAATAAATAAACCAATATTAATATTTAATATACTAAGTATCTCACATAACATGTTATATAAAAATATTTAAAAACATAAAATTATTAAGATATTAAACAATAATCTATAATAACACTTAACTCCCGTGTAATAATAATATAATAATTTAGATGAATTTTGTCCTTCACACATGGCTTCCTAATTTAAAACAAATTAGAAAAACATAATATATTATACATCGGCGCTATCAGCTTTAATAACGGATGCAACATGAAAATAATTTGAGGCTGTCATCAAGTCTTATTAAAACTCATTAGTATTCATGATTATTGTTAAAAGTATAACGAAATCAAATATTGTTTAAAAGGGGAATAGAACTATCTTTAAATCTTGGTATGAATATAATGTCTGGACGCACGACGGCAGAATTCTGAGTTCAGTGACTGCGTATTATTGAAATATGTGATTATGAAGCACCTTCGAGAAATACAGGAGCATTAAGAACAATTGAAATTTAATTTTAAAATATCATGGAACGCTCTAGAAGAAGTGACATTTGTTACGTCAGCGAGGCTGGCGTCTCTCTCTTTTAAAACAATGAATGTGTAATAAATCCGATATATACATGTACGTCAATGACAAAGTTATCATTACAAATATCCGAACACAACTTTATAAAACTGTCTCATAAAAATCACAATATACACCTACACGTCAACAACATAAACACTTGAAACCAATATCACCACATTGTTAATGAGAAAGGTCTAGAATGTTGGTCTACAAGTGATGCACCATAAGGAAACTTCTCAATTAAGTCCTTCAGCTCACCAGGGGAGACAATCTTTCATTTTATCTCATCTGGCAAAATGACAACTAAATTCCCATCGGAAGTCCTGCTGTTTCTTATAACGAAATGTTTCCGTGAGGCCTGTAAAACTTCCTGCCTTAGTTGCGTCAGAAATACAGACAGAGTGCAACCGCTACCGCTAGCACAGTTTTAGAGTTCCAGACAGTGTTTTTAATTCTGCAACTTGATAATTTTATAAGAATACGTAGAGGCTTGTCACTTTTTGCACCAAGAATATGACAGACATCAATACAGACCTGTCCAGGCACCTTTATGCGGTCAGATATTACAGATTTGATGATGGAATCATCATTCTGATTTCTGAGTTAGTCTGCCGCTTTGAATAGACGTGTTACCGGTTACACTAAAAGTAAAATAATTTTTAAAAAGACAAGACATTGAAGTTAGCACCTAATTAGAACAACATACAGAACACAATTCGTCAGCTTCGCTTATTAGGACTTACTGCGTTTTATCTTGATAAGTGTCACTCAATTATCGCTTCGTCAAGCTGTGACTCATTACGCTATCGGCAAATCTAAGTAAACATGAGTTCACAATCACTAAGCGTTAGCGGGAAACTCATAAGCGATAGCGGAAGTGGGTCATCACCGGATTTACGAACATTGGATGACTACAATGTCACGCTTAGAAAAAGGAAATACGAATGTGATTGTGCCTCATTGACTAACGAATTTCGGAAGGAGATGATTTCTTTTTTTCAAGATTTCACAAAAACGCACCATGAATGTTCCTTATCTTTACATAATGAAATAAAAGAAATAAAAGATGAATTAAAGTCTAATAATGCTGCTTTAGAATCTTTATTATTGGAACAAAACCAAACGAAAGTCGACTTAAAGGAAATGAAGTCACTAACTGATACTATATAACAAAAAATACACGTTCTTGAAAATTATATTTGTTTTTTTAAAAAAACTCTAAAACTGATGATCCTAAAGAATATCCCCTGTCATGCGAGGAAACCATTTCAGAGCTACAAGAACGCTTTCAGCTAGGAAAGAATGTCATACTAGTAGGGATTCCAGAAACAAAAATTCCTTGTAGAATAATCAGACGTGATTATGACAAGAACGAAGCTATGAAATTAATTAAAACTATTTATGAGGACTGCCCAAACCCTACTACAGTCTTTAGGCTAGGAAAATACAACCCTAACAAAGATAGATCTCTAAAAGTGTGTTTCGAGAAAAAGGAAACTGCAAAATATATACTTAAAAATAAAAGCAAGCATAAGTTAGACAAAATCCGAATTTACGCCGATCAAACTCAGTGTCAACAACAACACATGAAAAACTACAAGATGAACTGTGTAGCAACTAATTTAATATAAAAAATAAATAAACTTTTTGGAAACAAATATACATACTGGCAGCGTTATTTCAGATGACGTGTAATTATTAAAAAGAAAACAATATTTCATACAATTACATAAAAGTCAAAAGTGGTCATTGTATACCGAAAGTGTAAAACTTAAGATTACACGAATCTTTGTTTGTTATAAAGATAATAATGAATGATACAATTAGCCCACTCACTTATTACCGAATACATCGTCCTGATTTACGTTGATTTGTTTTATTGCCGCATTATTACTTGAGGGACTAACTACTTATTATCACGTATATATATTAATATAATATATATTCGTAAGTGGTATATAACTAAAATACCACTTCACTGGTATCCCGACAAAGATGGAGAAAAAGACCTTATTATTAAATACATAAATTATGTTCCAAGAATTGTAAAGTATAACCCAAAAAACAGTACGCGTCAGGGACCAAAACTGTCAAAATAAAGAGTCAATACAATGAAGAATTTAATATTAGTTATCAGAAACTGAATTGTTACGAGGACATCCATAAAACTAAATCATCATTAAAAATTTTATACAAATATGTATAAGAAGTCTTGTAAAAATTAATAAATTAGATGAAATAAAATGCATACTAAACTCTCAATAAAAAGCACTATACATAATATGTACATATAATACTGATTACCTTAACATGGATTATAATATATTATCAGAATAATAAATCATCAGATTTAATAATTAATAGCAAGTTTTCCTATATTCAAAAAACGTGTAGGTAATGGAAAATGTGCAAAATAATTTATAAGTAATATAACTACCCGCAACATTTTATTTCACTGTATATAATTCACAAGGCAGACTTTTAACTGTACCCTCATGCAAAATTATTGTAATTTCTTATTATAAGTGAACTTTTGTGTTCTTTAAAAGAAATAAATTTCTTTAAACCGGAATGTGTCTGAGCACCAGGGGTTTCATTCAGTTCATGAAACTATAAAATTTTGTTACTAGAAATTGCCTCATGTGTATCCAAACCTGCTAATTATAGCTGCAACTGCTGTAGTAACATCGATATTGTTTTCCTAACCAAGGGAGATGTATGCAGCAGATAGACGAGAAAGATTTTTGTAATGGTTTGAAGATTGCGATACTCGAGCGATTATGCTAGTTCTTCTTCGTGTTCTTACTGAGTTGAGTGTGCAAATCCATTTGTAAATTTAAAAGATTAGTGATGAATGTGTCTAGAGAGTTAGTGGAAGCCATGTAAGTAGGACACTTATTATTGCATTCTTAATGTTTTTTTGAATTTTAAAATATAAAAAACAGTTGAGCAATAATTATACAGGTTGTTTTTTTTACACCTACCCTCGAAAAAAAATTGTAATATCTATGTATGTAACTGAAAATACTGTAAAACATTTTACTACTGTACTTATATTACTGTAAAATATTTATTATATAAACCCCTTTTTACATTTGTCTTTTGTAAATCATGATAAATCTTCACAAATCCTTAGTACAAAAATGTGAACTTAAGTCTATAATAAGATAAATAATAATTATTAATTTATGTAAATAAAATCTAAGTCGACGATAAAATACGGTACGTCCGATCAATGTGTTATATATATTCAACGCAAAAAATATAAGTTAACGGTGTTAATTTCGAAATTACCCGCGACCGTTAATATTATTTTTTAATTAATACGTATTTAATTAAATTTCTTTAAAGACGCGACATTGTGTAGATGCAATACGTACTTACCAATTCTGGCAAACTTTGTTCTTCACTCGTCACAAGAGAATCCAAAAGACTAAATTATTCATTTCTGATTTCTATTTATAATTAACGGTAGCCCGTAGCAGACAAGAAGTGGCAAAAAAAGTATTGCCACTTACAAATAAATTTATATTGAAATTGGCTTCTCACGTAAAAATCAATTTAAAAGTTATAATCGTATTCATCAAAAAATAAATCTTTATATATATAATTCTTCTGTGCGTGTGTATGTCACTGAACTTCTCTCAAACAACTGGACCGATTTTTATTAAATTTTTTGTGTGTGTTCAAGGGGATCTGGGAATTGTTTAGATTCACAATTTTGTTCCCTGGAAAATGTCTTTTTTAATATTTTTTTAATTTATTAGTAGTTGTTGATGCAAACGTTTTCTTTTGACATTACAGTTGAAAACTAACTAATATGTCAATCATTTTGTCGCACCTCAAAACACGGAGACCCGGCGATCTTCGTATGCCCTATAATCAAGAAACATCTGTGTTGCGGCGCATAACGCCTACATAATTAATTTTGTATAATTTATTAATTTTACCTTTCTGTTTGCTCTTGATCTTTTATAATGGCAACACTATTAGTAAACTAACGTCGTATAATATTTCTTGTTAAAAGGATGATCTTTATTAATTATCAATTGTCACTGTCTATTCTCTCTCCGATCGCAACGCTGTACACACCTCTTATATTAAACCAATTTATAAAGTATTAATCGTTTAATTTGGCACCAGTGTATAAGAAATATACATAAATGGTGGCCCATGAGGGGAATATCTAAACGTTAAATATAAAATACATTGATAGAAGAGGAAAAAATTGCAAAATATTTCAAAACGGCAAGCGTTTAGTGGACCACGTGCTAGAAGAAGATTCGTAGAAGGAGCTGCCGGGAGAGGACAACTATACCTGGCAAGCGGGCAGTGATATATCTAAAATATCACATCGTTTGCTCAATATCGGCAAAAGATAAGTGACTTTCCCTAATACTCCAGTAATACTCCTAATACTCAATTCCTTATTCTATCCTAAATATTCATCCGATTGTTAAGAATCTCCAATTCATTTGTGCAAAACAAGATTATTGAATCTAGTTTTTATTGTTGCTCGATTATATTTAAAGTTTTAAACAAAGAGAAATATTGCATCATCATTTAATTTCTATCTACCGGCTTTAAAATTATAAGTGAAATTGTTAAGCATTATTGCTTCTTTTATACAATTGACGTATTAATAAAGGTATCAATTGTTTTAAAACTTATTTTTGATTAATTATAAAACAATTTAAAATTAGATATATCTTGTTAATTTAAAAAAAAAATCGTAAAAAGTAGCAATAAAATATTTTATATTTTATAATCTCTGTGTTTAAATTTAAATTTATTTTGCCGTGTGCTTAGACCATTTCGCCGATATTTCCAGATATCATCGTTGCTTCGCGGCACAGCTTTGAGCAGCGGCAGCGTTGTGCTGCGACCAGAGCTGGTTGGCGTGCTGTCGGCGGGTGTCATCGAGGCGAGGAGCGTGAGCCTTTATTTATTTATTATTATTCAAAAGTAATAATAATTATTACTTTTAAATTTAATTCTTTTCTCTGTCACTTTTAACTCACAATGCCTAACGATAATATAGATAAAGGTCGCTTAAAGGACCTTATTACGAAACGATCTTCGGCCAAGGGTCAAATTACTAAATTCAAAAATTATTTAAATGGTATAGCAAATATGATTGAATTAAATAGTATTCAATTAACGGAATTAAGTCTTAAACTTGCAAAGTTCGAGGCATTGTCGGTTCGGGTGGATGACTTGCAAAATGAAATAGAGGTTCTAAATTTTGAAAACATTTCTACCGAAATTGATGAGCGCGACAATATCGAACGCGATATTATTATTAATATCGCTACTGCTAAAACATTATTAGATAAATTTATAAAGAAAACAGAAGGCGAGCAGAGACGGATCTCGATTCTTGACAATTCTTACTGTTCAGATCAAGAAATCGGTTTAAAACTTCCTCAGATTCAAATAGCTAAGTTTGATGGAGCATATTTCCGTTGGTTAGAGTTCCGTGACACTTTAGAAAATTTAATTCATAATAATATGCGTATGTCATTATTATTCATAAGTTTCACTACCTGATATCATATTTAGAAGGTGATGCGGCTCGGATAATTTCAAACCTCGAGGTCTCATCCACAAACTATGCAGAAGCGTGGAAATTATTACATATGTTCTCGTTATAATAATAAAAGAATTCTGATTAATCATCATTTAAGCTGTTTATTTAATGTCAAGCCGCTTCTTCGAGAGTCAGAAAGGTCTTTAAGGTTTTTAGTCGATCATATTACAAAAAACTTACGTGCTTTGGCTAGCTTAGGCCAACCAACGGACAAATGGGATGTGTTGATAATTTTTATGATCACTTCAAAATTAGATAGCAACACTTTAACTAAATGGGAAGAATACCGTAATAATTTAGATGGCGATACGCCTACATTAGAGCAGTTCTATAAATTTATTATTGATCGAGCAGACGTACTAGAAGCCTTGAATCGAAACAAATATGACACTATAACCCCTAGGCCTCAAGTAGGTAATACACGCAATGCAATAATGCACCCTAACAATAATCAGTCAGGTGGAGCATATACAAAATCATTTTTAAATTCTAATTCTAAATACATTAAAACAAATGTTCATTCATGCATTGTTTGTAATGATAATCACAAAATATACGATTGCCCTGTGTTTAAGGCGAAGGGAGTTGATGAGCGATTGAAGGATGTAACTAAATACAAGCTGTGCATTAATTGTCTCAGGCAGGGTCATCCTACAAGTGAATGTCACATGGGACCATGCCGGGAGTGTAAAAAACGACACAACAGCTTACTTCATCGTGCAAATTTTTCTGTTAATAACCATATAACTGTTGGTGAATGTAGCCACTCGACGGTTAATTTATCAATACGAAATTCAACCCAAGTAATATTATCCACGGCTTTGATTAAAGTTTCAAATCCATTGTCCCACAAGTACAAAAATGTTCGCGCACTTTTAGATTGCGGCAGCCAATCATCTTTTATTTCCAAATCGCTACAAGAATGTCTAGCGCTAAAAACAAATCCCATTGACTCACTAAAGGTCATAGGAATAGGGAACAATGTTTCAAATAATGTTGTCGAAAGTTGTAAGATACAAATTGTCTCTCTAAAAAGCTAATTTAATATACAATTATCGTGCCTTGTTCTTAATGAATTAACGGGCTATTTACCAAAATATCCAATTAATATAAATAATTTAAATTTATCTAAAGATATTGCACTAGCGGACCCTACATTTAATCAACCTGGTCCTATAGATGTTTTGATAGGAGCTGATTTATTCTGGGACATCTTAGGTAACGAGCAGCTTTCCCTTGGTCCAAATAAGCCAAAATTGAGAAACACTCAACTTGGTTGGATTATATCTGGTCCGGTTAATTTAAAAATTCCAAAGAGAAATACCTACTGCAATGTCGCATCAGCTTCTAAAGTAACGGAAGATAATCTTGATGCTTCACTTAAGAAGTTTTGGGAGCTAGAGGAAATCCACCAAGAAAGGTCGTGAGCGAAAAGGACAAGGTTTGCGAAATACACTTTGTCAATAATACTCGTAGAGATAATAATGGTAGGTTCTGTGTTAAACTTCCTCTAATAGATAGTCCTGACTGTCTAGGAGACACATCTTAGTTGGCTAAGAGAAGATTACTTAATCTTGAAAAACGATTTAAAAGAAATCCGCAGCTAAAGTCGGATTATACAAATTTTATTAATGAGTATGCGGAGTTAGGGCATCTTTCATTGGTTAGTGATGAGCCATTGACGTCGTATTACTTGTGCCACCACGCTGTTCAAAATCAAGCTAGTGAGTCTACAAAACTGAGAGTAGTATTTGATGGATCTGCAACTTCATCATCTGGTTACTCGTTAAATGATCTATTAATGGTAGGTCCGAACCTGCAAGACTCTCTCTTTGCTATATTAATACGTGCCAGGCAATATAAATTTCTTCTTACTGGTGATATCGAAAAAATGTATCGCCAGGTTTGGGTTCACGAAAAGGATCGTGATCTGCAGCGCATTCTATGGAGAGAGAACGAATCTCAGTCTGTTAAAGCGTACAGACTAAATACTCTCACATACGGAACTGCGAGTGCTAGCTTTTTAAGCACGCGGTGTCTCTGGCAAATAGGGAAGGAACACCATGATGAGGTCATAAAGAAGGTCATTCAAAAGGACTTCTATGTTGATGATCTCATTACTGGTGCCGACAATGAGAGACAACTTAAATATATACAATCTTCTGTTGCTAAAACTCTCAGTACTGGTTGTTTTAATTTAAGAAAATATAAGAGTAATAATCCTGATATTTTTAATGATTTGCTTATAAACAAAAATGATAAGCTAACTATAAGTGAATCGTCAAGTACTCTTGGCCTTGGCTGGATTCCAGTAAATGATACTTTCTATTTTCCAATTAAAAACTTTTCTCCTGGTCAGGATGATATTGTAACAAAGAGATTTATTATGTCTAATTCATTTAAATTATTCGATCCCTTAGGTTTCCTAAGCCCTATTGTAATTCAGCCCAAAATCATTTTACAAAAAATCTGGCAACAAAAACTAGATTGGGATCAGCCAGTTTCACGCGAATTAAAAGATGATTGGTTGAAATTTGCTAACAACCTTCAATTACTTTCAAATTTTCAAATTCCTAGGTTAGTTCTTTGCGACTTGCCTGCTAGAATAGAGTTACACTCATTTAGTGATGCATCCCAAATTGCATATGGTGCATGTATATATGTAAAATCAACCGACGCGAAAGGTAAATCTATAGTCAAATTATTATGCGCAAAGTCAAAGGTTAGTCCGTTAAAACCAACAAGTATACCCCGTCTAGAACTTTGTGCAGCTCTGCTCGCTGCTAGGCTGTGCAAATCCGTGGTAGATTGCTTGCGATATAAGCCGGACAGATTAGTTCATTGGTGTGATTCAAGTGTGGTAATAGGATGGATCAATAGTGATTTGACTAAATTAAAAACGTTTGTAGGTAATCGTACTAATGAAATATTAGAATTAACGAAGCCTTCGTCGTGGCGATATGTACCTACCACATCTAACCCTGCTGTCTTAATCTCGAGAGGTGTTAATTCTCAGCATTTAATGTCAATGGAAATTTGGTGGTCTGGTCCTAATTTTTTAATTAACAATGAGTCAGAGTGGCCAGTATTAAACATAAATAAGTCAATTGAATTACCCGAAATAAAGGCTCATACGGCTATAATTAACGAGCCCATATTAGATTTTAATAAATATTCGTCCTTACATAAGCTTCAAAGACTATTTGCATTTGTCCAAAGGTTTATATTTAATGTAAGAAATTCAAAAAATAGGCGTACAGGAATATTAACTGTAGATGAGTTGCGTGATTCTTTTCACTTCCTGTGTCTTATCTCTCAGCGGGACTCATTTCCAGGAGAATACGAATTATTAAAGGAGGGTAAAGTTCTTAAAAATAAATCAAAGATTTTATCACTCTCACCATTTATAGACGAAGATAATTTAATTCGTGTTGGAGGTCGAATTGATGCCTCCACTTATGCTTATGAGAAAAGGCACCCAATATTACTGCATGCTACTCATCGACTAACAAAATTATACTTTGAAAGAGAGCATATTAATGGACTTCACGCAGGTCCACAACTATTGCTATTGTGCGAGAAGTAGTGTGGCCAATAAATGGTAAACATTTAGCAAGGCGCACAGTTAACAATTGTGTGAGATGTAGGCGAGTACGGGGTCAAACGCTATGTCCGAAAATGGGCGACTTGCCCCCTCAACGCATAAACCCAGGCTTTCCCTTCTTGTCTGTTGGTTTGGACTTCGCTGGACCATTTTTTATTATAAATCGTAAGGGTCGAGGTAGTCGCTTAATAAAATGTTATTTGTGTCTGTTTGTGTGTTTACGATATAAATGTATCCACCTAGAGGCCGTTAGTGATCTAACCAAGGATGCATTTATTATGACCCTCAGGAGATTTAATTCACGGAGAGGCAAACCAACGGAAATATTTTGTGATAATGGGCGTAATTTCGTTGCTGCTGCCAAGGAGCTAGGAAATTTTATTAAAGCCAATAAAGAACAACTTTTTGATTTTTCAATTTTATACCAACTTACGCTCCTCACTTCGGCGGCATCTGGGAGGCCGGGGTAAAGTCCGCGAAATATCATTTACGTCGTGTTATAGGCAATAGTCATTTAACATTCGAAGAAATATTAACTTTGTTTGCACAGGTGGAGGCGATTCTTAACAGTCGTCCCTTGTGTCCTTTATCGTCCTGTCCTAATGACCTTCTCTCCCTCTCCCCAGGTCACTTTATCATTGGAAGGCCATTGACTGCATTGCCCGTGCCAGCCACAGATAACTGCAGCGAAGGTTTACATAACCGCTATGAACGACTCGAAATGATAAGGCAGCATTTTTGGCAAAGATGGCAAAAGGAGTACATATCAGAATTGCAGCAAAGAACAAAATGGAGAAGCAACTCTGCTGCACTTAACATTGGAGATATGGTGCTGCTAGCTGAAGACAACGTACCCCCTATGAGCTGGCGTTTGGGACGTGTTTTGAAGCTATATCCCGGAGCTGATGGGATATCAAGAGTTGCAGATATTGATACAATTAGAGGTTGTGTTCGTCGGCCATTTACTCGACTGTGCAAGCTTCCCACGGCGGAGGATCTCAAGAGTTGAAAGTAGTGTTTCAACGGCCGGGAGGATGTTGCGGCGCATAACGCCTACATAATTAATTTTGTATAATTTATTAATTTGACCTTTCTGTTTGCTCTTGATCTTTTATAATGGCAACACTATTAGTAAACTAACGTCGTATAATATTTCTTGTTAAAAGGATGATCTTTATTAATTATCAATTGTCACTGTCTATTCTCTCTCCGATCGCAACGCTGTACACACCTCTTATATTAAACCAATTTATAAAGTATTAATCGTTTAATTTGGCACCAGTGTATAAGAAATATACAATCTGTTACGTTTTTTTATTTATATTTTTGAAGTGCGACAGAATGATTGACATATTAGTTAGTTGTCAAATCTAATGTCAAAAAAAAGTTTGTATCAACAACTACTAGTAAATTAAAAATTAATTAAAAAAACGTTGTCCACACACAAAATTGTGAATCTAAACCATTCCCAGATCCCTTTGAACACACACAATAAATTTCATCAAAATCGGTTCCGTCGTTTGAGAGAAGTTCAGTGACATACACACTCACAGAAGAATTATATATAATATAAAGATACAGACTAAATGACGTCTTGTACGAATTAATTCTAAGATATTTCAAGGGTCTACAGTTCCGGGATCCTTCAATTTAGAGACTGAAAGGGTATTGGTCGGCAATGCTCAAATTATATAATTGGTATTGCAGATGTCCAAAAAAATAGTGCGTGGAGTCCCTCCATAAATATAAACATTATTCAAAAGACGCATATATTTACACTCGCTTCTTTTCTGTTCCCTCTCTCTAGGATCGTTGAACGTTTAACGCGACTTTGGAAGTCGCATTAGTAGTTTAACTTCAAAAAATATATTCAAAATAAGAATTTTAATTGTGCTGTATATGTAACATAGGTATGAGGGAAGGATTTTATTTTTAGTTTTTTTTAATATTTTTATTTATAATTTAACCCAGAGTTTGATGTACCAACATTAGAGAAATGTCAATATGGAGATTTAAGACAATGTGAGGATGACTCTTGTGTTTGCCAAATAAAACTAAGATTTTTATATTTTCTACCATATTTTGTTGTCCATACACCCATATTTATATTTTTTTTCTGCCAAGCAGTCTTAAAGTGGGCAAACGTTTTATTCAGAAAAATCTGTTTTACTAAAAATTACCCAATCATTTCGAAAGTAGCATTTACGTATGTCAGAGGTAAAATAAAATAAGTATGTGATAGTTTATTTATTTTACATTTTAAAGTAGTACACACTGTTGCAAACTACCAGTAATGATATAACAAACTACCATAGAACTACATTTACGACAGTGTTTACAACCCCTACCTTCATACCAATATCACACGAACGCCGGCAAACAAACACATTTAATTTAATGATACTGTTTTTAAATAAGTTCTTTAAAATAGCTTAGTTTTCTTACTTTACATTATAATTAGGAAATCATAAAATTTTACACCTTATTAACGCGCGAAAGGAAAATAGTAATATTTGTTTCTTATAATACATGACGGAAGAGTATATTGTGAATGTAAATCTAGATGCGAGATACCAGCAGATACAATCAACCTCAAAACTTTGTTATTGGACCTACAAAACAAACTGTGTATTTACAATTTGTAAAAAAGAACTAACAATGTAACATAGAAGGCTCAGAGAAAAAAAAACCATCTTTCACATACATTGTATACAATAAAATATATCATATTGGGTTTAAGATTCACAACTCAATAAAAAAGTTATGAATCAGACACCATGAAATTGAGAAAGCTATAAATAGTAAATAGAATAACTATATAATGAAAAATATTTAAGCCTGAATAATTAAATGATAACCATTTCTCATTTTCATATTCAATCATAAACTTCTACGGACAAATACAACAAGATATTGTCATGATAACACTGTAGGGACTTAGTGAGATATAGAAGTTATTAAGACATGTGACAACTAACAAACTACTATGGTAATTTGAAATTTTTATTGGTCTCTGTTATACGATAAGATTTTCCATGTTCAATAACCCAATCAGTCAGAAAGCTGTCACTGCCTCTCACATAGTTCACTATGTACTTTAGAAGTTCCCCCGTTGAAAGCCCAGGCCTACTCCCCTCATGGTGTGAGTAGTTGCTCGAGCCACTTCATACTGTGCCTGCATTGCTTGGAACAGCTCCTCTTGTTTCTTATTAGGATCCGCCACTGCCGCCTCAGGTTTCGCGGCAGCTGCAGCTGTGTTTTGTAATTTATAGACAACCAAATGTTAAGAAGTTCTTCATTAACTTTTTAATGACAGTGTAGTGTTTGTGACATATGTATACATATTATGTAGTATTGATTCCTGATACACACTACTATAGTAATTGTGAAGTACATATATATATAAATATAACAAGAAATGGTATGACAAGGAAGGATAGACCCTAGCAAGTCTGGAGATAGAATTAATTACTCTATATCAATCACAGATTATGAAACATGCTCCTAGATAATTTAAATATGACTGTTTTGTTGTAATATGCAGTGTATTTGTCATACCACCATCCTTGATGCCCATAAGCCTCATGAACTTGGAGACTTGTTTCCCATCGTCGTCCTGTGCGAACCTCGCTCCTGACCAGCACGCCGCAGTGGACTCACTCTTTTCCTTATGAGACCACAGCAACTTGCGTTTCTATATACACAGAAGATTCGATTAAAAATATTAATTTCACTATTTTGTTTGTGGAGAGGTTTCTTGGGTTTCTTGGTTTGTACTATGTACCTGATCGAGTGCTTTGTTACTATGTACAGCTGCAGGGTTGTAATACGGCGGTAGACCGCTTGGAGCCTCGCTGGCCGCAGCACGTAGTTGCTGCGCCGTAGCCATCGATCCATCTGGGGTTTTAATTTGCAGCCCTGGACAAACAAGAAATATACATACAATATTAATAATTAACAAAACAATTGAAACTAACTCGACCTTTTTCCCTCTAAAGTATAACATAGTTATTAATAAAACTGTTGTACCCATTTTTTCCATGACTTCAAGTTTCCTGTTAACTTTGTATGAAGATGGTCTATAATCTGCAGATGGAGGTGAACCTCGTCTGTCTCTATCTGAACTGTAACAAAATGGCTCATGTTAAGCTCATAAATGTACTGCACACATTAAACAACATTTAAACTCGAGTTTTGATGCGTCAAATAGAAATATATAGTTTGCGTTTTGACCTGACATATAGTAATTTAAGCTTTTTGTGTTTCTGTGGTATGTGTGTATAGTCCATTTAAAGAGAAGTTGGCAATCTTATAAACAAAGAATTTGACCAGAATTATTCCGTTCTTGAATACAATTGAATGTTAAAGCTGCTACTAATTACATATTTATGAATCCACCACTGTTTTTTAAAATCTTTTATCATTAAAAAACCATATATATAATAATATATATACAGGGTGACTGGTGAATTACTATCGATACTTGAGGACGTGATATTTGACGATCATATATGACAAAATAAAAATTAATATAACATAAATATTAATAAACTTCTAAGTAAAGTTAACCAAAAGTTATATAATTAATTAGTGTGCTGATACAACACTACGCCGCCACACGCGTGTGTGTGTGTGTGTGTGTGTGTGTGTGTATATACCTAATCTGTAGGGTGTTCACACGATGCGTAATTAAATTCTCATCAAAGTCTATTTGTCTTAATAATATACTATATATCTATATATAAATACTTTAATATAATAATTAAAACTAAGGTATCTTAAAGAGTACTCCCATCACTAGGGGCATAGATAAGTCTGTGTCAATATCAACTGATCACTTTTGTTTAAGTGAAGTATTTCATTAAATTACATACGCCAGTGCTTGTGGTGGGGGGTAGGCTGCCCCACGTGAACGAGACCGCTCATTTCTTCCTGACCTCTGTGAGTGTCTGTTGTCCCTGTCTCTGCCTCTGTCTCTCTCACGTTCTCGATCCCTATCGCGACGACCTCGCTCTGTGAATCTAAAACATCAACATAAAATTATTTGGATAATATTCAAAGTTAATTTGTACTACAAAGTTACCCTAGTTATATTGACACTATAATTTTAATGATAAGATAAAAGATTTTCCTACGTAATTATTAATTACTGTAATGACAATAATTTACAATTGCCGAATTTATTTTCCTTTAAAAATAAAATACACCAGTTAGTATACACCATAAAAGTAAAAAAATATATCAAGTGGATTTGTGACTTATAATTACAATAAAAAGTCACTTGAGCTTGTTTGTTTTGTTTAAAGTAGGGGCTGGGTGCATAATTTAATTTATTGTTGTTTGTTCTTATACCATCATATCTGAACTTTTTTTTTGTTTAAACTTAGTTGTTATTTTGTTTATGTAGAAAAAAACAACCAAAAATATACTTGTGATTTTATGATAAGCCTAGCTGCTCTCAAAAACACTATATATATACTCTCAATACCTGGGCGAGACAGCATCCCTTGCATCATGGCCTCTGCCTGGAGGTGCTTCCCCGTCATAGGGCTTCAGGTCCATCAATGCAGGCATCTAACATTTAATAACTAAGATATAGTTTAAGTCGCGGGTCAGCTTGTCAGCTTGCCACCTTTAATGGCACTTAGACAATGCTGTGTTGGCCGAGGTTTTGTCTAACCATGTTAGCCATGTGGGTCATGTTTTGAATAAAGCATTTGGTCTGCTTCGTTTTATTTAACATCTAATCTAGATGACATAATTGATAAGGAAAAATAATTTGTACATGAAGGTGGCTTATGAATAAAAACAAAATTTCCTGATGCTTATTTATTCTATAAAATCTATACACATTAAAGATGTTGAACAAACCTTATCAGCTTTTTCATCAGGTCTGTCTCCTAGCAAGCCACGGCGAGAATCTTGTGCACCCCGAAAGCGATCTCTAAATTAAAAAAAGATACTTTATTAACATAATGTTTGCATCATGGGGCAGTGCAGTTATGAGTAGATTAACCTTTGATTCGGACAATGGACAAAAAGTACTTGGTTTTGGTAGCAATTTATTTTATATATATACAGTGTGACTGGTGAATTACTATCAATATTTAAGGAGAATACTCGGTACATGATTCTCATTCGAATTATGTAAAAAATAGGCACTTAATCTTTAAATTTTCGACACAGACAAAATTTAAAGACAAAATTGCCGTATAAATAAATAAAGTGTTGACACGTTCCAAGTGTGGACGCGTGCGGCGGCGTGCTGATACAACACTACGCCGCCGCACGCGTATGTGTGTGTGAGTGTATACCTAATCTGTAGGGTGTTCACACGATGCGTAATTAATTACATAACTTCTGGTTAACTTTACTTAGAAGTTTATTAATATTTATGTTATATTAATTTTTATTTTGTCATATATGATCGTCAAATATCACGTCCTCAAGTATCGATAGTAATTCACCAGTCACCCTGTATATATATTTTAATATATACCTATGCCTGTCATCTCTCTTGGGTGAGCGTCTGTCTCGCTCGTCTCGCCGCCGGTCTCTAGGACCATCTCGTTCTCGGTCTCTGAGACAGTCTCGCTCCCGGTCTCTGGGACCGTCACGGTATCGGTCCCGCTCACGCATGTCTTCACTATAACGATCGCGACCCATGTCACGTGTACGATCATCATCTGACAAGCATTACATGTTAGTTATTACATCAAGTAAGCAAGTTATTGTCTTTTATAAAGTGATTATAGCCACTGCTTACTTAGATATGACTATTTATAATCAATTCTTATAACCTCAGAAGGACAACTCCAACCAAACTTACCTATCATCCTAATCTATTAAGTTTTTTTTTACCATGCTACAGTATACAGTATAATACAATTACTTACTAGATCCTCTTCTATGTTCTCTAGACGATCTTCGTGTACTGAAATCAGCCGGTGGCAGCTCAGGCTCTGACTCCACACTCTGGGATTCCTGCGACAAACAATTTTTATGTTAGACAATATAAGACACTATTTATTTGATAATAGGACAAAACTCAATATTGTGTCTTTACTAGAAGAGGTAGAAAATAGATATCAATAAAATAAACTATAGTGCCGAGAAAGGTCACACAAACAAATGTGACATGCTCATACCACATCATAATAATAATAATACTTCTTACAGATATTATAATAAAATTCTATATTTTGATATAATAATTAGAATTAATATAGAACCTACATTTACCTTTCCACCACTTTAAAATAAAAAAACAGACATTATTAGACCTTTTTAGTCTAATGTATGTATGTGCCTGTCTTAAAGCTATGTACTCACATGGCAGGGGAGACACCTCAGGGCAGGGGCACTCTTGATGCAGCGCGGTGACAGTATTTGACTTTTTTTGTGTCAATTTACAAATGGGTAACATATAAAATAATAAAAGTGTTAATATCATCGTTGAAAGAAGCGTTTAAATATTTTTGTTTAATTTTTTCTTCTTTTTTGCTATTTTTATCACTACATTTACGATGAAACCTATCACATATAAGAAGATATATGACACTGATATAATATGTAATCCCATTTAGTCATAAATAATACATAACTGTTGCAAGTTATTAGTTGAAATGAGTGCATTGTTGATTTATAGTTGTATTAATAGCGCAAACTATTAATATAACTCACAATAGAAAACCTCTTATTAAATCAACATTTTACATACCCTAATAATACAGTTACAATATGTATAAAAATAATTAAAGGTGATCAATGTAAACTTACAACATAAATAAATATCCTAAATCAGATATTTCTATGTAATATTAGCATAAAATTTAAAACATCCAGGTTAATAAACATAAATATTAGCTAAGGATGTGAATATGGAATATTGCTACTTATATAAGTTATGACCTTAAAAACCCATCATAAAGTTAATTAAAGGCTATTCAACAAAATAATTTGCAACATTCAACTTCAAATACTACACTGAGCACTATTCGATCAGTCAGCCTACTGATTAGGTACTAATACTATGGTGCTTCAAACCAAATAATAAATATGGGACTCACCTCACTCAAATCCATATTGACATCATCGTAGTTAGTATCGTCCTCCCGACGCCTGGAGGATCCCACCTAAAATATCAGTCTATTGTCAAGCAGAGAAGGCAGATTAATATGATGATCTTATTAAAGTTCAAGATATAATAAATTGCGACGATTTCTCAGAATGAAATCAACGACACATACTTCACACGCACATATCATATCTAGCAATTGAATTTCATAACAAAATTACATGAACTTTTTAATTACCTCGTCTTGTGTATAAAAATACCAATATTATAACGAATTAAAAAAGCTACAAAAACTTACCACTGCGTGTCGACTGCTTCGCTCAGTTTCAACATCGTCATCACTTCCGTAACCAATAAGGGATTCCATTATGTTTTTGATATTTTTACTACTATAATTACCAATCAAACAAAAATAGTTTATACGAAAGATATGTTCACAAATACACTACATTCAGATGCAGTGAAAATAAAAGTTTACAATATGGCGTCTTCTCGTCATGGCTTATATGCCTTTGGGCTTTGAAAAATATATAGATTATAAAAAATAAAAAAGTAAATTCTTTATGTAGCCAAAATAATAAAATAATCCTTGATCATATTAATATTTTAAATAGGATAAATGAATATCTAAATAAAAACATATTGTTTATATGAACTTAATATTTTAATAAAAAACATTTTCTAATATTTCTTATTAATAAGAATAATTTGAATTGATGAATTGCTCTAATAGGCCTCAAATCGCCCCCACTACGGGCAGGAAGGGAAGCCGGGAAGTTTTAGTGGGTATTCCCATGGCCAACACCATCAGGCTCTGGGCAACCCCCACACAAATCCCAATGTCGTGCCAGGGCAGTGGGCAGTCTGTAATGGATTTCTCACCGAAAAAAAAAAATAAAAAAAAAGAAATAAGAATAATTTAAAATTAGCGATGCTGAGGCAGCTTCGTGAATAATTTGTTGATTTTTAAAATATATACATATTGATTGATGATCGATATTGATTTTAATCAGAAAATTGTAAATTGCATCATGTAAACTTAACTATTCCATTTTAATTATTATTTTTCTGTATATATTAATGTGTATTCGTAACATATTGTGTAAAAAACTTCGCCTAGTTAATCTTTTTATCTGTATTCTGTTTTTTTTGTAAATTAAATTTAAAAAAAAATTAAAGTTGTTTTCAGCAATAGTTGCACTGGTTTTTTAAAGTATGTAGTTTTATATGAATTGTTAAATTTATTTTTGAACTATCGTTAATAGGGAGAAATAAATACACTTGCTGCTTGAGTACCGCTATATTACGAATGAAATGGTATGGCACAAACTGTCTATTAAATACAAATCTTATACACAAGTTATATCAAATTACCCACTTTACTACACTCTTCCCCTCTATACAATACAACCCCTTAGCCGAATACAATTAGCTTAACCTAAGTCATAAGATTTAAACATATATATATTTTTTTTAAATGTTAATATTAACTTATTTATTATTAAGTAAACTTACAATATATTACATTATTTAACACTATCATGCAATGGTTTAATTAAACGACATTTGCGTATTGGCCGTATCCGAGGCGGTGACACGGGCAGCGGCGACTCAGCTGCGAGTGTGGGCGAACTTGGAACCATATCAGTCTTTGGCTCGTTTAGCTCTGGTTGCGGTCTCTCTCCACACGACTCCTCTCTGACAACCGGCTCACCCATTCTTGGCATCTTTGGACTATCGCTCATGAGTGCCGGTGTCCGAACCCCAGGGGAATCATGCTGCGATGGAGTGTATGGAGCAACTATGGAATTACGCGTAGATCTCCGTCTTAACTGATCAATATGTCTGTGCGATCCTCTCCCTACATCATCTAAAATGCTATAATCCGTCGCGCCTAATCGTTCTATAACCTTACCCGACACCCATTTATTAGCGCCCTGATACTGTCGCATCCACACATTCTCTCCCGGCTCTAAAGACCGACTGTTCTCTGTTCCTAACTTCCTTTGACGCGTTTGGGCTTCCTTCACTTTTTTATCCCTATCTGGTCTAAGTAAATCTAATTTTGTACGTAAACTACGTCCTAACATTAGAGAAGCAGGGCTTTCCCCAGTAGTACTATGTTCCGTGTTTCTGTAATGTAATAAAAACGTGTTAAGAAATGATTGAATGTCCTCTTTTTTACGGATTGCTTTTCGTATTACTTTTTTTATCGTACGTACAGCATTTTCGGCGGCACCGTTTGACGCAGGGTGGTAAGGAGCTGAAAATAAATGTTCTATGCCTAATTTATTTGTAAATTTTGAAAAATCCGAACTTGTAAATGGCGGACCATTGTCGGTTACCATCTGCTTCGGTAGCCCCCATCTCGCAAAAACTTCCTCTAATTTATTCAATGTATAACGCGCGGCGGTACTAGGAACAGGATATACCTCGATCCACTTAGTTCTCGCGTCAATTAAAATTAAGTAAATTTTATCTTGAAAAGGACCCAAAAAATCTAAATGAATCCGTGACCAGGGCCTTGAAGGCCACGGCCATGGATTTACAGTATGACGGGTTGGTGCATCCGCCTCCGCGGCACACACTTCGCACTGCTTGCATACCGCCTCCACCGCTTCGTCGATCCCCGCCCACCACACGTAGCTGCGGGCCATCGCTTTAGTTTTACTAACCCCCATATGCGGTTCATGCAAATCCATTAAAACCCTATCCCTACAGTTTTCAGGAATTACCACCCTATGACCCCACATGATACATCCTAATTCCTCGTATAACTCTTTTTTTCTATTAAAATAAGGTTGCAATTCCCTTATTTCATTTTGATCCGGCCAGCCACTTTTAATATAAAGTAATACTCTCCCTAATAAAGGATCTCGCAATGTTTGTTGTTTAATTTTATTATAATCGAGCAATAATTCACTTTGAGCGAAGTGTAAATAAGTCTGTTCGGGCGGATCGAGAGGTGAGTCATCCCCGCTCACATTGCGGCCGGGCAGTCGCGATAAGCCGTCGGCGCTGTTATGTTTTGTATTAACGTATTCAATATCGTAAGTGTACGCAGATAATATTACTGACCATCGTTGCATACGACTCGCTGCCATGGCCGGAATGCCATGTTTGGGGCCAAAAATGCTAACTAGGGGTTTATGATCCGTTCGCAACGTGAAACGCCTACCGTATAAATATTGATGTAATTTTTTTAAACAAAATACAATTGCAAGCGCCTCACGATCGATCTGTGAATAATGCTTCTCGGTCTCTGTTAACGCGCGCGATACGTACACTACCGGCCGCTCGGCGCCCCCCGGCTCCGGTTGAGCGAGGACGCCGCCGATGCCTCTTGAGCTCGCGTCACAAGTTAGAATCAATGGTTTTTCCGCATCGTAATGGGCTAAGACTTTCGTACTCGTTAAATTTTTTTTAATTTTAATAAACGCTTCTTCACAATCATCCGACCATTTCCACCCTATTCCTTTTTTTAATAATTTATATAACGGATACAAGATTTGACTTATGTTCTTAACAAATTTAGCATAAAAATTAACTAAGCCCAAAAATGACCTTAGCTCGGATACATCTTTTGGACGTGGAATTCGAACAATGGCTTCAATTTTATCCTTATCTACCTTAACACCCTCTTTAGATATTACATAACCCAAATATTTAACTTCTTCTACTAAAAATGAACATTTACTTTTTTTTAATTTCATACCATGAGATTGCAATTTATAAAAAACTTTTTCGAGTGTAGCTAAATGCTCCTCGCGACCTCCCTTGGTTCCAACTATGACGTCATCCTGGAATACTTCTACTCCGGGCATATTACCAAGTAACTGGGACATTATACGCTGAAAAATCCCCGGACTAGATGAAAGTCCAAATACCAACCTATTATACTTAAATAACCCCCTATGTGTATTAATAACTGTCAAATCCTTAGAATTATCTAAAACAATCTGATTGTAAGCTTGTGATAAGTCTATTTTCGAAAACCATTGAGCTCCATTCAAACTAACTAATAAGTCCTCAATTTTCGGTAAAGGATACCTATCGATCAGTAAGACGGGATTAATTGTAATTTTATAATCCGCGCATAAGCGTAATCCCCCGTCACTCTTCCGTACCGGTACTAACGGAGTTGCCCAGTCCGAACTGTTCACCGGTTCAATTATGCCGTCTCGCAACATTTTATCTAATTCCGCGTCCACTTGACCCTTCAGCGCGTAAGGTAACGGCCTCGCGCGACAGAACACTGGGGTCGCTCCATCCCGCACTCGCAACTGAGCCTTGCCGCCCGTGAAGCACCCCAGCCCGCCACTGAACAGCTGATCATATCTGTTAATTAAAGTTTTTAAATCGTAATTCGACAAATTAGTACATTTTTGCACACAATTAATATTTTTATGAAAAGAGGGTATTTGTATTCCTAGCTCGGACAGCCATTGTCTCCCCAATAACGACGTAGTTCCCCCTTCAATAACAAATAAATCTAATTTTTTACATACATTATTATAACAAACATTAGGTTTAATTATCCCTAACGGCCGTATCGAGCTACCATCATAAAACTTAAAGGTTAAGTTTTTTTTTTCTATTACTATATGCTTAAAATATTTATCATACGTTCTCTTGCTAATGCATGACACTGCAGACCCTGTATCTATTTCCATTTTTAATACAATATTATCTATGCATATTTCTAAGCTTACCGGCTTATATAACTATTTAAGCTGAGTTGATGCAACTCCTCTTCCGAACTGCTATCACCGTCCGATCGATCAGAGGCAGCCACATGATTGACTTTCTTTCCTCTTCTAGGGCTTCCCGACCTCGGACAAACCCGTTGCAGATGTCCTTTTTCCTTACATCTCCGACATGTAAAACCTTTATAGCGGCAAACCTTGTTATTATGGCCTGGCTTCCCGCACGTTGAACAGCTTTTGTCCACCCCCCATGTCCAATCACTTGGGACAGGGATCCTATGTCCCGGCTTCTTCGGTCCCCTTTGCTTTGTTTCAGGCTCCTTTGATCCACGACCCATCATCACGTGAACCCCTTCTACAGAGGGTGCATTCGAGCCCTCCACCACTGCAGCATCCCGTTCAGCTGCTTCTAGGGCACATGCCAACTTCAACGCGCCGTTATAATTTAAATTATCCTCAGCGAATAACCGTTGCCGTGTGACGTCACTCCGTAATCCACACACTAATTGATCCCGTAAGTTTTCTTCTAGATTGTTCGTAAACTCACAGTATTTCGATAATTTTTTTAATTCGGTTACGTAGTGCGCCACAGATTCATCTTTCCGTTGTCTTCTTTGTCGGAAGCGATAACGTTCCGCCATTACGGACGGCCGCGGTTGTAAATGATTACGCAATAATTCAACCGCCGCATCATATGTTAATTGCACTGGTTTAAGCGGACTCGCCAAACTGCTAAGCAATTCATACGTTTGGTCACCGATCGCGGTAATTAAAGTAGGCAGCCATAAGTCTTTTTCCACTTTATTCACCTTTAAGTACATCTCTAACCTTTCCACGTATAATGTCCAGTTCCCGGAATTAATGTCAAATTCGTTTAATTTTCCGCACACCATTTCACTTTGTTCTTTATATTTATTTATTTTAAATATCCCGAACTCGTACGCCACTGAACTATCGTTAATAGGGAGAAATAAATACACTTGCTGCTTGAGTACCGCTATATTACGAATGAAATGGTATGGCACAAACTGTCTATTAAATACAAATCTTATACACAAGTTATATCAAATTACCCACTTTACTACAATTTTTAATTTTTACTAAATACATATATATCATATTGCAATAATATGTATAATAATTGTAACAGATATATTAATATAAAGGAATGGATAAAGATAACCATTGAAAGAAATTTTAATTTTATAAAACAGTTAAGTACTGCTTCAAAATTATTTTTATAAAAATCAAATAAAACGATGATGAAATGGAAACATGTCTTGCAATTTACCTTTTCTTTACAAAACCAGAAGTTTTAATAGATTATTTTATAGAAAAAGCAATTAATAAACAATGCTTTTGAATTAAAATGTATTAGGAAATACATTAGCCTATTATGTAAAATGTATGTTTTTTAAATATTTATAGTATTTTTCACTGATGTACATGTGATACACAGTTAAAATACACGTCAATTTAAAAAAAGGAATAACAAAAAGCAAACGGTTTATTAAGTCATAATATATTATTTATTAAGACATAATATATAAGTATAAATTACAGATAACACATTTTTTATTCTTGCGTATTTCGGCATGCGCCATCATCGACATATTATACTAATAGACATGCCTTAGAGATGAGAATTGTGGCACTCCGAAAGAAAGAGAGGAAACGAAGTTGCGGTCTATCTTTATCTCTCTCAAAATAGTACGGATAAATTAAATTTTTTAATCAATAAATTTAAATCCGTGTAATATACATCTATGAAATATATATTTTTTTAATTTCTTAGATTTAACTCATTACTCGAATATACAAGAACGTTCTTAAATATATTTATAACCATATAAATTGTTACATACATGCATGTTAATAATTAATTATTAAAGGATCTATGTATTTAAATACTAATAATTAGCCTTACAAAAATAATTTATACAGGGTGACTGGTGAATTACTATCAATATTTAAGGAGCATACTCGGTACATGATTCTCATTCGAATTATGTAAAAAAAATAGGCACTTAATTTTTGACAAAATTTCCGTATAAATAAGTAAAGTGTTGACACGTTCCAAGTGTTCAAGTGTGGACGCGTGTGGCGACGTGTTGATACAACACCACGTCACGACATGCGTATGTGTGAGTGTCAGTGTATACCTAATCTGTAGGGTGTTCACACGATGCGTAATTAATTACATAACTTTTGGTTAACTTTACTAAGAAGTTTATTAATATTTATGTTATATTAATTTTTATTTTGTCATATATGATCGTCAAATATCACGTCCTCAAATATCGATAGTAATTCACCAGTCACCCTGTATATTCATTAAAAAAATATATATGAAAACTGAGAGCCAATCATCTATGAGGAAAGAGATAGTGATAGACCGAAAGCATAGGCCATCTCTCTCACTCTTTTCAAACCAAAAAATTACTGCAGATTATACGCGTACGGCATATCCATTAGTATATGCCGATGTGCGCCATAACCATTGATTTATTGTCGGATACATTTCCTTTACTTATTTAGGTCTTGGTTTAAGATACAATAATTTGTGGTTTTCTTAATAAATAATTCTTTAGATAATTAGATGGACTTTTATTATTTAAGAAAAATTATTATTAATTTTTAGGCAGTAAATTTCATATGAAACTTTAATATCCAGTACTAGTATCCAATCGTGTGTAAGTGATTTTTCTTTCTCTCTTGTTCACTTTTTTAATATGGCGGAAGCAATGACCGCCGTCGGGTCGTCAGTTTTTTTATGAAGTGCAAAATAAGAAGTTTCCTATTTTTCACGTCGCGTGTTATATGTGTGTTAAATTTTATTGCATTTTTCACGAAGAAAGCACAAATCTGTGATTTTTTTTTACTTCTGTCCGTCTTTTTATCTTAAAAATGGTAATGATAGTTTTTTGTTTTGATACTTTTTACAAACTGTACATTGTTCGAATTTATATATTTTTTTTATTTAGACAACTTTACATTTGGTATTCATATTTATATATCAAATATTAACGAAGTAAATACGTTTATTTTTTTGTTAAGTATTAATAGTACTTATTTTTCTTTGTTTTTAAGTTTTCTAACCAAAAAAAGTGTCATGAGGTGATGGCTGTTTCACATGTGATGTTATTTTAGTGTTTTATACCAAAATATGGTGTGTCTAAGATGGTCTAAGCATTTAATTATGCAAGTTGGGTGTGGCTGTATTGATTTTCTTGGAAGGTTCTAGGTCTAGTGTTAGAATACGTCCTACTAACTGCACTTTACCTATGCATAGTTCACTTGCACAGGTATACGAGATCGCGTTAGCTTTTAATTACTTCAAACACTAAAGAAATATGTGTTTCTGTATAGGTTTTAGTAAATCCTAACGTACATATAACCAAAATAACGAAAATTGCGTAAATTATTAGGACTTTTGAGGTAGCAATAGTTATGCCAAAAGGTGAACCCAGTGTGAGCCTTACGTTGTTTTCATGTTTTGTTATAAATTGTATATAATAAAAAAGTGTTATAAAACTGTGTTATCAGTTATATAATAACAATGTAAAATGTAAACTTGTACAGTTGCCAGAAGTAACTTTAAGGTGAAATATTTGAGTCAAATCACTGCATCATGCTACATGTAAATAATAAAATTCTGTTTTTAACGGCTTTTATCACATTTCGTGGTTTACAGTATCCAGCATCCGTAAAATTAGTTTTTAAATTTGCAAATGCAATTAAAGATATGGTATGATTACCAATGTTTATGGTTGTTTTAGTGTTTTATATGTGATTTAAATATTTCTATATTGTTTTGAAACTAGGAAAATATGTTTATAACTGAGCAATAATATTTTGTTAAAATTGATTTCAATGTCTTTATAACAGTTTTCTTATCATACTAGGAATTGGTGACTACTGTTTTTATTGCATGAAAGAGATTTTCTGAGTAAAGTTTTTATATTTGGAAAAAGTTTAAATACTCAGAATAACAAATTTTTGTTGAAAACAATAAGCAGACGATAATTGATCATTACCTATTTACAGTCATTAATTAATTTGTCCATAATTAAGTTGTTGACCGGTACATATTAATGGTTTGTGTGCACAGTTTTATGTATATTCCTTCGTGATTACAGACCTCAACTTAACTATTAAATGATTTAAAGTTTGGGGTTCATAGTAATTCTTTTGTAATCTATTAAAAATAATTCACACATTGGTGTCCCTTGAGATAGTTTGATTTCATATATGGTTACTTGTTATCAAATGCTTATATTGAAATTGTATTTTTTAGTCAAAACGCAGCGCATTCCCTGCTCCTTCAGACGATGACTCTGATTTTGATGATGATGAGGACCCAGACAACTTGGAAGTGCCAGGTATGTTAGGCAATTAATTATTTATCTAAATCTCAGAATTAAAATAGTAATACTTGTTCATCTGTTTTAAAAGTACCTGTGGATTGATGTTGTAACAGTATTTTTATACATGAATTTTGTTTGATTCTTTGTCCTACTAAAAGTCTTGGGTGTGTCCAGAACTAATATCACTTCATTCTTTGAACATACTTTGAAGTCAGTTCTTGTAGGTTCAAAATTTCGTTAGGTAGAGAAAGGAGCTAAACTTGTTAGATAGGGGCCACTTAAATCTACACCTGGGTCTCAAGCCACAGACATTGTGTTGAAGCTCCTCCCCCTGCAATGCCCTGGATCCATCACCCTCACGGTGAATTCATTGAATGCTAAGAAGTTTCCTCTTATTGTTAATTATCTTTGTATGCAGGTGGAGGTAAGACATTGGCAGCAGCAGCGAGGATGGGCAACAAAGCAAAGGTGCTTCAACCTGTCACGGTGAAAGCTACAACTAACCCACTAGCTGGTGAGTATAATAATTGCAGATAGTGGAAATCAAAATATCACACACTAGGGGTTCAGAAACTTATTTTGTTTACTGCTCACAATATATTTTTTTACCTATTGGAAAACAACTATAACTTATTCTACCTAAGTGAAATATTAATTGTCCCCCCCACATCTCTACACAATGTCACACTTTGGAAAAGCCTGCCATAAAATAAAATGCATTATTAAAACATCTTATTCTTCTACTCATATTTTTTCCAACATCTATGACTGTTAATTTCTTTGAGATTTGTATTATATAAATCCTTGTTAGATCTATAATTGGTTATTTCCTTTCATTGTTTTATATATAAAATAATTAAAATCTATGAAATAGTAATATTTTATGTTGTTATCTATTAATAATGTTGGGGGTCTAAGTAATAGTATGTTTATAATATTGAGGTTTCATCAAATACAATATGTTTATTTGTAAAATTTAAAACATTTTGTTGTAACAAATATAAACACTATATGCGTATATATGTGTTCAATTATCCGATTATAGGAAGAATGTAAATGAAACACTAATAATATTTAATAGTAAAAATATAAAAAATATTTTTTGTGTGTTCTCAAAATTCTTATATCTTTTCAAATAAATCGATAGTTTATAGAGGTAATTAAAATAGATAAGTGGTACTTAACAACATCGAATATTCTTTATACGTATTTTATGTTGATGTAATGTCTTCAATGATAATTGGAGTTGAGAATTGAGATAAAGTGGATCGATGACGCCCACTTAAGCGGATGAATATATACTCAGCGAATCGGTACGATTTATATTTTAGGCATACCTAGCACGAAAGTCCACTGTAACAAATATTATAGTATAAATCACCTTAAATGGCTACTTTTGTTCTAACCTTATCATCACATAACAGCCAATATCATTTTTATATTTTGGATTACTTAGAAATTTATTAAATCCAATGTGCTTTGCAATTAAGTACATCTGTAAACTCATACAATTTATCTTGTTTTAAAATACGTTGTATGACTTAGTATTACGTAATTATATAGTTTGTTACAATTCTAGCGCCATCTGGTGTGGCGTTCGGTCAAGCTGCAAATATTAAGCCCATCAAGATATCAGCGAATTCCCTCAAGAAGCCCATCAGTTTACTTGGATTGGGAGGTTGTTATAACGTTTTTATTACAAATTTAACTTTCTGTTAAAGTTGGTGACCTTTGGTATTCATAAAAGAATTGAAAAGGTTTTATTGTATTGTAAAAGTTTAACTTTTTGCAGCCGGTGCGAGCTCCTCTGTACCGGTGATGCAACATTCACGTAATCACAGTGAGTATACCAACAGAATTAATAATATGTATCTAAAGTATCCAAAATAATTATCATACCTTCAAGGTATAGGTTATAGGTATAACAGACTATAATTACTCTATTTAATTCTGTTATATTTGCATTTAAATATTATTATTGCCTGAATTATCAAAAAATAATGAATTATTATGTAATTATTGATACTCCGTTGTTTCTTTCAGTGGATGGTGCTGGAATGACTAGCATGAATTCGTTCCTTCTCCAGAACTTGAACGATTTTCTGAATTCAGGCATAAATGGCGTATTGGGTGGGTCTCTAGGCGGAGTGTTGGGAGGTTCGTTGGGTGGTTCGATGGGTGGCTCAATGGGAGGCCCGATGGGAGGTTCGCTGGGAGGTTCGTTGGGAAGCTCATTAGGAAGTTCATTGGGTGTCCCCCCTTCCCTGGCCGGGATGCTGGTTCAGGTGGCGCAACTGCAAGGCGGTGACAAGGGTGGATGGAATCAGGTTAAGGTAAGTCAATAGTTAATGAGTATTGAACCCTATAGCACTCATACGCAATTGAAATATGTGTTATATTGATACCAGCTGCCCGGGGAGGAGGAGGAGGTGGACGACGAGGAGATGGGCGTGGCGGAGACCTACGCTGACTACATGCCGACCAAACGTGAGTGACGTGACAGTGTGAGTTTGTTAGATAGCATCGGCTATATATTTAACCGGAACATTTATAGTGAAGCTGGGTCGTAAGCACCCCGACCCGGTGGTGGAGACGGCGTCCCTGTCGTCCGTGGAGCCGGTGGACGTGACGTACAGCCTCAGCCTGCCGGACGACACCATCCGCTCCGGCCTGTTGTCCGCCCTACAGCTGGAGGCCGTGGTGTACGCCAGCCAGGCCCACGAGCACACACTACCAGACGGCACCAGGGCCGGGTTTCTCATCGGTGACAATAAATACACTAATATTCCTTAAAACAATGCCTTATAAAGTTAAAAGTTTAAATGATTCATACGTATTCCGCTCTGACCTCCAAACGGTTTCTGCTACGGTGTTATGGATATACAGGGTGACTGGTGAATTACTATCGATACTTTGGTCAAAAATTAAGTACCTATTTTTTTTACATAATTCGAATGAGAATCATGTACCGAGTATTCTCCTTAAATATTGATAGTAATTCACCAGTCACCCTGTATATATATTACTTATTGTATTGTATAATATCAGTGTGTTGTTTAATGTTTAATTGTCCGTACAGGTGACGGCGCGGGAGTGGGAAAAGGTCGTACCATAGCTGGCATAATCTTTGAAAACTATCTGAAAGGTCGGAAACGTGCCGTTTGGATATCTGTATCAAACGACCTCAAGTACGACGCCGAAAGGGACCTTAGAGACATCGGAGCATCTAAGATCGAAGTACATCCTTTGAACAAGGTGATTTGCGAATAATATTAAAGTTATTTCGGATTTTTTTACTTATGTATCTAAATGTATAGTTGTTAATAATAACAAATGTTATGACTAGACTCCTAAGATATTTACTTGCTAGCAATTTCATAGTATCGTGGCTCATTAGATTGTACATGAACTATATTTTGTGTACAAATAAGGCGAAAGCATAACTTTTTTTTAACCAATCAATGTTGACATTAACTTACTGCATCACTTATGGTCATTTTAGAAAAAAAATGTTACACTTCATTTATGTCTACTCAATTAAACAGAAATAATGGATCAATACATGTAATTTTTTTATTTCATACAAACAATAGAAGAAATATGTTTTTGTGTCTATTATGGCGAAAGAAATTTATAATTTACCTTGCATAAAATATTATTCTCAAAGCCTTAAAATATGTAATTCAAAATAAATAAATAAAGAAGAATTAGTCCACTGTTATTAGATACATATTTCAAAATAATAAAAACTATTGAGTTAAAAGCTATCTTATTAGTGGAGCAATAAAAATATATTGTTGTTATATGACAAACAAATACAAAATAAACTCCATATGAAATCAGAAGCAATGATACTTTTTGTTTCAACATAACGAGTAGAGTTTTTTCATTATTATAATTAAAATTGATTTTTTATATATGATTGTTGTTATAATTATGTTGTTGATAGTTTTTGAGTATATATTTAATCAATACTCATCTTTATCCGTCATGCAGTTCAAGTACGCGAAGATCTCGTCAGCTATCAATGGTAATGTAAAGAAGGGCGTCGTGTTCAGTACGTATTCAGCTTTAATAGGCGAGACTCAGGCCAATACTAAATATCGCACCAGACTGAAGCAGCTCTTACAGTGGTGTGGCGAGGACTTTGATGGAGTCGTATCCTTTCAAAAAAAAACATACTATATATATTTTGATTTTATATTTATGCCATTAATATATTTTTCATTATAAGATGATAATTTGTAAATAAAATCCTTAATGTGTATTAGATTGTATTCGACGAATGTCATAAAGCTAAGAATCTATGTCCCGTGGGATCCGGTAAAGCGACCAAGACTGGCTTGACAGCGTTGGAGTTACAGAATAAGCTGCCCAAGGCTAGGGTCGTGTATGCGTCTGCTACAGGCGCATCAGAGCCTAGGAACATGGCGTATATGGTTAGATTGGGCATATGGGGCGAGGGTACACCATTCCCAACGTTCATGGATTTCATCAATGCTGTGGAAAAGAGGTAATTAATACTTCATATATAATTAGCTAGAGGATGGCCTGTATTAGGGTTGTGAGCAATATTAAATTGAATAATTATTTTTGTGTTATTTTAGAGGCGTGGGTGCCATGGAGATTGTAGCTATGGACATGAAGCTGAGAGGCATGTACATCGCTCGCCAGTTGTCCTTCCACGGGGTATCCTTCAAGATCGAGGAGGTGCCGCTTTCTGACTCTTTCAGGGAGACTTACGACAAAGCTGTAGCACTGGTGAGTTAACGAAACTAATGTTGATACTCTGAGATCGATATAACAGTGTTTAGTTATTATATTGTGTACTTTGTTTGAAATTTCGAACCATGTGAGGATGGAAACTTTGGGATTAACAGTACCGGTATGAATACGGAACCCATAATTTAGAGCTTTCATTTCTTCTGAAGATTCAAATCTATATACATAAAAGAAAGTCGTGTTAGTGACTCCACTTATAACCCAAGAACGGCTGAACCGATTTAGCTGAAAATTGGCAGGGAGGTAGTTTAGAACCAGGAAATTGCAATAGGATACTTTTTATCCCGTTCGACAGCATTCCCGTGGGACTTGACATGAAACGTCAGTCATTATAAAACGTGGAATAACACAATTGACAGCTATGCAATTGACGTATAATGGCAGATATGTAATGACGTATGGATGACAATTAGATATTTGTAAGAAATCTACTATATAAAAATAAAAATATTTAGGTATTGTGTTTGTAGTTTGAATTCTTAAAACCATTTAGTATTTGCGGGATAAATTTAGAAAATCATTGTTTTTCACATGGGCAGTTATATTTTGCGTGTTCACGAGTTTGGAAACCATACGCTTTATTTGTGTTAAAGTTAGACCAAAAAACAAAAAATGTGGTTCACAAAGGAGCATTTCAATGAAATGGATAATTTGCGGACACGTATAACGCTTCGATTCGGTATCTACTTTGGATTCACTTTCATTTACTTAGAGAAGTTCAACTAATTAACACTTCATTTTTGTAATCGAAATGAATTCATTACTGTTGTGAAATGAAATAAATATTTTCCTTTTCAAATATAAAACAAAAACTTCTTCATCTTTTAATCACCAAACGAAATGTTATATAAAAGCCTTCTGGTGGCGAAACGGAGTTCGCCAGGTTTACTAGTCTATCATATAATTTCTTGTAGCAAGAAATACTTGTCAACTACTACTACAAAATAGTAAAATAATTGTCGCGTTTTTAATAGTGGGTGGAGGCTATGCAGCGGTTCACTGAGGCTGCTGAACTGATCGATGCTGAGCCCCGCATGAGGAAGACCATGTGGGGCCAGTTCTGGTCGGCTCACCAGCGTTTCTTCAAGTATCTGTGTATCGCCGCCAAAGTCAACCAGGCGGTAGTGACGGCACGCGAGGCTGTCAAGTGTGGCAAGTGTGTTGTGATCGGTCTACAATCAACCGGAGAGGCCAGGACTTTGGACCAGCTAGAGAGAGACGATGGGGAGCTATCTGATTTCGTCTCCACAGCTAAGTAAGTAAATTCATATTAATATTTAGTCGGATTCCGCTATTATCAATATAAAATCACTTTATCGTCACCATATAGTTAATGTAAAGACTGTATTTGATGTAGAAGATGTTGTTAACCAAAAAATACTAATATATTCCATATAGACATAATAAAACATAAACCATGTTCCTGCTTTAATTCCAGGGGTGTATTTCAAACGCTGGTAGAGAAACATTTCCCGGCTCCGGACCGCGAGCGCATCAACCGACTCTTGGGGCTGGAGAAAAACAAGACCATCGCACCTCCCCCGCCAACAGTCAACGGAAAGAACGGACTTGGAGATAGTAATTCTAAAAGGAAATGTAAGAGAGAATTTTATAAGATTTTTGGTATCTCTTCTCTATAGAACGACATTCCTGATCTATTGTGAATTTTAACTACTTTTGATTTAATTTTGTCAATTATTTTTTTTTGTAACGTACGCCAATACTGTGGTATTTAATACGTATGAAAATGTTAACATTGCTCAGTATCAGCAAGACAACAAGTCAATATAGAGGCGAAGCGTCTTCGAGGCAGGTCGTCTTCGGATGAGTTCGTTCGTTCAGACGGCGAGGAGGACGGCGAAGGAGAGGAACACTCCGAAGACGATCAGCGGTCAGACTCTGAGCTCAGTGACTTTAACCCGTTCAAAGCGGGCAGCGATAGCGACGATGGTTAGTACGTTCCTCATGTTAAGGTTAACCTGAGAATATAAGACTGTAATTGTTTTAAACGTTATATTCACCTTTTATACATCATGCTTTTTCACTACTATAGTCTATGAACGTAATTTTTTAAAAAAGTAATAATGGTAAATTTAAAACTCTTGTTTCAGATCCGTGGATTGGCAGAAAGAAGAAAGTTCCAAAGAAGAAAAAGGCAGTGAAGAAGAAAACTGCTAGTACACAGGACAAGATTGAAACTATGTTCGAACGTAAGACGCAGCCAGTGACTGTGAACTCGGGAGGGAAGACTCTCATCGGCACTCCGGTGGGGACTAACGGGCTCTATCTTGGTGAGTGTTCAATAGATGAATTACTTGTATGAGGCTAAAAATAGGTATTACTAAATAATTGTCAGATTTTTCCTATTATTCAAATGAAAATACCGGTAATGGGTGTTCATAAATTGTATGCGATTGTACATCAGGTCCGGGTCGCGGCGCTCCACCAGCCAGATCGGCTATCGAACGAGCGTGCAGCATGAAGGAGCAACTGCTGGCGGCTGTAGAGAGGCTTGGACGCCGCCTGCCGCCTAATACACTCGATCAGCTGGTTGACGAACTGGGCGGCACGGACAATGTGGCTGAGGTTAGATGATACAACTGTATGCAATATACTAGAAGACCCGCCGAACTTCGTATAGCCCTATAATCAAGAAATATCTGTTATATTTTTTTATTTATATTTTTGGAGTTTACCTATTAAAGCCATAATCTCCGTGTTTTGAAGTGCGACAGAATGATTGACATATTAGTTAGTTGTCAAATCTAATGTCAAAAAAAAAAAACGTTTATATCAACAGCTACTAATATATTAAAAATTAATTAAAAAAACATTGTCCAGCGGACAAAATTGTGAATCTAAACAAGTTCCAGATCCCCTTGAACACACACAAAAAAATTCATCAAAATCGGTCCAGTCGTTTGAGAGAAGTTCAATGACATACACACTCACAGAAGAATAATTATATATATATATATAAAGATATCTAACACTACATCACAAAAACTAAGAGACAAGAATATATAATTAATATGAACTGGGAGAAGATATTTTATTTGTATTATAGATGGGCTTCGTTTTATTAGCTTGATTATGAGCGGGTTACAGTTTTGGAAGGGTACTTTAAAAGATATACCATAAGTACTGCTTAGAAGTGGATTGTGAAGTAATTTTTTTTCGTGTCCCTTAGATGACGGGTAGGAAAGGTCGCGTGGTGCAAACGGAGGACGGACAGATCCTGTACGAGAGTCGGTCGGAGGCTGATGTGCCTCTGGAGACACTCAACCTGACGGAGAAGCAGCGGTTCATGGACGGGGAGAAAGACGTCGCCATCATCTCTGAAGCAGCCTCCAGTGGTATATCGCTGCAGAGCGATCGAAGGTAAAATAAACACCCATTTAATTAACCATTATATATATATATATATATATATATATATATATATATATATATATATATATATATATAATGGGTAATATACGTTATATATATATATATTACGTATGTGTGTGCACGTATATGTATATTACATTCGACAATGTTTTAGAGCCCGCAATCAGAGGCGAAGGGTCCACATCACGTTGGAGTTGCCGTGGTCAGCTGATCGAGCGATACAACAGTTTGGTACGAATACATTGTCTATTAACCGTAACATTTATTTAAGTAATATGAAAAACATGTTTGTTTATGTACCTTTGATGCATATTTTAGGTCGAACACACAGATCGAACCAGGTAAACGCGCCGGAGTATATCTTTCTTATCTCGGATCTGGCTGGTGAGCGACGGTTCGCTTCAACTGTCGCGAAGAGGCTGGAGTCACTTGGAGCGCTCACACACGGTGACAGACGAGCCACTGAAACTAGGGACCTCAGCCAGTTCAATATAGACAATAAATATGGTTAGAGATAGCACATAATACAGATATTATGAAATACTACAGTTATAATTGGACATCTTATGGACATCCTATAATTATAAAAATAGTTATAATTTTAATGAAAATAAATCAAATCCAATCTCTGACAATCACTACATACTAGTATCAATCGTTCATTAAAGAAACCACTGTTACGACATATGTATAGGGTTTGGAGGTGAAAATGTTATAAAATGATGTCAGGTCGTACGGCACTGGAGGCCGTGATGAAGGCGATCATGAAGTACGAGCCGCCGCTGGTGCCCCCGCCGCGGGATTACTCTGGAGACTTCTTCCAAGACGTCGCCTCCGCTCTCGTCGGCGTTGGACTCATTGTGAACAGTGAAGCAGCGCCAGGGTTGCTGTCTCTTGACAAGGTAACGGTGATACATTAAACCATTCGACCTTATTTATTTGTTTGGAAAACCTTTAGCTCGTTGGCGGGAAATGTGCGGAGAGAGAAAAATTTAATTTAATTTTTTATGATTCCATTGCTGATCATAATAATAGAGATAAACATTTAAGAAGCTCTTTTTATTCCTAGCCATAGAAAGACGACAAAAATTTAATAATTAAAATGTTAAATTCTTCCCTTTACAGGACTATAACAACATGTCAAAGTTTCTGAATAGGATCCTGGGAATGCCTGTGGAACTGCAGAACAGATTATTCAAATACTTTACTGACACACTCACCGCCGTCATGGAGCAGGGTAAGGGATGGGGTTTTATGGTTTCTATAAAAAAAATAAATCAGAAAAGTTATTTAGATATGTACGTCTTATGACTGCAAATAAATATTTTTTTATAACTCAAGAAAGGTCTCCACATAAACGAATTATATTATGTAATATATAGCGAAGCGCAGCGGCCGCTTCGATCTCGGTATCCTGGATCTCGGCAGTGCCGGTGAATGTGTACGTCGTGTGCGGTGTGTAAGATTCCTGAGAAGACATGCAACAGGACAGGCCCCAGTCGAGTTACACACCGTGCAATCAGAAGTATGGGCGGTCACTACCTTTCATCTTTAGTTTTTTTAGAATATAAACTAAAACGATGTATTTTTATAGCGAGGCATGGAATGGACTGAGGCCCTGGACAAGTTTTCTCAGGCGCAGTCTCAGTCTATGACAGAGAAGGCCGAGGAGGGCTTCTACGTGTCGGCCGCGCGCGGCGGGAAGGCCTCCGCAGTCCTGTGCCTGGCTGCGACCGCGCCTCGTGACCGACGAGAACGCGCGGACCGTGTCGCCAAGAAAGATCGCATGTTCCACGTGTATAGACCCAACACCGGACTACAGCTGCGGCTGGAGTCACTCACGGAGATCGAGAAGAAGTACCGCAAGGTGACGCCGGAGGAAGCTGAGGCCGCGTGGCGTGCGCAGCACGGGGCCTCGTTACGGGTGTGCGCGCACGCATACTGGCGCAGCACGTGCAGGGCGCGCGACACCTGCGAGGTAGGGTTGCGCGTGCGCACGCATCACGTGCTGGCTGGCTCGCTGTTGGCTGTGTGGGCCCGTGTAGAAGCGGCGCTGGCTGCACGCGCTGCCACCTCCAAGATGCAGGTGGTACGCCTCAAAACGGACGACGGTTTAAAAATTGTTGGTCGGTACACAATCTAAAACTTTAATGTCTTTGGTTTTATAGTAACTGTTATGGTTATGACGTTATCGTTCTATTCCAGGTACACTCATCCCCAAAAATTGTGTGGAGATTCTCAAGGAGACGTTGTCGTCGGACGCGGTGTCGGTGACGGAGCAGTCGTTCGACACGACGGACTCGCTCCAGTGAACACGTCGCGGCTCGTAGTTCCTGTCCGTTTATTTTTATACTATAGGCTGTATGGTCCTTGCCAAAGAGACGCGATCACACACGACATGGGCCGCCGGTCCCGGCGCGGTCAATTAAGGACGATACGACGCGGTACGACTGATTTATGTAGGCGCCTCATCCTAAATTTCATTTTATTTTGCTTAAGCGAGATTGTGGTATTTGGCTTGATTACAGGGTATGATAAATCTAAATGAAATCGACCGTTCTTAATTAAGACAAAAGAGTTTCTTGTACTTAAATGTTCAAACTCTGTATGACAAATAATGGTTTCACTTTTTATCTCGTAAAGCATCATACTACATGTCAAAGAGATCTCCACAATATAATAAATGACAGTTTTCGTTTGAGGATAATACTCATCCAGTGTTCAAATAAAAATAAATAATGTTTTGGGAAGGTCGTTTTGTAGATGAGTTTTTATTAAGATGATGTATGGTGTATTCCGTGGCGAAGATTGTTCCTTATATATTACTTTAAAATTATATGCATACATGCATATATCGAATATAAATATATTATTTATCTCAACTTGGTAGGTAAACTGCTGCGCCGTATGGCTTTCATAATTTTAATTTACGCCTCGTTGACGCCTTATTCCGCAGTGATTATACGAAATAGTTTTGTATTGTACAAATATAGTCTGTTAATTTAAAGACTTAGCGTTAGTTTTTATAACACATAGCGGCGACACATATACCGATAGTTTAAATGTTCTACAAGTTTTAAAACGGAAAACATTAGTAATAATATACTATTCAATTTTGTAGCGATAGCGAAAGGTGCATGTAAGATCATTCTGAGATGCATTTGCGAAATTGCCAAATTTGCACTTTGCCCATTTCGTCTAAGAGCTAGCAACGTTTTTGAACGAGAATTTCAGGTATGCTAGTTTTTAGATATGCTATCTCTCTCACTCCCCCGGACGTCATACGGGCTATCTGGCTGGCGGTAGTGGTTGCGTTCATCAGTGCGCATCGTACCTGTGCAGGTAAACAATTAATATTTCAAATCATTTTAAGAAGGTTTTTTTTTAATTATTATTTTTATTGAACTATTCACAACATAAATTTATTATTGCCAGATAGTTTTATTGTTGTTTAAAAGGTGCCAAACGGTACTTTGAATTTAAAAAAAAAAATTTTTTCAAAATATTTTCGTATAGCTGAAATTTTAATAGCATGTTATTTAACTATCTAAAAGCTCAGAATTAATTTGCCAGACAAAAAATCGGTTGTAAAACCTTTTGCCAGACCGAAATAAAGTGTAAAGAGATGTAGTTTAGATTATATATTTAGTAAAGAGATTATCATTTAGCTTGGTCAGTTATCAGTTATATCAGTTTATTTTACACCGTAAATCAAAGATTTTGAGCGTTCTCCGCGTTATGAATCGATCAGTGAAATTACAATCGGGCCCAATCAAATTCGTCCAAATAATTTTGTAGCTGAGCTTAAGAATATATATTTTAAAGAAGCTCTTGTTCATTTTTTTTTATTGACAATTGGGCTGGTGATGAAATGGCTCCTATCATTGGAAATAAAATAATTTATGTCAACTTCAATAAATGCTATTCATATCGGATTGAAAGTAATAGTTATTAAAATTGTTGAAGACTCTTTGTCTTGCGAAGAACATGAAGAAGCGGATTCTCGAATAATATATCACATTTGCCAAATAGATGTCGATGCTGAAGTTGTGGTACGCTGCTCAGATACAGATATTCTAATAATACTTCTTGCTAACATGGATCATTTGAAAGCATCACTAAAACTCTGGATAAATTTGGGTGTTTGGAATCACGAACGATTTATAAACGTCAATGAAATACACAAAATTCTAGGGAATTCTTTATCAAAAGCTCTACCGTGCTTTCATGCACTCACAGGCTGTGATTATATCCCAGCTTTTTTCCGGAAAGGTAAACTACGACCTTTTAAACTGTTAGAACAATCAAACCAATATCAGTTAGCCTGTCAAAATATTATAACAGATGATGAAGATTTGATGGATGAGACACTTAGGATCTTAGAAAAGTTTATCTGACATATTTACGGAGTTCGTGATGCTTGGAACGTTAATGAAGTTCGGTTCCATCTATTTTCAAGTACTTATTAGTCTAAAAAATCAGATGATAATTTTGAAAAAAAGTTCCTTACTTTGATCCATCAAGTCAACCACCAAGTAAAGCTGAGTTATACCAACACTTACTACGAGTTCGTTATGTCACAACGTTTTGGAGAAATGCTTATTTAAAATACCCAACATCTCTATCACCTCAAGCTTCTGGCTGGACCATTAATGACGATAAATATGTTTTTATCTGGTTTGTTGGGGAGCAATTACCAACATTAGTTGCCGATATTATTATAAAAGGTAAAAATTTGAACTAAAATACAAAAAAAAAAAAAATTCTCGAAAGATATTAATTTTTTTTATTCTGTTACAGATAACAGCTTATTACAAAATGATAATTATTTTAAGGACGATGATGACAATGGAAATGACAGCAGTGATGATGATCTTTTTCAAATTTAACATTGATCATTATTTTTATACCGTATTCATCTATAAATAAATTCAATAGTTTTTAATCCTTCTTCTATCATTTATTAGACGATTAATTTTCTAGACCAAGCTAAATGATACTACATCTCTTTACACTTTATTTCGGTCTGGCAAAAGGTTTAACAACCGAGTTTTTGTCTGGCAAATTAATTTTGAGCTTTTAGATAGTTAAATAACATGCTATTAAAATTTAAGCTATACTAAAATATTTTGAAAAAAATTTTTTTTTAATTCAAAATTGCCGTTTGGCACCGTTTAAACAACAATAAAAATATCTGGCAATAATAAATTTATGTTGTGAATAGTTCAATAAAAATAATAAAAAAAAAACTTAAAATGATTTGAAATATTAATTGTTTACCTGCACAGGTACGATGCGCACTGATGAACGCAACCACTACCGCCAGCCAGATAGCCCGTATGACGTCCGGGGGAGTGAGAGAGATAGCATATCTAAAAACTAGCATACCTGAAATTCTTGTTTTTTTGACGTTGCTAGCTCTCGTACTAATTGAAGCAATAATTTTGTTGGCACATGGTTTTCAAATTGAAACTTTAAAATTTCTTATCTCACACATTGTGAGCATTATAGTGTTAATTTTGAAATGAATAGATTTTTTTTGTATCGCAATTATTGTAATGATATTTGTCCCTAGTCCCTTAGAACTGTTGTACATAGTGTATCGTGTATGAAACTTTACATTTGCTACTTGTATTGCGTATTTGACTTGTTTTAATATTATAGTAAATGTATTATAAAAAAATAAAGTTTCTAAAACAATAATAAAAAATGTAGAAAAAAAATGTTATCAATATGTAGAGCAGTTCAATCAATTACGTCTTAATAAAATGTAAGTCGCACCACAATTGGTTTCTAAAGTTAATTTTCGTAGGGTTGGATTATTATAAAGATTGAAATTAGTCACAACTCTCTTAATGTAACATGATAGTATACTTTAGTGCTGGATCTTACAGGTACATACAACATTGTCACACTTCGTCGATTATTCATAAGAGTGTTTAATAGAGACTAATAAATGTATATAGTTATAGTGTTGTTTCATTTGGTATGATATTCGAAACCTTTTAATTATTAAAGTACAGCGCGACCGTATGAAGCTTCGTTATCATTGCGAAAAATTCTCCGTAATATTGTTGATTTACATTTAATAGGTACATTACAACGTGCAATTGTGTCTCGGTATGTGAATAATAAGAATAATTGTGTTGATAGTTATCGTGGTCAAGTGGATGCTTAAAGAGGACTGCTTTTGGACCACATATATTTATATGAATTCCGCTTGTAGTTTTAAGAAAGTTTGTTTAATTTTTGGGACATCCATCCAAACATAAGTTCATACACCTATGTTATGTACAAGTTTTGTTGTGATTATTGTCATTATGACTAAAGTCTCTTAAAATTTTGGTTCTCTTTCATAAGATAATGAAAATGAACTTTACGATTAAAATTATCAACCAGTAAGGAAAACCACATCAGGAAACTTGGGGTGACCTGAAAAAAATATGTATCAAGTAAAAGAAAAAAGTAAAGGAAGTTGAGCTGTCGAATATAAGTTCCATTGTTTTATTTGTCCTAGGTCAGGAAGATGTCGTTTTTGTCAGTAAAAGGAATTTGATGTGTGGTGGGGTCGTAAAAATTATAAAAAACATATTTCTAGATTGTTAGTGTAAATGTAGGTGTAAGGATAGACAGAGAAGGAATGAAGCGAGCTTTTCAAAATATTCAGTTTTATCGTTAATATTTTCATTCTTGTTCATATTTCAAAAAGCAATCGTTCGAATTTAATAAATCGAAGAGTTAAATAATTCTTGTAAACATATGCTTGAAACGAAACGCTCTTGACATTTTACTTTGTATACTCAAATGTCAAATCTGTCATAAAGGTCAATTTTAAAGATGGTCGATTTTGTGCGTCTTTTTGTATTTATTCTGTAATTTAAATTGACTTAAAAATTTGAAGTGCGTAAAAATCATGACTGAAAAAGCAATGACCATGGAACAGCTGGAAGAAACAGTAAGTTATTGAACCTTTTCTGATTAAATACAGTATAATTCTAATAGAAATGTATTTAGGTCAAGCGGCCGCTTTTCTTTATATTTGATTTTTCTATCTTCTGGAATTCGGAAGGACTCGTAAATATTGAAATGAGTTATTGACACGCTCTAAAATATTTTTAGATAAGCTTGTTTGTCTCATTTACTATAGATAGGGTTTGTGTCTATTATTAGAACATAAGCTCAGTAGATATGAAAATAATACAAAAGACGTCGTATTTAGTACAGACTTCGTATTTAAAGTAAAGTTTAGATCAATTAGTACATGAATTGAATTAAAAACTATTACTTAAATAGGTGAAACATACTGATGAACAATTAGACCTAATGGAATGGAAGATGGACAATGTAGAGAAACAAATGGTGGAGCCCATGGACAATCAGGATGTGTGCATTGTCAACTTACTTAAATCAGTCTCGGAGGTACTAAAAATTTTTACACACATATTTGTTACAACAATAAAAATCATTAAGACTTACCAAAAAGCAACTCTAATATAGAAAATTGCAGAGTTTATTTAACAAAACAATAATCTGACATTTGGGAAATTCAAGTAATTAGTAATATTGGAATTATGACTAAACTTTTTTAGTATGAGTCGTCAGTAAAAAGTCTGTCATTCATGATAATAACCAAAATACTATATTACTAAAACATTAACATGGGCTCTTGATACAAAACATGTGTTAATAACAATTATAAGGAATGAAATTTATTTTTCAGCGACTTGCATATAAGTATTGATAAAGGTCAGAAAGTTAGTGTACCTATTTGTCATGTTGCACAGGGTTTGCTGTTTCTATGAAAACTAATTTCACCTCAGTTAATTTTAAAAGAAGTGATGCTATAACTTCTAAACTAAAGGCTTATATGCTTGTTTGTTAACATGAGAAACAGCAGACTATGGCTATCATGCTTATTTACTAGTTGAGTAATGTGGCTTAAATGTGGTACAAGTTTAAGCCTATAAAGCCTAAAGAACAGGGCTGCTTCAATTAGGGCTTTAAAAATTTGTGGATGCCTTTCGAGATATTGTTCACTGTCTATTGATATTATCTATTATCTACAAATGTTTATTGTGTTAGCTGAATTTGTTGACATTCTATATTTAAAATAACTTGTCATATTTATTCCTTTCTTTTTGTAATTTGGCTAACATGATTTAACTATTTTCTAATGCTTACCTCATAGGTTTTTCCTTAAAATCGCATTTTCATACTCATAAATTACTTCAAATGCAAGATCATGCCCATTTCATTCTACCATGTTTATATCTCTGTTGGGATATAAGGAGGCATAGGATTTTTTATTATCCATCAATTTAGAATAAAGTATCCTATACATCTTTATATCTTGATGTTAGTTGAAACAGATAATAGAAATGTCGCTTTTACCACACAATAAAAGGCATACAAATTGTTATTGTATAATATCTTTACGCTCTTTATATATTTAAGGTTTGTTATAAAGTATATACTTGACGGCGGGTGCAGGTTCGCTCGGACTATCAGCAGCTGAGACGCGAGCTGGTCGAGGTACAGGCTCTGCAGCGCGAGTTGTCCACACGTCTGCGATCCCAGTTGCGTATAGTACACGGGAAGTTCGCCAGGCTGAGACAGCGCATCGCCGCCGCTTCACCACCCCGCTAAAGCTATCTGACCGCTTTCATACATCGGTGCATTTCATGGCGCCAAAACATTTTTTTATCTTTCGATGTACTCGGTTCTAATATTACCTTAAATTTTTAGAAAAGATATCTATATGTCGTAATTTAAAATATTTATTTCTTTTTTTGTAATTTCGTTTTGATTGAAACTACGGATAATCGAACACGTGCCAATATTTAGATTTAGGTTATAGAAAGCACTCTTATCAAATATATCCCACTATTTAAAGATACATTGATCTCATAGGTAGTTAAAAACTTGCGATCACTAGTTCGTAATATTTTGAAATAGTTTTTAGAACATGAATGTGTGAAATGAGAATCTAAAGGTAAAAAAAAGTATAGTTTTTCTTTCATTAATGCTACTAGTCGAACGTTGTGAGTGACATCGGTGTCAAATTTAATTAGTATGCATTTTATAGAACAGTGTAAGTTGGTGCTAATGCAATTCAAGAATTTGTATGAGTGGATGAAAATAGTATTTGATATTTAAAACTATTGCATCTAAAAATGTCGTGACTTGACACAGATAAGGAGTGTCTTAGTATTTTTTTTAATTGTTATTATTATTTTATATAAAACGTCCAAAAGCTTATGTAGAGTATTAGTTTGTGCTTTATTTTTTTTTTATAAGAATGTTTCTTAAAATGTATACAGACTTAGCTAAGAAACGCGCTGGCCCAAATAGTAGTTTTTTTTAAAATTGATGTTTTCTTATGGAAGTATTATTTACTAAATTCAATGTCTATGAGACGGTAATTTAAATTTTATAATGTAATTAGACATTGTAATAGTAATTGGGAATGAGGACCAAAGGAAGGATCCAACCCAGTTACATCGTAGTTTAGGAAATGTTTAGCATTTTTTTTTGCATTTATACATTTTAGATAAATTATATTAGAGTAATTATTGTACCACTATTATCATAATGCACATATCTTCTATTGCATGATTGTTCACGTAAATGTCATACAAATACGATCACAGAGTCATATGATAATTATCTCAATAACTCTGTGATTATTTTCTTTTAAATCATCGTAGTGTTTAAGGAAAATACATGTCTGAAACTATGTCTAAGTCTCAATGTCTAAATTAATAATTATACCTTATTTAAGTAGTCTAGGGTAGATCCCGATCATTTTTGATGTATTTTTGTGAATATACTGACTCGTTTATAAATTATGAAGTCGGAGAGGCGTGCTTGTGATGGTTGTGAGTTCGATGAAAGTTTAGCGGAGTTTGGGCAGAGGCAATACGTATCTTAATCATTTTATACGTTTCAAAAGTCCCCCTAAAATATTTCAACTGGTATATTCATAAAGGAATTGAATAAATAATTTTAATTTTCGTAGTCAATTCATAAAAATGACATTTGATGTATGTTATAAAACTTATTAGAATTTTTCAGCACTTTAAAAGCACGTGAAAAATTTCGTATTTCATGATCATATTGTAACTGCACTGGGATTTATATATTTAAACTTATTTAAAATAATTGTAAAACGTCGTCGTTTATAGAATCGTGCCAAAATACGATTTCACTCTTCAAGTCCAAAATTGACAATATGCACTATTCCTATTTATAAGTAGTTTGTTTCTACTTAGTGTATATTCTATAATTGAGTTTATTTTTTTTATTAAGATTGCGGTCTTATCCATTATTTTGATCTGTTTATTAAATTATTTTCTAATAAATTATATTTTACAGTTAAAGTGGTTTTATTGTTTAAAATCCTTTTATCAATTAAAAATAATAGTATTAAGGTACATACATTACATAATGTATCTAACAAAAATGAAATATGTTTTATTCTTTCCTAACAACCAAGACAAGCCTATTTTTAATAATTTATATAAATTATAAAGATTAAAGAATTCCATAATCGTACGTATGGTTTTAATCCCATTAATTTATATATTATTACTGCAAAGTAAATATGTTAAAGTTTTATATATAAACTTACTGCGACAAATCCTTACAATACTTATGAATAGTATCTATTTAATTTTCGTTAAAATTATTTTTTCTTGTAAGTGAAGTAGCCTTACTAAGTTTTTGTTAATGTTAAAAAAGTAAACAGTGGTAGTCCAGGCGCAGGAGGGAGTTGAGTATGCATAACATGAGGACCGCATTCTGTGAATGGTTTTGAGCTCAGAAAGGCATGCAGATTTTGATTCTGGATGTTGCCAGGAGCCATATTGGTCCAATTCTTTTTTACACCCCACCACCTTAGACATCTAGTAAATGGCCTGAACACTTTGATATGATTATAACGGTTGTTTTAGTGAGAATATCCTATTGATTTTTATGATTGAAGATACTTACAGCTAGTCAAATGAAAAAACAATAGGAAAAATAATTTTTATTGATATAAAACCAAAAATCATTAAAAAAAATTTTTTTAATATATTATAAATGGAAAAATGATAATAATAATCTATCTTTTATATATATATATATTTATATATATATTTATGCATATATATTTATGCATTTGCATAAGGAAATACAATAAATATGTAATTTTTTACAAGAGCAAGTCATCGCTTTACAATTAAATGCTCATTTACACGGTTAAATTACACAATTTCGGTAGTGGTTGCTTTGTCTTTTGTCGTGGATACAAGTTACCATCCTTCCTTTCATAGCCTAAGAAGGTATAATCAGTTGGCAGTAGTTGGGTTTGGTCAGCATTCATCCGCACATATGTTTGTTATAATCATATCAAAGTGTGTGTTCAGGCCTTTTACTAGATGTCTAAGGTGGTGGGGTGTAAAAATAATTGGACCAATATGGCTCCAGGCAACATCCAGAATCAAAATCTGCATGCTTTTCTGAGTTCATAACCATTCACAGAATGCGGTCCTCATATTATACATACTCAACTCCCTCCAGCGCCCGGTCTATGGGCTAGATTTGAACATGGAGTTACTTTCAAGGCTTTACTATCAATGATTTTTATTTCTTAAAATAAACAAAGCTTTTTATATTACCATAATAAAATTATAATGTTCAGCATTTTATTATGCTACATTCCGCTTAAAAATTTAATTCCATAAAAACCGTTCTTATATGAGAATGAAACAAATAGTCCTTTTTCCACATAGTTTTGAAATAATCAAATTATTATTCAAAATATAATATTTTGAACATTTGATATTTGCTAGAAAGGCCAATTAATAGTTCAATATTTTTTTTATTTAGATAAATAATTATGTTTTAAATTCTGAATTAATAGCTATGCATCCTTTGATATTTGATAAGCATATGGAGGAAACAATTTATATCTTGTGTTGGAGGGGGTGAAAATAAATTAAATGTCTCTCTGTACATTAACTTTCGCTTTCTATAGAATTAATGTTTGCTCAGGGTGAGGTAAGGCTTGGTTCTGTTCACTTCACAACAAGTGTTTTGAGGGCTAACTTGGCTGCGTTGGCAACGCTGGAGATCGATGCTAAAGGCCTCAATATTTTTAGAGATTACTGTGGGAGTGTTTGAGAACTGTGGTGCCATAATGACATGATTTCTTAAGAAGATTCTCTCGACATCAAACATATGTTTTTAGTGAACTTCTTGGACAACTGTAATATGTAAAATTTATAATACACTTACATATCTGCATATTTGTATTAAAAAATGTTCATTACCAAAACTAATTGTCAGCAACAAAGAAGTAATAATAATTTGATCTCATTTTCGCATTCACAAATAATTTCCTTATTTTTAGTTCTAAGGCTAAATGTTACATGACTGAAGTTTCTAGATTTTTTATTATTTTGTAATCTATACTAATATTATAAAGCTGAAGAGTTTGTTTGTTTGAAAGCGCTAATCTCCGAAACTACTGGTTCGAATTGAATAATTCTTTTTGTGTTGGATAGTCCAGTTATCGAGGAAGGCTGTGGGCTATATAACATCACGCTACGACCAATAGGAGCAAAGATATAGTGGTAAATGTGTAAAAAACGGGAGAAATTATTTCATCTTTGAAGCCTTCCGTTGCGTGCGCCGTGAAAACGGTTCAAGATACACAAAAAATATGTATTAAAGAATAATAGCTCTTTTAATGATCTAAAAAACAGTCCGCGACAGTATATGTCTATCTTTTAAGATTAACTCACAAAACCGTTTTTATGGTACCGAATTTGGTAGAAATAATTTGTTTAAGGTTGTATCAACATAATAATATTAATCTTTATTCAAATAAACAAATAAATATGTTTTTAGTTAAGAGTACTTCATTGTGAATAAAAAAAACATAGGTTTTATCCCGAAAATTCTACGGGAACTCGACCTTCCCGAAAACTCCACAAGAACGGGAACTATGTGGGAAGAATCTGCCGGAAGTCACTATTCCACGCAGACGAAGTCGCGGCAAAAGCTAGTTTATAATAAATGAAATATATTCCTCTTCCAAATGTAACATTAAATAAACTGGTTAATGTATCTACAGGTAGCGTTGTAAAAAAAATGAAAAGAATTTTATATGACCATTTATTCCTTGTACTTAAAGTTAAACGCGTCTGGAATGCAAGAGACGGAGCGTCCTCATAGCGGATGGTAGTACATTATGTAACTCGACACTCGCTTTAATAACAATTTACAAACGAAATGTATCACAGATAAATTTATATTACTGAGCACGAGATTCAGTAATCAGATTCGATTTTGTCACCCAGATGGATAATTCCGGGTGTAAAGCATAACTTGCAACTTAACATTCTTAAATTGTTTCTTATTTTAAAAATGGCACCCTGTCGCTAAATCAGCCTTAAATAACGTCACGCTACTTAATGTGTTAATAAATTAATATTGTTAGCATAATAAAAAAATATATATATTTATGAAATATAAGGGAACTAGTAATATTAGAAATATAAAATTAGAGTAAAAAAAAATGTTACCGATGTAATGGATAATTTCAAAGCACTTAGTCGATGTAAATATGAAAAAATGTATAAAGTGTTTACGTTGAAAATTGAATATTCAAAAAACCTATTATGTAACATTTGTATATGAGTAACAATTTGTAATATAATATAAAATACGCTACGTTATAATGTCTTTTAAAACATTTAATTTATCTGAACACTTGTGCGAAGCCTATATTGGAATAACAGGTATATGCAATTTTTTATATATTCTAATAATGTTATGACATCTGTGGGAGGAATATAAAAAGCTTTTTCACTCATATCAACCTTCACCAAAGTAACAAGCATAAGTAAATATTATTTTTCTAATCCGACTTAAGTACAAATCGACAGTTGTATATACATAACTTGGCAAGAAATATCAACTATTTGCGTTTAGCACAAAATCACCTTAAGAATTACAGATGTTTGATACAAAATATCAAAACTCTACAGACAACGGTGGCCAACTTAATGCTAACATCTCAATATAAAACAAGGATATATTTAACTAGAGGCGAGCACGAAGAGCCAATTTCCTATATTATGATAAACTACAGACATATTGCTTATTAAATATCTAATATCTTCAAGTTGGTCACCGGTCATCAAAAATATATATATATGTATTGCTTAATGTTAAAAATGTTTTTCTTTTTCTGGTCATCGTTCTAGTCTACACCAGGTGAGCCCCGTCCTTGCTAATCCTCAGGTTCTCAAGCTTCACGTAGTTGCTCCTCGTGATGCCGATCGGTCTTCGCTTCACCACCTCCTTACCGTCTTTATCCTTGATCTTTTCCGCTAACGTGATGATATTATTCTTGTTGTCGGCCATCTTGTCCGGGGGTCGAGTCCGGGGCGGGTCGAACCTTCTCTCGCGGTAACTGAACCTGCCGTCCTTGAAGTCCTTGTCGGCGGGTTGGTGTCTCCTGAACGTGGGTGTCATGGGCGTGCCCATGTTGGCCAGCTTGATGTCACACTCGAGCACGTTCCTGTTCATGTCGCTACGCTCGTCGATGGCGGGTCTCACCCTGTACGCGGATCTTACAGCGCCAGTCGGCTTCTGGACGAAGAAGTTACTCTTGGAGCGGTCCTTCTCCGTCTCCGGCTTGTGGTTCGCATCGGCATTGTTCGGTCGGAATAACCTACGAAGCTTCGGCGAGCCGAGAGTTTTCGTGAAGAAGCCGGTCTTCTCCGGCGGCTTGGCGGGTTGTGTTTTCGGAATGTTTTCTATCCATTTAGCTGTGACCGCAGACTTCTTGTTATATTTCCCGGCGTCATCCTCGGCCGGGCTTCTCTGCTTGCCGGGAGCCTCCTCCGTGACGTCATACTTGCCCCGGGCCGCGAGCAGGGCGCCACCTTTCTTCATAATATCATTGAGGAGCGGAGCAGCGGGGAGGGGCGAGGGGGACAGGAGGTCATCGTCTGATGAGTCTGTATCTGAGCACGCGGGGATACTATCATGACGACAGAACGGTACGCTGGGACGGATCTGAGGGTGTAATAGATACAAATAAAATATATTTGAATCATATCATGTAATGCTACCTAGGTGATATCTTAAAACTATTTCATTATTATTCTCTAGGCACCTCTCTTTTGGAGCTCGTCTGCAGTCCTTCCTCGGACTGGTTCCTCATGAAGGCGGGCAGGTGCGGGTCCACCCAGCTCGAGATGTCATCCACTCTGGTGACGTCGATACCGTTCTGGTGTGGTCTTAGTATATAACCAGGGGTAAGTGCCTGCGTGCTGCGGGCGCGTCGTGCGGGCGGCCCGGGCGCCGCGGGCCCGGCAGACCACAGCGCCCCCGCTGACACACACTTGCCGAGTGCACGACCCTCACTGTCGCGCCTCTCAAGCTCCAGCTCCAATGTTGATTGACTCTGAGAGTACACAAATTACATCAGTCAAGTTGTGATAACAAACAATTGATGTTTTTTATTAGATACTAGCTATAGCTGACCAGACGAACTGTTGTTCTCTAGAGGCAGTAAGTAAACAGATTTCTTTTGGCGAACGGGTTGAAAAGTGACCTGTGTCCGTCTCCCGGTTTTAAGCTACCACTCCACAAATCTTCAGCTAAATCGGTTCAGCCGTTCTTGAGTTATAAATAGTGTTACTTTCTTTTATATATATAGATATTATAGATGTTATTAAATATTTTCAATGTCCCACCTTAACGACCCCCTGTCCCTCCTGTGTCCCTGACTTCTGTGTCTCCTCTTGTCCCTCCTCCGCGTCTCTCGTCATCACTCCGTGCCTCCCTCCATACTGTAGTACGTCTCGTAGTAACGCTTGCGGCAGAGCTCCTCCGGCAGACAGGTGCCTCACGAGAGAATCCAACCAAACTTCCATCACTTCAAACGGTGGTCTACAAAATGTACAAATTACCATTGTCATGTTTCATTTTGAAATCATAAATATGCGTATATATTATAATTTGTGTGTATTATTGTGTGTGTATAATATTTTATAATAACGACCTGGCGTCCGGGTCCAGTTGGCAGGCGAGGAAGGCGAGCCTGTAGAAGGGCTCCGGGCAGGTGGAGCAGAACTTCTCACGGAACACGCGCTCGTTGAGACCGAAGTCCGACCGACGAGGCATGTAGTCAGGGTCGGCTGACACGCGACCGATTATCTTAAAAAAAATATAATTAATACCTTATATAGTATATTAAAAACAAAAAAACTTTCTCCTAACTGATGGTTTTTTTAGTGTGGTTATGAAGGAAAGAGATTTAACTTTCGAATTTTCTTAGATTTTTTTTTTATTCTTTAATATCATTATTCTTCTTAGATACTATTTAATTCTAGAGTTATGACGTATTTTTCTTGGTTACGATATACAACCTCACAGAGTATAATCCCGAACGAGAACACGTCCACCTTTTCATCATACAGATTCCCGTTCATCATTTCCGGCGCCATCCAGTACGGATTGCCGACAACCTGGGTTATTAAACATACACATATATATTAAATATAGCTTAAAGCAATATTATAAGCATGAGAATCTATGTAAGGCTGTGTGTTTATTAAATCAGTTCTGTACCTTTGACGTATGAAGGAATGATAATCTTTGCCTATAATCATATAAATAATTTTATGTGTAAAGAAATTATTAAAGGTACATAAGTTAAATCTAGAGTAACAGACAACATTAAGTTTAACCAAATAACAATATTTGTTTCAATTGCGTGTGGTTTTCTGTATATATAATATTTTGTATATAACTGTACCGTGTACCGCTTGCGGCTGGAGGCGTTACGGTCATTTCTACGAACGATCCGAGCGAGACCGAAGTCCGCTACTACCACTGTCAGCTCCTGTTACATAAAAACATACCTGCCTTCAGTTTATACTTGTGAATCTTTCGTTAATGATATTAATTATTCCGTTACCTTTCACCAAAAAGAGGAAAAAAAGTTGCAAAAAAACTAACATTACATATATATCAGCTTATAATTTTATAACGATAATAATACGATATTTTTTCGTAGATCTTACCTCACCGGGCCGTATGAGACAGTTGTGTGAGTTGAGGTCCCTGTGTATCACGTTCCTGCAGTGTAAATAACCAACGCCGGCCGCTACATCCCGCGCCAAGCGGACCCGCGTCTCCCACGATAAAGGGCGAGACTTGTCCTGGATCAGCAATATTGACAAAACGATAAAATATCACTAAAATAGGTTTAATAAAATAAAACTTTATTTATATCATTTTCAAAAACACATAATCCCAACGTTTCGGTTACTTGAGACAGGGAGACTAGATCATACAAAATGTGTTAAAATAACACCTAAAAAGACATCAAATATAACAGCAAGATACTCCACCGGGTAAGTAAACGGTCACTTTGTGAGGTCTTATTAAAGTTGTGATATACGAAAAATTCATTGATTCTGTTGTTAGATGTATCAAAATATGTATCACTAGTAGCACCATCTCTGTTAGTAATTGGTAACAATTGTTATTAACCTACCTCCACCTAAAATAATAAATCAGTCTGTTCGCGATATTCACTTGTTTCATTAGAGATTCAAATCAACTGGCAGGGGCAATAGCGTCTGTGGATGATAGATATCAGTATATTAGTTCACCTGTAATAAGTCGTGTAGAGTGCCTCCCGCTACATACTCAGTGACGAGGTGGAGTCGCTCGCGGTACAACACTCCTTCGAACCGAAGAACATTACGGTGTCTCAGTGACCGCAGCACAGCAACCTTGAAATAACGATACTATCATAATAGATATCTTCTCTTAAACTTGACTACTAGAAGTCTTTATAATTTTTTTTGCTTGCGAAATAAAGGTTTAACAAGACTCAAGCCACTTTTTTGTGTAACTAGGTTTTGCCCACGACTCAATCCGCGTGGACTTTAGCATTGTATGATAAACAACTGACAGCGACATTTGTGCCACCTGATTCCACACAAAATACAATCATTTTAGATATTAAAGCTGCACTGTAAAATTTTATCAATATAAAAACATCCACACATTCACAAAATTTTTCGCATATACTGCAATTCTGACTACGCTAACTGCTTCAAGCAATTGTAGATTCGTTTGGTATAATTATCAATCTAGTCATAATGTATATATCCAACCAAATATATCTTCAAGCAGATATCCATGCAACAAATCACAGTGTATATTTTATGCAAGTAAAAGGTTTTTGGAGATAACATAATGATGATTTTTTTGCACACTTTATTGCACAGTAAAATTACATAGTTATTTCACATCATGAACAAGTTGACAAAGGCGGGCTTATTTCTATGAGAAATCTCTTCCAGCCAACCTACAGCTGTAAGGGTTAGTGTGTATAGTGGGTAATAAATAGTTGTGCAATTAGATATGCTCTAAATAATAATAAAAATATAATATAAAAAAAAAACAATTTTAATATAATACATAGTATAACATTTACATAAATATCCATGATATAATAAATACTATAATAATAAATACATATATACTTATACTACATCTAAATACATAAATATTATATATATATATATATATATATATACAACAGTGAAAAATAAATAAATAAATAAATACATAAATAAATAAATAAGTTAATTTGATAAATTTATAATAGTTGTGACAAAAGGTGCTCTTTTAGTCTTTTTTTAAAGAGATTAACGTTAGGACTCTTTTGGATGGTTATTGGGAGATTGTTCCAGAGGTTCGCTGCACGTACCGAAAAAGAGTTATGCAGAAACTTTGTATTACTTCTAGGCACTTCTAACTCTGAAGTAATACAGGAACGTCTGGAACGTGTTGGAGGCGGGAGACGGTTGAAACGGGAGCGGAGGTAAGAAGGAGAATTTGGATCATTAAGGATATTAAAAAGGACCGAAAGGATGTGCATATCACGCCGAAGGCGGATAGGGAGCCATTTAAGTTGAGTACGAAATGCAGATATATGGTCATATTTACGTAGGCCGTAAATAAACCGAATAGCCAGGTTTTGAAGACGCTCTAGTTTATTAAGTAGCTCCTCAGTCACATCCAAATAGCCCCACATCAGCGTAGTCGAGGATAGGTAGAAGAAGAGATTGCGCTAGCATAATTTTTGTGCTGAAAGGGAGAAAGTATTGGAGACGTTTGAGAGAGTGGCAAGTGTAGTGTATCCGCTTGCTAACATCATTGACTTGGGCTACCCAGGACATATTGCAGTCAATAATAAGTCCCAAGTTCCTTACTGAATCGCAGTAAGAAATTGGAACCCCGTCATAAACTAGTTTGGGAACTAGCCCCCAGTCTAGTTTGCTTCTGAGCCTGCTGCTGCCAACAATTATTGCTTGTGATTTTATGGGATTCACAAGAAGGCCAAACGATTTAGCCCACGACTGTATAGCAGACAGGTCCATATTTAACAAATCAATAGCCCCGGGCAGCTCAGCCAAACTGAAATGTCGATAAAGCTGTAAATCATCTGCATACAGATGGAAGGGAGAAGTAATAAATCGGGAAATGTTATTAATAACAACAGAAAACAGTAATGGGGAAAGTACGCCGCCTTGAGGAACACCAGCCGTGAGCTCTAACCAATTTGATGAGGTATCGTCGGTTTTACACATTGCTGGCGTCCGAAAAGGTATGAATGAAACCAGTTAATAACAAGAGGAGAGACGTTGACTGCACGAAGAGTACCAAGAAGTATGTCAAAATCAACGGAGTTGAAGGCACTGCTGAAATCCAACAGAGCAATCGCAGTGAGCTTGGTGTTATCCATAGCACACCGCACATCCTCCGTTATCTTCAGCAAGGCACCAACAGTGCTGTGGGATGGACGAAAACCGGATTGGAAAGGACATAACAGGTTGTAAGTTGTAAGAAAGGAGTAAAGTTGTTCGTGTACAATGGACTCAATGACCTTAGAAAGGATAGGGAGGATAGATATAGGACGGTATTGGGACATAGACGTAAGATTGGCGGTTTTGGGAAGAGGTATAACGATAGCCTTCTTCCAGAGTGTCGGGAAGACATTGCACGATAGTGAAAAATTTATGATGTGGGTGAGCACTGGTGCAATATCATCCAACACCGGAAGAATCATGTTAAGGCTAAGACTATCGCTCCCAATGGCTTTGGTGGAAATAAAGCGGATACACTTCTTGATAACATCTTCAGAAACCAACCGGAAAAAGAAAGAAGGACAGTTTGGTGGTTCAAGAGAAGATAAATAAGAAAGAGTATCTGATTTCGTTACAGAATCTACAGTAATGGGTGGGCTAGAAAAGAAAGAATTTAACGTATTAAGGTCAGCGGGACTGTGGCAGGCTACAGTAGTTTTGCCCACACCCAATGACCTTAAAAAATTCCAAACTTGGGATTGACAGAGATTTTAGATTGTGGAGTGAATATAGCGACGTTTTGCGTCCCTACACATTCTGTTGCAGATGTTACGCAATCTTTTATATGCTACAAAATTTTCATCAGATGGATACTTTTTATATCGATTCCTGGCTTTATCGCGTTTTGCCATGGTGTTTCTGATTGCTGGTGTTAACCATGGAGCTGGTGCATGCTTCATCCGCACTGGTCGTGCTGGAGCATGGATGTCATATATACGAATCAGTTCGGTAGTAAGATCGTTGACCATGGCATCAATGTTATTCGAAGCTAGTAATAACGACCAGTCGATATTTCTTACGTCCTCTCTCAAACGTTCAAGGTTAATATGCTTGAAATCGCGCTGAATAGAAACTTTGCCTCTAACCTTAGGAGGACGCACTTTATAAGTGAGAAAAAGTAAGTCATGATAGGAAAAAGGAGCAGACATTTGACCGTGAGAAATAACAAAATGAGGGTTAGAGACAAATATCAAGTCAATCGAGGAAGGCTTACAGCCAGGAAAGTAATGAGTGGGAGAAGACATGGAAAGTATATGTAAATTAAAAGAGGACAACAATGCATTCAGTTTCTGTGCTCGTGAATCGTTTTTTAGTATACACGTGTTCAGATCGCCCATGCATATGACGTGATCAAAGTTTGGTAAAAGATGGTATAAAATATTTTCTAAGTCATTAAAATAATTAATTTTATCACTAGGGTTGTAAAGAACACCAAGTAGAATTTTTGTGTGATGAATCTCAATATTTAAAAAAAGATATTCTATTGAGTCTAGCGAATGTGTTGGGGAGCTGAGAGTAATATTGGCTGGAATGTCTCCACGCAAATAAATACCCACTCCACCACCACCACGCCCAACGCGGTCGTGACGATACAGTTTGTAGCCGGGTAAAGAACAACAAGTAGATGGTAGAGAGGGTTTCAGCCATGTTTCAGAAACTAGAATGCAGTCGACTACCCTAGTGTCAAAGGATGCGAGAAGATCAGAATGGTGAGCTGGTAGACTCTGCGCGTTGATATGCACCAGTGAAAGGAGGTTCTTATTTGGGAGAAATACTTTCTGGAGCTTAGCCCCCAGAAGTTCAGTATCGGATAGTGAGCTATTGTTACTACTTAAGGCACTTTCATAATCATCTGACGTACAAGAAAAATAATCATCTTCAAAATTCATAAATGTAGAAATAAACAGGAATAAACTAAATAAATAAATATATATATAAAACTATAAAAACACAGTATAAATATTTACTAATGGTATAGACTAGAAAAAAAAATAATAATATAAAAAAAAATAATAAAAACAAATTAATTGCCAATAACAACACTATTCCTATGTATAAGTTGACTGTAAGAAAAACAAAGTTATACTAAATTTCATCAGGGTTTAAAAAAAAAAGTGTCTAATAATTTAAAGAAAAAATAATAACGAGCAGAAAAAAAAAACAAATTATGACAAACTAAATAAAAATAAAAAAGTTACTAAAATATACAGAAACAAATAAAAATACGTATCAATCTACTATCTAATTATCTACTAATAATTAATCTACAGAACTATAAAAACATGAGATCAATCAAAAATTAAAAGCGATTAATGCAACTACTAAACGCAATGCTCACAGATAGTAGACGACGCATTACGTGAAGTGGACAGCTGATAGTTGACACTTGACAGTGACATCTAACATTCTCGTCAATCATAGAAGTGTTAACTTTATTTAAAATACCTTAATATACTAAAAAGTTAGTGAAATTCATAAAGATAACGTTAACGTAAGTTAGTGAAATTCATAAAGATAACGTTAAGATAACGATTTTAGAGTTTGCGTAAAATATAATGAAGTTTTTAGTCATAAAAATGAAATCAGGATTTTGTCCTTTGTCTGTATGAAGGTTTACGAGTATATTTATGTTGATATTAATAGAGACCTCTTTAAGGAAGTTGTTCTGAGCGGTGTCGTCGACGCGGTACAGTTGTTTGAGCACCATCAGCTCACCGGTCGCGCGGTGAGTCACCTTGTACACGTGGCCGAAGAAACCAGTACCCAGCAGTTCACCCTGACAAACGGAACACAATCTGAATAATTTCTTACGGTTAGACACCTAAATTAAAATCAGCTTATTTTAATTTTTAATATGTCCTTTAAAATTATACATATTTCAAATATTAAAATATATCACTAGGAACAAATAACGAATAGACTGGCAATCTTCATTCATCTGGCAATTTTTCATTCATTCATCTAGCAATTTTCCACGTATTACCTATATGCTCAAGTCCTACCTGTATAAGGTCCGCGTCCCTGAACACTCTCTGATGCGTGTTGGCGTGTGTTCTGAAGGAGCGAGCACGACTCAGGTCGTCCAACACACCGGGAGCCGCTGGTGGACCGCCTTCCGACCTACCGCATACACGAATAACGTGTTCACAAAAACAATAACTCCCTCTATGCTACAATATACGAATTTCAAACAAAAAAAATGTATAACTGTTAAAAAATATATATTTTCGTATTTAAATTCTTAATTAATTAGAATAAACTCTCAATCCGTCCTTAGAATTAAAGCTACAGTTTGCAACGTTTGAACAAGAGAGTATACTAGTAAATCAGTTATAACTCACACGTCCAACAGTTTAGACATGCTGCTACTTTTCTCCTTCTCCCCCAGTAGCGGTGAGGAGGGAGTCTGCCTTCTCTTAATGACCCGCACCTTCCCCCCGTCTTCTCCCTTCCTCTTGAACAGCCGCTCTCTTTTCAGCCCAGCTTCCTCTTTCTTCGTATCTTCGCCACTATTAGACGTCTTCATTAGCTCTGATGATCCCCGTTTCACATTTATTGTGTCCGGATTATGTTCTATCGGTGGCTGTATAAATTAAGAGACCGTTAAAAATATACGAATATTATTATTTTTTTTGGGAATTTTGTTTTATATAAAACTCTGTTAGATTAAGACTCAAAGTTTCAACATCAACATGATATCTGTACCTGTATGTGATGGATCGTCTGTTCATTGCCTCGTTCATCTACAATTTCTTTGGCTCTCCTCCTAACGCCCTGGAGTACTTTCCCCTCTCCGCCCTTCTCCAGCACACACTCCACTCGCAGCGCTAGGGCTCCGCCCCCATCCAACCTGCCATACCGTACACATTTCTAAGTTTCCAAGATACAACGGGCTATATGAGGTCACACACATGCAACACCATGCATTCCATCGAAACCTCAAACTGTTATATTATTAAATAAGACAACAGTGTATACTAGTACGAACAGGAACCATTAAATTTATTATACTAAATTTATCAAAACCATATAAAAATTAAAACGAACGTTCACAACAAATAAATATCATTATAAATAAAGGATGTGTGTAATATTTATTAATTTAATTAATATGTTTGAAATGGACCGTTATTTTATCATTCCTTGTGTTAATTCTAACAAACATAAAAACAATCGCTGATTTCAAATTTTACCTTCACGTTATAGTAATTCGTTCCCATCTTATATGATTCTAGAAAACATACGAGTTATATATAAAAAAACATAGAATAAATAAATACATACATATATACATTCAAATATATTATGTAATAGCTGCATGGATGGCTGAAAATTCAAATATCTCAATCAAACAAACAAAACACACAAGAAATGTAATATAACGTTAACGAGAAACAAATCTATGACGAGATCGATCTGATCAAATAAAACATATAAATTTTGTACTTCTACAAAACTTTTACTAAATACATCTTAGAAAACTTAATATGAAACAAAAAAAGAATAGGAATACATTGGAGGAAAATAAGGAAAGCTTCAAGATGCGGTTCGAAATACAAAAATAAATATACAAAGCATAACGTAATTAACATTCAAATATTACAAATAATATTAACTATAATAGGGGTGTGACTGCTTTATGTTATCAAACATGGCGTTTAAAGCACTCGGCGCTACAGCGGCTCGTACCTTGAGCAAACTAGTTGTAGACAGGCGGCCAGTGCTGCTCGTAGCAACGCGCGGGGGGCCTCGCGAGGGGGACTGGTCATGGTACAACACTTTATACATACTAGTATCAACTGAGACAGTCAACTAAGGCCCCTAACAACTAACAATACATTTCTGTTCACCATCACGTGAAATACAATAGCACAATCGAGTCTCAATTAGAAATATCTACATAATAAATCACGTTGATGAATAGGCCGTGTTGGTGTAGAACATAATTTTATTCGTCGACTTTATTTCCTTTTATAACAATATAAACAAAGCATGATTTGTAAGTACGACACAGTACGCCAACTATAATCTTTTAGAAAGCTAAACTACCAGCAATTAAGGAAGTCATTAATATTACTGTTTCCATATATATTTGTGCATAAGGAACCCGTAGTGTATAAGATAAATACGTTGAATCATTACGATTAATCAAAGAATAGATTTGACGGATTTCTATTTCGATAACTTTAGTTTTATTTCCATTTTAAAAAATGACGGTGTTAGTATTATAAATAATTAATTTGTTCATTTATTTAAATGTTCATAATAAATTTCTATATAGGTAACAGGTATGTCTTTTTAAGATTTTCACATATTTATAAACGTTACAAGACATAAAGTAAGGATAATACAAACATTATATGAGCGTTTATCTCCTATCATTCCTTACATAAGTCCTCACCTAATATGTATTCTATTAGTACTATATTCTGAGTAAATTTCATTTGGTCATGATTCTTTGGTCCCTGCTTCAGTCTATGTTTATTATATAGAATAATCTCGTAAGTCCTAGTTGTGACAATATATTGAACCTCTGACAAAAAACAGGATCAGCGGAAACAAATATATGACTCAAATTCACCTAAATATAATGTGCATTTGACAGATTCTTAGAGCTGTAAGAATCTAGTCTGACGAAACCATTTCAATATTTAAGAATATCACAATTACATTAGTTTTTATACATTAATGTTTGACATAGTGATTTTATACACTTAGGTATATTAGGACAATTATAGTGTTAAAATACTTACTGAGGTAGGACGAGTGCGGTGGATCTTGAGGACGAAAGTTTCGGAGAGCAGCCACCGCTGAAATACAATAATATAAATTACACAACGCTCATTGACACGATAGCACAATTTATATGTAGTACGGCGGTAATACAAATAGTAAAAGTAGGTGGTTTGAGATTTCTAATTTATTATTTAAATTTAAACAATCAAATCACATGACTATCGTTTAATATTATTTTTTTATGTTAGTTAATAATTAACATACAGTTATGTTGCTTAAAGTTGTCTTATTAGTTTGGTCAGAAAATGCGTTATTATTGATGGAACAATTACAGTTTTGCTTTTATTATTGTATGGATGTGTCATTGAAGTATATAATATATTTACTATCTTACCAGTATAGAGTATCTCGGTCAACGAGGGCGTACCGTTCAGTTTCACCCAACAAAACTCCACAGGCGGCGCAAGCGAAGCACTCGGAATGATACCTCAGCTCGCCCGCTGCCATTGAAGATCCATACACAACCTTCAATATATAATTATTAATAAATATATATTTATCTCTTGAAAGTATAAAATATAATCATCATTAAAAATATGTACATATTTGATTCATGTTATGAAATGTACTTGCACAATTCTTATTTTCATTGTCAGTTTGTTAATGATGAAATTGTGTGATAATTTAAATGTGACAAAATAAACATCATTAGAATTGGGCAATATGATTGTGATGACGAACATGACTTGACCGGTCGTTTAGTGCTAATCGTGTTACAACGTACGTGAGTTAAGGAACAATGTAACGCAGAGAATTTAGTAGCAACTTTTTGAGTCTTGTAAATAAATATTTTATATTAATATTGTATGTATATTATTTTAATTTTTTTAAATCAGTTTCTTGCATAAGTCTTTGGAATACATACACGGTCTGAACTCCATTACAATTTAAAATCTCTTTTGATTGAGGGTCAATAATTTTATCACTTAGAATCAAACTGCTTATTATGAAGATACGTAGACGTGGACACACGATATCACAGGAGGCTTATTAATTTAATAAATCAAACAAAAAATATTATTCAAATCGCTTCAATAGTTTTGCACTCCACAAACCGACATAAACTTTCGCAATTTTAATATAACTTAATTAAAAATGAAAACTTGTCTTTTAACGCTCAGCTCAATTTCTCAATATCTCAATAAATCCAACGTTTTGTCGTAATGCAAATATCCGTTCAATAGTTTACCGTAACTGAGTTTCTCATAGTAATATATATAGGTAAAAACTTTAGCATATATGTTAAAATCTCCAGAACCTTGGAATTAGTTTCGTTAAACTAAAAAAGAGACAGTACAAATGTTTTCATGCATATATCTTGAGCCATAACTTCTTGGTTTTAGAAGTGGTTGTGCGTGTTTGGCAAAGCTTATGTTAAGACCTCATGACTGAACATTTATTTGTTCTTTTACTGCTTAGCTTATTCGCAAAAAGATGACATAACGTACAAAAAATAGAGTTTTTTCGCCATTCTACGTTATAATTATATAATAAAATAAGAATAAGACGTCTAAAAACTAACGCTGATAGAAGAATTATTTTATAATCTATAAATGTTCAGCAAACAAATGGATTCACTTTCGCAAAGTTTAAAGTGGTTATAAGCTTTTATAACTATAAATTATCTATTGTTTATATCAGTTTTCGTTGTATTTATTATATATACAGCTGCGTGCAAAAGTATTAGGCACCCCTATTGTTAGTCACTATCTCATTAGATAGCGGTCAAGTGTGTGTTTTATGGTTTAGCTATTGTATTAGCGGCAATTATTAACCAAATTAAGATAAAAGAAAATATTTATGACATCCAGGTGTGCTCCTAAGCGGTGTTTCTTCATTAGGGGGTAGCGAAATAATAAAGTTTTTTTCATGCCATACTACTTGTAGATTTTCTCAATAAGAATATAAGATTAGGTTCAGTCGCAAGTACGATTTAAATGTTAATTTTACAATAGGACCGAGTGCAAATAATCCCATAATACAATACCTGTCCACATCTATGACAGACGTCCCCGAATCTGGTCCAGTAGTCCTCGCGGCAGAATAGCAAACCGCCCTTCTCAAAGAACCACGTCGTCAACTGAGCGTCACATACTGAGCACCTAGAAACAATGAATTAGAAATGAATATACACATAGCTTTACAATGTCACCCTTGAGGTTTAGAAAATATCTATTAAAATAAAAAAATATATATATAAAAGGTGCTTTGCTATACCATGTATGAATCGAAATATAGTGTTCACACCCTGTATCTTCATCCATAATTCAAATGTATTAAACAATGTTTAAATTCCAAAAAAAAAAGCCATTACTGTAGTTATCTAAGAATAAAAAGTACTGTTAATTTTCCAAAGAATTTTATATTTTAACTATGTATATATAATATGGATAGGCTAGAAGTAAAAGACAATCTGAATTAGAATTTGATTATAAAAATTGATGCAAACAATTAAAATACAAATAATTGCTGCAAGGTTACTATATAAATTGAAAAAATTATTATGTTTTGATGGAAAAGACTGGTTAAAAAACATGGTTGTGAAAAGACAAAAAGAAGTAGGTAAATATAGTACTTAGGATGTGAAATAATAATGGATAAATATTTTTAATCAACTTGACATATGTATTTATGTATTATTTATATCAATTGTAACTTATTTTTATAACATTAATTATTTCTGTCTCTGATATGTTAAACCATAAATGTTTTAAGGAGAATGTTTAAACCTTGAGCGAATGTATAATATACTTTTCTTGTGTCATTAGATAGAATCCTATTTTAGTTCATGTAAACAAACAATGTCTGTAATGTAATGTAACTTAAGGTAATTTGACATTATGAAATGTAACTTAATAAAATTCTAAAATAATCTAAAACTTCAACATTGATTGGATGTCAGTTATTCTATTATATCTTATACAGATATGGAATCGAGAGAAACGAGTCTCTTGCCAAATCTTTTTATTCATATATCTGTTTTGTACACATCAACGGCGTCTTTGAGCACGGCCAATGTCGTTATCCCCATTCCTGGCAAAGTATAACAAATCATGTAGGTCACATTTAATGGTTATTGACATACCGAAAGCAGTCCCTGTGCCAATCTTGGCTTAGCGCCGATATATAGTCTTCATCGCTGATATCATTTAAACAGCCTCCACATATCAGGATTTCTGAAAGATAAGAATGTTTTATTAAATCCCAAACCGTTTATCAATTACTCAGTCTATGTATAAACTATGATTACTAAATTATACTTAAATAGAATATTTCTCTGTAACATAATAGACCCGGCACACATATGGTGAACCCATAGAATGCTGAGAAGTTTTGTCTCTTTTTTATCAACATGTCAATTGACAACTACTTGTACTATATGTTTATCATATAAATATTCATACATAGACATATAAAAACAGTTCTTTTAAAGTCATAATGTCCATTCTTAGAAAAAAACTTATTTACAAGTATCAGTAAGAAAATGTTTAGGTTTTCCTCCCTATTAAACATATTCATATATTTTCCTTCTAAAATAATCCACTGTTTACAAAAAAATATAAAATTCATTAGCAGTTGAAGCATTTTCATTATGTTATAAAAATAAATAAAGAATATATAAATATTGAAATATGTATATATACAGAATAGTTATTATTACATATCCAATATCTTTGTTAACAATTATGTTAAAAGCTGAATTAACCACCAATTTTTTGTAGATTATGGCTCCGGATAGTTTACACCAAACTTGAATCTATTTTTTCACCAACAGTGTGAAGGACCAACACACAGATATTTTTCTAAAATTTCTAATACTCTTTACAATTAATATAGGTAGCAGTATACTACTAATTAATTGTAAAAGAAGTTTAGTATGTTTTTCTGTTCGACCATGTATTTATGATCATTACAATAAATATTTTCTAGGATTTTTTTGTTTTTATATCAATAACATTTTGCAGCACATTAAAAAGACAATTTTTTTTTTAAATAATATAAAAAGATCCACAACTTTTTATTGCATAGCTTATGTGTGGAATAAAAATATATTTTATGTATTCGTCTTTGAGCATTTATATAAATATACAAATGCGGAAGTTTATCATAACTTTAATTACATTGTAATTATATGTAAATCCAAGGATTTTTATCTACCTCTATGAGAACAGCTATATTATAATAATATATAAATCTGATACTTTTAAATAATAAACTCGTAAAACAAAAGATAATTACTTATAACAATATAAAACTAGTTTAACCCACGCATTTTTCAATGTCAAAACTAAAAACACAATAATAATAATATATTTTCATTTTAACAATACAAATTGATATTAAAATGACAAGAGTACTCACCTTTTTGATTCGATTCCTCCATTTCATTATATAGTGAATCACTGATGTTTTAAAACATAAAAATAATGCAATTTATTTGAAGTGTTCTTTTAAGTAGGTAGGTAGTACCTATTCAATAGAAAATATTTTCATAGAATTGACATTTACATCATTTACAGAATGACTAATAACCAGAGACTTTTATTTTGGTTATGTTCGTTCCGTTCAGAACAGGCAAAGAGAACAAAGCCCATACAGCCATGTCTTTTGTATCTTTAACTATTTTAAATGTCTTAATCTCCTTTTTATTCAAGACTCAAGTTTTTATATCAGGCCTAAGCCATGTCTTCTTTTAATTTTCTTAAAACATTTTTTTAAATTTAAGGCCGAAGCCATGTCTTCTTTTAATTTTTCTTCTCGAGTCCTTTTTTAATTATAAGGCCGAAAACATGTCTTTATTTAAAATATTTTTTTTTGTCAAATTCTTGTTTTTTTTAACATTCCGCCTTTTTCAATGTCAAGTCCTTGTAATGTCATTTTTAGTACAAATACAATAATTAATTTGTCAAAATCGATATAACAGTCAAATTCTGAAAATAGCTGAAAGCAAATATCTAAAACAAAACGAATAAATTTGTATTATATACATATGTACAAATAACAATTACATTTCAATTATAGTAGAAATAATAAAGCCATAAACTGGCAAGAAGCATTCTTGAATGCTTAGTATTTTCTGAAGGGAGCGCGGGATATCTTCAGCAGTGTTAAAAATACTTAAAAGTTGGTCTACAAGGACCATCCTTTGAATACTAAACTGTCCCAGACGCAAACGACAGATTGTGGTATAATACTTTCTATGGTTATAGTCACTACCCCGGGTAAAACAGGGAGAAGAGACCTTTTTCTTTATTGTAGCGAACCATTTTCCTTTTACCTTTACCACCTGATGCCACAAGTTGTAAAATTCTTTCTGTAACTAAAGTTTGAAGAGGGATAGAGCGTCTGAATAAGGAATTGGGAAATTTAAAAAGCTATGACTTAAATGATTGTGGGCTGGATTTGTAATAAATTTAGCTAAATAGTCTGTTTGCTCATTACCATGCACACCAATGTGGGCTGGTGTCCAGAATAGGACTATTTGTTTGTTTTTAGGCAGCAGGTGATACAACTCTCTTATTTTATATATGATATAGTTAGTTTTTGACTTTAATTGTGGATTTTGTAGTGCCGTTAATAAACTTAAACTATCCGTTATTATAATCCACTTTGGATGAGTCTGTGGTTGAATGTGCTCCATAGCTGTATACACAGCTATGGATTCAGCGGAGTATATGCTTGTGAGTGGATTCAGCCTATGACCGAATCCACTTTTGATCTAACTATCATAGACAGCTATAGATACTGCTTCATTGTTCCTAGACCTATCTGTATATATCTGATGATATCCCTGCCACATATCAAGTTCCCTATAAATGTCTTCCTTATACCTTAGAAGACTTTTGACTATAATTTTAATCTGAATAAATTTTGATTCATATAACCCAGAGTAACAAGGCCATACCATGCTAGACAATATATTATGTTTATTAAAAATTTGTTCTGTTTCAGAAAAACCTTGAAACAAATATAAATTAATATTGGCAGTCCTGTTAATAGTGTCCCGTAGTTTAACTAGAAGTGGATGATTACTGACAGAGAGCAACTTTTGATTGTAAGTATTTAAACCTAAGTGCTAACGGAGGTATATTACATTCCACCTGCATTGACACTATGGGAGTAGTTCACATGGCACCCATTATAATATGCAAACATTTATTCTGTATCTTTTCTAATTTATCTACTATAGTTCTTACCCCTGCAAAACAAAAAAAAGCATATTCAAAATGACTCCTTACTAATGATTTATACAATGTTAATAGAATCCTTGGATCAGCACCCCAAAATGTCGGCGTTCTTGCAGTCTTCTACTACTTTTGAACATTTATCATTCCACCAAGGTACTTGACACCTTTTTCTAGGACGGTTATTATTACTATCAGTTGAGTTATGGTTTAAGCTGGGCCCGGAGAATTTGATTGCCAATAGAATAATTGCACAAAACTTTCTGTATGAGTCAAGGAGATCACTATTGTCAATTTTAAAGTTCATTAACATGTTATTAACGATTTGTTCATACCTATCCCAATTTACTAATTTCAGATTGCTGTGAAAAGGAATGTTGTTCAAGGAAATAGAGGGCTCATGTTGATCTTTTACGAGAGTAAATTTTGTGATAGTTGGCAGATGATAACTGTCTAAAGAGTCCTGATGAACTTGCCAGTCACAAGAAAGAAATAAAGAAGAAGACACCATAGTTAAATCTAGACTGTTTGGTTTCCAAATATGAGAGCCTATAGTTGTTGGTTGACCATTATTTAAAAGTATTAAGTCATGGTCATCCATGAAATCCATAATAGCTCTGCCCCGAGAATCTGTGCGACTGCAACCCCAAAAAGTGTGATGGGCGTTAAAATCGCCTGCAATTATAAACGGTTTTGGAATACTGTACAATAAACGATCAAACTTCGCCTTTTCAAAAGCAGGAGAACTATTACCAGGACTGTAAAAACTAACCAAAGAAATGCATTTATGTTTCAGTTTAATAAAAATTACTACATTTTGTAACGAATCATCATAAAAAGTATCTAGTTTAGAGAAATGTATACCATTTTTAATTAATATTGCTACGCCATTATGATCATTACCGCAGTCATTCCTAATAATGGTATGACCACATAAATTAAATTGAATGTTAGGCTTGAGCCAAGTTTCTGAAATAAGAGCTACATGGATATTATTTTGGTATAGAAAATTTTGAAACTCAAGTCTGTTACCAGACTTTGAGCGTTCCACTGTACAATATTTAAGATTTGGTGATTGAATGTGACGATTTGCTATTTTTATCCTGGATGGTTTCTTTTAGTTGAGCTAATAAATTGTGAGCTAATACTTATATTTTGAGTTTTATTTAGAGTAATAACTTTTACCATAGATTCTGTTAATAGGGTCATTGCTTCAGAATTTGATAGTATTGCTTGGATTACTTCTTGGGTATTTAATTTTTTATTAAGGGAGGGAAAATTTAATGAATACTTTAATGTGTCAGCATATGAATTGAGTTTACTGTTAGCGATTTTCTTTTGCCTTATAGGGCACTGGCTAGAGATGGCAATGTGATTGCCATAACAATTAATGCACTTAGCTTTTTCAATGTTAACCTTCCATTCTTTGAAAGGATGCCCCTCTGTGCATATGGAGCATAGCGGGGAAATTTTTACAAAATTTAGCTAGATGATCATAGCGTAAACATTTAAAACACTGTTTTATAGGTGGGACATATGTGGAGACAGGCAGGCGCCACATCTTAATGTGAACATAGTCTGGCAGTGATGTAGCAGACGCAAAAGTTATTACTACGCTCTGAGTAGGTTACAGTGTGAATGTGTTATTTTCTCCTTTTACTTTACGCATTATGCGTCGGACAGAAATGACTTTTTTTGTTGTTGATATTGCTTTATATATTTTGTGATTAGATAGATGTGTGGGAACCGAAGAGATAACTCCCGATAGTTCGGTGGCCCCTGCTGGTATTGAAGATTTAAGTCGTTGTTCCTTTAGATATGTAGTATTTTCTAAAAAGGCATTTGCCAAATTCGCAAGTTGGGAAACAACACCGACCTTATATTTATTTTTTTTTTTAAATATTGTATACCTTTCACAGAGCGTATAAAACTAGTACTAAGCGACATCATGTCCCTATTACCGAGTGGGACATCATTAGTACTTTCGACAAATGCTATGAATTCAGACTTGGCTTCCGCATCTTCAGGGTATCGCCGACAATAATCAGCGACCCTAAAGGGAGCGAAGGCATTTGCATCCTGCAAAACTGGCGAATCCTCGCAATCGGAATCGCTGCTTGTGCTGAAAATTGAAATTCAAGGACTCACCCGAATCCTTCTTTTTTCGTTTTTTCACCATCTCTCCACATAAACACTTATATACAGACTAAGTTTTACTTCTTTACAATAAACTAAACAAAAATTTACAAATTATAGTGTAAAACTATTTAAAATAATTAAAATTTTCAAAAAGCCTTCGTCAACGTTTCAATTCCCGCGCTCTTTTTTCTTACACATTCCATATTCTAATTAAATATTATAAGCAAACAAAAATGACGTATGGGTTGTTGTTGCCATTGTTATAGAAAAGAATAATATAAATATTGTGTCGAATTTTTTAAAAAATGCCAATTTTTTAAATACTTATTTGTTTAAAACATTTTGATTTATGAAATATTTAAGATATTTATTCCCACTAAGACATTATTATCACTTACATGAGAATTACACATATAACAAAACATTTATGAATATTCAGTTCGAAATTTCACTTGTAACAAAAATGAAATGAAATAACGCATAACTAAGAGACATTTTTCTATATAAAATAAAAACTTGCAAAAAAATTGCAAACGTTGTATACATAAAGATTTTTTATATTCATTATTTGTGTTTCATCGTATATTTTGAGAGTACCGGTTGCGATCCCCCAATGAGAGTTACTTCCCTAGTTGAGGGTAGGTGTGATTTTTTCAGAAATCTCTAGTTACCTAATGTCTTTCTAAATTTAAGTCTGTTCAGTGTAACGATCAAACGGTACATATGTATTTCCCGGTAAGATTCCCATTTGTTAAAATATATTTGTAAAGTTTACAGTATATATCTGACTTGAATTATATTTGATACTATGAAATTAATGATATTATGTTGATATCGTCATGCAAATGACATATAATTAACTATATATGTATATATAATGTGAGAAATTTTGGATAATATATGAAATTCTTCTATACATATATCGAAAATACATAATCATATATTAACCGTAGACTGTAGTAAAAATATAATAATACAAAACAGTTATAATAGATTAATTAACAAATTATAGTGATAGTATCAGATCGTTCATGCATAGTGTTTATTCCCAGGATATGTC